GGTGAATTGTTGCTCATTCTCTTGCTTGTGGGAATTCCCAACGGCATGCTGCCTGTATCTGTTAATGTATTCCGACACATTCGGGGATCATGGAAAGTCAAACCCAGAAATCGATTGGCCTTGGTTCTGTCGCCGAGGGATCGAGGAATATAGGACGATGGGTGGCTATGAGCACTAACTGCTAATTGTAGCACAAGGTAGGTTTGAGAATGACAATGTGATGAGGTGACAAAGTTCCCAGTGATAGCAGGCTCCCGACGCACAGACTGTAGTGCTCAGAAAGATTCTAATCAAAAGGGATGATAATCACTTTCAAAAAAAAAAGTGACAAGTGATGATGACAGCAGTTAACAGTGGTAGCAGTGGGAAGTATTGTGACCACACTGGATCACAAGTAGCAGAGTAGTGAACTTGAGATTTAGAGAAAAAGTCTGGATTTGAGTTCTTGTTTTTTTACAAGGTAAAATACAGGGGTTTATATAGTAAAAGAAAAGTAGGCTATGCACAGTATAGCTGTGCAAAAAGAATGAACAAGAACATGAAGGAAGGAATGTATGCTGATAAATCCTGTGTAGGTAGTACAGGATAAGATTGTCGAGAAAAGGAAAAGAAAGGGATAGAACAATGAATGCTGTGAGCCATGTCACAGGTTTGTACAGCCATAAAGTAAAGTCCAATAGCAAAAAGAGAGCAGGAAAATCATGATGTCATGGGAAGATGCAGTAAAAAAAGGGCAAGGCAAAACACTATCAGTATCAACACAGTTCCTTTATTGTCAGTCAGGCATTCTAAAAAAATATGTGTCCATAAAATGATTCAAAAATCAAAAATAATCGCACTGTAAATAAATGTTCTGCTGAAAAAAAAGAAACTGGAGCCACCGGTCCACCACCTAGTCCAAATCCGACAGTTCCATGGCCTTACCAATGGACTGGTTGTGTTGGACCACCTGGTCAAATGAGGGAGGGAGAGGAGTAGTCCCAATTTGGAAGAAGTGAGTCCCAGGCAGCATGTGGTAGATGTAGCTGTAGCAAAGACAATGGATGAAAGATAAGTGTACCCAAGTGAATGGGACAGCAATGAACATGGGCAACGCAAGGGGATAAACCTTCTCCAGCTCAAAAACTACCCACCCACGCTCCAACCAGGCAAGACGAGCGGCCAATGTTTTGATAGTATATGATGGCAGATTGACGTCATGAAGATGGACCTGTTGCCCTATTTGGACTGGCTGCCAGGGCTTTGCTGATATCAGCAGTGGCACGTGGTAGTTGACGGATTGGCAATGGAAGCGGATAGGAAGTGGTGACATCAGAAATGGTGGGGAAGCAAAGAAGATGAGGAGGAGGAGGAGGGTGGAGGTGACAAGGAGGTGAACTAAAATAGGGATTCAGAAACAACCGTCAGGTGAGAATAAAAACGAGAGTAAGGGACCCATGGTGGGGCTAGGCAAAGGAAGGGAAGTGAAGGAAACGACAAAAGTGAGGGCGCAATGCAATATGTAGCCAGTGGCGATACAAAAAATTTGCCGAAATGCCAAAACGCAGAAAGTACCAAATGGAAAAGCAAAGGTGAGTGTGACTGGATTGCCTAATAGAGGTGGTGCTGATCAGCCACAAGTTTGAAAAAGGCAATATTAATTACTATTCCACGTGGCACTGTGCCTGTGTGGCACAAAGGCGAGTCTTTTTGAATATTCGCTTCGTTATTGACACCTGTCCATGCTACCAATCAACTTTGGTGCATGACACCGTCTTTCTTCTCTTCCATTGTCTCGGCCTTCTTCTCCGAAGCACCCTCTCCTCGGTACCGACCATTGGGTCCCCGGTTTCCGGAACCGGAGCTGCCGCTGGCCATACCCTTCATCATCCGCTCATTTTCTGCTTGATCTCGCCATAATTGATCATTGGTGATGATCCTTGTTTTCCACTCAGTATATGTTTTCAGAATGTTTCCTGAGTAGATGATTTGTTTTATCAACAGGGCGTTGATATTGTTTCTGATTAACGTGTTCAGGAATTGTTCATTCCCTTTCATGTTGTATCCTGCGCGTCGTTGTAAGGACCACTTTATTATTTTCTTATCTTCGCTATGTCTTGGTTCTTGAACACTTTTCCAATTACACCTCTGGCTCTAGGGCTAGAGGTATCATTTGCCATTTTTACTTCTCATAGCCCTCACAGGCTTTCTTAACCATCACTACCATTTTATATCACAGATCAGAGACTGGATATTGCTCCCAGCCAGCCAGCACACTGAGTAGGGACTGGTAGTAGGCATCTCGCCAACCAGCTCCAAGCCCCAGTAAAGCCTGGATATACTAATAAACACTTTGTTCAGGATTGTACCTCATCATGAGGATACGGTTCCTGAACACGCGTAACAAACCTCTATTATTAGTACAAATCTCTCACCGCTGATTAATCAAGATAAAAGTTGTACAATAGTTGTTCTCTCTTTTTCTTATTGGCCAATTGATTCCTCAGACCACTTTTCATATATTCTCCTTTCAGTCTGAGGAATGAACAGTTCATTATATAAAGCCTTACCTATTCATGTATGACTCCTTAGTTTTCTATTACTGAATTTACCCGCTTTACTCCTCAACGAAAACCTTTGAAGCTTACCTCTCGAAGTCCTCTACTCGCTATATTTACTAGCATCTGTCGACCTCAAGCTCATTGAACCCCTTACTCCCTGCAAGTGCAGAAGGAGACAGGTTTTGTTTTTGTTATAGTTTATTGTTGCCTCACAAGAAGGGCCTGGTCCGTTTTCACATATAGTAGACAGCTTCTCTGCAGTTCTCTTTCTAGGGATAACCTTGGAGGGCCCGCATTCATATTTGTCCATGCAGGCTGGTTCTCCTAAGTCGTCAGAGAAACCTCGGGCAGGTGAGCTGGGTGGTGGTGTGAGAGCTGAACCAACTAGCCTAGGGGTATTCCTGGACTCGCCAGCGGGATATATGGTGTTGAACTGGAGGTAAGCGACCTAGATTTTGATGATGGTGTAGCTTTGAGCTCTCCAGCAGGCTGTGCAGGATTGGCAACCGTGGCTATGTCAGAGTTGGCTGTCCTTCGGGCAGCCCTTTGGGTCATGAATTGAGCAATGTCATTGTCACTTTCTGACTGGTTGTCGTTGATTCCAGTGTTTGAGTAGCTGAAAACATTCCTAGGTAGAACTCAATAGGATATCAATAAATCAGGTAAAACAGGATAAAGTGTTACAGATCAAAGAATGTCAATACATCCTTAGCCCATGGATCAGTCGGGTCCTCTAACAATGTATTAATTCGGTCGTAGAAGTCCTTGTAGTTGAAATGCTCGTCCATGCCATCAGAAGGCCATGATTCTTGACTTATTAATGCATGCTAACCCTGTGGTAGTGATTTGTTAGTATATAGCATGCAGCGTTGATAATTTACTTGTATGATTGCATAAGAGATTGTCTTGGGTGTCGCACATGACAAGCCATGTATTTTTGCATTATGGGCTCGTGTGCTTCTACTTGTCTTGGAGGTTTGATCCTTGAGTGCCGTCCCAGGCCCTGTAAAGATATGCCTATAAACCTATACAAAAATGGTAGTCAGAATGCGGGAAAATCAATATAAACACTATACTTACTCGCGGAACATAATAGCCTTTAAGCAACCCTTCATGAATAGCATTTGGGTTGTACTGTTCAGCGGGTTCAAACCCTATATACATGAATGCAGGGAGCTTGCTGGCTGTAACTCTGATGCGTCCATCAAGCAGTTTGATGAGTGTTCTAAAAAATACCATGAAAAATAGAGCCAAATCAAGCATGAAATACTTACTCATCTTGGTTGCCATAATATTCCTTTGCATGCTTTGCAGGACAAAGCAACAACACAAGCTGTGGGTGGGCAAATCCGAGCCCACTATGATCTTTTTTGCTTCCAGTCAGAATTGGTGGGTTGAGACTCATAGTGGATGGGTCTGGTGGCACATATTTTGGTATATCTTTTCTGAGGCGGCTGCTGTCATCTGCACGTGTACTCCTCATGATTGTATGCATCTATGAAATTGTGTTAATGCAGGTGCATACAAGGTTGGCAAGGAATCACTCATCTTTTTAAGAATAAAATCAAGTTTATTCTTGTTTTTCCTATGCAGCATTTTTTTGAACTCTGGCACGAAGTCAACAATCTTGTCGAAGTTTGAAACAGCATGTTGTTTGTCATCCTCGGACCTAAGTGTATGGATGTATGCGTAACCATGAGATGAAAAAATGAAAAAGCTCACATATTGCCAAGCACACTCTGCCAAATCGCAGCTTGATCCTGTACATGCTTGTTCTGTGGCTGTTTTGAGCCCGCTGTGTCTTTTAACCTAAGTATATGCATATATATCAGACCAAATATGCAAGCAACACACAGAAACTCTATACTAACCTTTGCTGATCCTCTTTGTCTATGCTCTTGAGGATCATGGCAATACAAAAGTCTGATGTGATGTTGCAGTATAGGTCAATACCTCGAGGAATCCATCGAGCCGCATTCCAAAATGGGTCTAATGACTTGTCATCACTTGGATCATATGGCTCCTCTCTGTATGGTGGTAATTGCAAGTCAGTCTTATACTACTTTGGGGTATATCAACTCACTTGATCTTTTTTTTCTCTTTCGGCTTTCTTTGCTTCCCATCCTGGAATGTTTTGGATGTTCCTTTTTTGGAAGACTTGTGCTTTACATCAATGAAATCTGGATTTTATGGTAAGGTTTTATAAGGCCATACACTGAACATATTTTTGGTGTAATGCCTTGTCATATCATTGTAATGTGATTATCAAGTCTTATAATTTTCTCACCAGAGATTAAAATGTGTAAAATGGAAACACAAGAAATCCACAATTCCCTGATGTAGGTCTAAGGCAGAGTCATCTTCTGTATCACTGGGGCTACTATTCATTGCTGTGTGGATATGTTTCAGTATTGCAACACGATAAGATAGCAAAACAGAGATATGAAAACGATTGTGGTGTCTTTTGGGTTTGCAACTGCGGGGATTAACCACAATATCAGCAATTTACCGGCAACTTGGTAGACAGTACAACTGCCAGTGACAGTTATGGCCTAGGATCAGAGCTATTGTCTGATATATTTTTTTTTTCAAACCATGCCTTCATTTTGCTTTGGCTGTGGCAAGTCATTCAAAACCAACAAACTGTTAAACTTACACACAGGACAATGTGCCGAGTCTCAATATGTCCTGGGTGATATTTTAGATCACAATACCAAGCGCTCACGGGATGAAGATGAAGAGAGGGAAATGCTAAGAAAAGAAAGGAAGAGGTTGAAGTGAGCTGAAGAATTTGAAGAGATCATTTCAGATAGTCTAGTACTCAATCACCATGCTGTCCAAGAGGTATGTTATTAATTGTGTTTTCTTGTGTTGCTACCTTTCTCACTAATTGTATGTTATCTAGCAAAGTGATATTCAAGTTCAAGGGCAGCCTGATAGCTCACAACCTGAAGAATATTTGCAGCTCCAGACTATACACACAACTCGTTCAGGCAGACCAGTTCGCTTACCAAGACGATATGTTGATTTTTTACCACCAACCGTCACTTGAAGAAGACAAGACACTCAAACCAACAATATGCACCCCTCTCCTCACACATCTGAACACCAAATTCCACATTCCCAAAGTCCCCAATGTCTTAGATCTAGCGAGGACGTGGATGAAATTCCCTCAGAGAATATTGAGACAAAACCAGATTCATTGGGTCTGTATTGTATATACTTGGGTTAGCCATCTTCAACCCCCGAAAGTGGCATGTCACTGGACGCTATATGTGATGCTCCGAACCTCAAAGCAGACATGACGGAACAAGCTGTGCTGCCTCAGCAAAGGGTCTTTGGTCTGTCGCCATCAGAAGTTCCACCAGAGCACCTTTTCTCACCATTCACAAATCCTAGCTGTGGCATTCTCATGGCATGGCAATACACAGGGACATCAACAAAATCAGCAGCGGAGCTTACACGGCTAGCAGCCTGTCTTCGTGATCCTCTATTTGATCCTAGTGACCTTGATGGTTTCAACCCCACACGTGAACATAAACTCCTTGACAAATATCTGCAGGACCGAGAAAATCCCTTTTGTGAAGAAAATGGCTGGCAAAAATCAGTGGTCAAAATTCGCTTCCCAAAAGAAAAGAAAAAATGGGCTCAAGAAGATGATGCGCCAGAACTTGAAATACCAGGTGTTCATCACCGCTCACTTGTTGACATAATCTCAGGTGTTTTTGAGGACGAGGTTTTCAAAACTTACCACACAACACCCTTTCATCAATACTGGAAACCATCAGATGATTCAGATCACACCGTTAGACTCTATTCTGAAGCTTATTCATCAGATGCATATATTGATGCTTACAATGAAGTCAACAATCTACCACGAGAGCCTGGGGACGAACTTGAACACACAGTTGCCTCGCTCATGTTGTGGTCTGACTTCACACATCTTGCAAATTTTGGTAATGCAAGTATATGGCCGTTCTATATGTTACTTGGTAATCAGTCCAAGTACACTCGAGGCAAACCCACATCTATGGCATGCCACCATCTGGCTTATATCCCTACAGTATGTGAAATTTATGTTGTCTAGTTCTCGTACTGAAAAATTATGCCTTAGCTGCCGGATGACATTCAAGAAGTCTATGTCTCCCTTTTTGGTGAAGCTGCAACATCTGCAGTACTTACACACTGCAAACGAGAGTTAATGCATGCCATATGGGAGCTTCTGATGGACAAGAAGTTCATGCATGCTTATAGGCATGGTATTATTATCTGCTGTGGTGACAGAATCACACGGCAAGTTTTTCCTCGATTTTTTACATATCTGGCAGACTATCCAGAAAAGTAAGCTCTCTTTGTTTCTACCTATGCTTGACTAATATGGTCCTCAGGATACTACTTGCAAGCATCAAATTTCTAGGCAATTGCCCATGCCCACGTTGCTATGTCAGAAAATCAGAAGTTCACAAAATGGGTAAAAAAAAGGATATGACTTGCCGTCGCAAGTCAAGAGTAGATGACAACATGCGCCGCAACAAGGTCAATCTGGCACGGGAGCTTATCTTCCAGCATGGCATTCCCATAAATAGTGAAAGAATAGAATCAGTGCTGGGTGAACATTCTGTGGTTCCAACTCGAGTAAGTATTTTTTACTTTTACTCTCATGATAACTGAATGTTGTTTTTTAAGAATGCTTTCTCAGAGCGTCTCTATGAATTTGGGGTTAATTTTTTTGACCTCTTTGTAGTTGATCTCTTACATGAGTTTGAACTTGGGGTCTGGAAGGCCATTTTTACTCATTTAATGCGGATATTATATGCAAAAGGTGGTGATGCAATCCAGGAGCTCAACAAGCGGTATATATTTCCCATTGTTGTGATTTTTCTGACTAATTGTATGAAAAAGATACTGTTTAGTCCCAACATTTGGTAGAGGCACTATCCGACGTTTTCACAAGAATGCATCAGCTATGAAGAAGCTTGCAGCTAGAGATTTCGAAGATTTACTCCAGGTGGGGCCTCCATCAGGTGTTTGATGCTTGCATTAATTACTTTATATCAGTGTGCAATGCCGGTATTCCAAGGTCTACTGTCTGGGAGCCACAACACAATCATTCTCGACCTCATATTTGCCCTTGAAACTTGGCATGCATATGCAAAGCTTCGTCTGCATACTGATGACACTCTCAAGTTTTTTGACAATGCAACTATAACACTCAGCCAGGCTGTGCGCAAGTTCTTGAAAACCACTTGTGAGTTGTATGACACAACTGAACTCCCTCAAGAGAAGGCTGCACATGGGAGATGAACTGCTGCTCTTGCTTCCAAGATGGCCAATGCGGGAAGTCAAGGACTTGGCCAAGACAATCCAGCGAGAGCGAAGTACACTGGTCCCAAGCGAAAGAAACTCAACCTGACAACATACAAGTACCATGCTCTAGGTGACTACCCAGATACTATACAACGATTTGGAACAACAGATAGCTATTCAACACAGCTTATAAGTGTTATTTGCTGTGTTTTACAGAATAGAAACCATTATCAACAGGGTGAACTACAACATCGACGTGCCAGGTTATAGAAGATGAGGGAGCACAGGAGTGTTATGGCGAGGACGAGCTTGGAGACGAAGAAGTGTTGGACGTAGAGGGTTTTGCACCACTGTAGAGTACTCGTTCGCTGTGCCGAGGTATCTTTTCTGCCTTCCTGTATCTTTGTATCCAGCCTTTTCTCCACTTTTCTATCTCGGTTTAATACTGGCAATATAATTGATTACTATGAAAGAACAATAGATACATTACATGATATTTCACCCCCTACAGCTGTGAAGAGACGACCAGCCGGACACTATCCAGACACTCAATAGTGCTCGATGATCACTCCATCTCGATTGCAACATCAACGTGGCACTACCTTATTTGGTTGCATCAACGCTATATACGGCAGTACTTAACCGTCACGGCTCATCACATTTGGGTTCTTTTGCTGATGCTGTTGAAGCTAAGGCACTGCCAGTGATTTCTATCATCTTGTCTTTCTCCGTCTCTGTCAATGGCATTTTTTGCTACTGGCCGTTTCAGGTCTCCCCCTCAAAGGTCCTACACAGAATACTCTCCTAGAACCTCGAGCAATGATTATGCTACCAGTCAGAGCAACAAAGCTCCATTATTTGCTGGTCCACATGTAAAGCCCCGGTCGAACTTGAACGGCGCGGCATTCAATCATTCTTCTAGTTCTCCTTCACCGATAGACAGTAAACTTCACATCACAAAATTGCATCCTCGCAAACTCCTCCAACGCTCTAGCTCTTCGCCCGCCCCGTTGCCACCAACTGTCAGTCCGACCGCTGCTCGCGCGGTTGTGCCCCAATCTAATCCCCCTGAGTTAGAAGAAACTATCTCCACAACTATTAATTACAGTAAGTTCTCTCTCATGTTGATGGGAGAAAAACAACTAATCTCACTGTTGTAAAGAGGTCTGCAATGATATTATTGCTGCAATTCTAGGAAAAGCCAAACGAAAAGATAGGCAGGTAACATATCAACTCACGCTTCACTATAGGGAACATTGGTTCTGATATATTCAAATGTTATAGGAATTTACCTATGAGTCTGACTTAGATCGCAATTATATCATTGCAGAAATCAATAAAATTGATCATCCACCTACCCAGTACGGCTCATTTTTTCATTGTGAATATATCTCATACTCTTTATACCTAGTGTTACCTGCTTTTCAGACTTGAAGAAAATGATAATCACTGTCCCATCCGATGTCCACGAGGCACCTCTCAACTCTATATCTCATGCACTGTCTAGAGCCATCGATTCCATAGGCCATGACCCGTTTGACGTTCAAGTGTTCGTAACACCAAATACACAATTCAAAGGACCAACAATATCTGGGTATCCAGATCTACACGTTCGCATCGAAACCCCAATGACGCATAGCGCCCCTCGAACTGTATGGATCACTGAATGTGGCTTCACACAGTCTCGGAATGACATAATCCGGAAATTCGAGCGGTATATTCGTGACTGTCCTAGTCTTGTTGCTTTGACGTTAATCGACATACAAGAAGATCGTCCCTTCTCGAATCCACGTAATAATCAACCGATCGCTCATCAACTACGCTCCCAACCCGTGCTATCTTATGAACATTGGGCGCCTGATACCCCTAGAGAAGATTCGTTCCACCCCATTGTATATTTTGGCCATACCTTCATTTCGGTATCGGGTATCACAGTTTGCACCTGGATTCGTGGACCTGGTGGTAGGATCTCTCTCGAAGACTTCAGTAAAGAGCTCTATGCTGAAGGCGTAAATACCAATTGATCAGCATATTTTTACTAGCACTGACTATTCTTGTAGACCTTGCATCCCCGCATGCGGACCAAAGCAATCAATGCCATTCTTCAGAGTGCTCTCAAGTTAGTCAGAGATAGCATTGTTGATGTCATAGTGACGAATGATCTCGCTACCGAAGTATGTCAATTTCCACTGCAAACTAGTGGTACCGCTACTGATAAATACCTTGAAGGATAATGCTGAAAGTAATACTGGTGACAGTAGCAGTGAAGAAAGTAGCGTTGGTGACAGTAACAATGGTGAAAATACCAGCGATCGATCTGAGGGGAGCAGTGGAAGCACCGGTGAAGAAGTCGTCGAAAGTAACGAGGACGCAGAAGGTAGCGATGACTCGGAAAGTGGCGAAGAAGGTGGCGAAGGTAACGACCTGTCAGAAATTTGCAGCTGGACACCTCCATCCCGCGTCATTAGGTGGGAAATTGTCAAGTGTGCTGTCATCAGTGGGATATGGAACACTGCCTATAATCACTACCAAGACTGGCATGAGACTCTACATGATCGCTTTCCTCAGGACGACAATTTCAATGCTAGTAAGAAACCCAGACCTTCTGGACCAGATCCTGAGGGGTCGATGGTGAGTGATATGTTCTTCATAAATCATTCTTCTGAACTGTTACCCCCCTAGGCCTAGAGAAGTGAAAGATATAGGATGATGCAGCTATGCATCTGACATATGGCTCTTGTTGTCTGTGATTGTTTTGTATCCTTTTGACATTCCCTTTTCCTTTGCTAACAACTGTACTATTGAATAGTATATCTGGGCCGTTTTTATGCTGGTTCATTTCTACGTTTTCATGTTCCCTCGTTTACATGTTTTACTGGATAAATTCGGTTGTATCAATATTTCCAGGACAATTGATTTGATGTATGAAATGGAGACCACGGAATGTGTGATTCCATCCTAGGTCTGCCACTTGATGCGACTGTGCGCGATATTGTAGGCTTCCTGTGGTATCCCATCATCAGTCTTCAGTAACTGATGCCCTTTAGTTGGAAATGCTCTCTGCTTCGGAGGAGTCGGTTTCTCTCTCTTTCTCATGCGCTGAAGTAACTCGTGTCTTATTTTTGGTCAGGTTGGCTGAATTAAAAATGAGAAGCGGAGAAAAATAGGTCTGGTTTGGTCAATCAGAATAACCAGATGTTGACCTTGGGCTTAGATTTACGACAAGTTGCGATTACATGCCGAGATACGATTTCCGATCAAGAAAGTCCAGAAAACAAGCGACAATATATTTCTTTGGATTCAAGTTAGCTTCATATGTATCATATTGTTGTTCGTCCCTCACATCTTTCAGGCTATCCTTGGGGGAATACCATTAGGCGGTGGAGATAGTCAGTCTCATTATGAGGTATCTACCGTATTTCATCATATTTCTCGTATAGCCACAGGTATGGCACTTTTTACTGAAAAGTTGTTTACTGACAGTGGCCATGAACTGCTGTATAGCCGTTGTAGAAGTTGCGATAGTGAAGAAGAGTGGTGCCCAAGCGAAGCATGGTTTGGAGCTGTCTGTCGATCACTTGATATTTGTGCTCGTACTTTTAACAATTGTGCGACAGGGCTAGATGCTTATATGCAAAAGTTTGGGAGGACCGGCCAGTGGTGCTTCGTCAGATAGAACACATAGGCGAAAAATCGTAGGGGGACTGCACACCTTGCTTGATAAGGGCTGATTATTATTCGCAGACTCAAGTACTCAAGGTTGATGATCAAACTTCACCAACCCACACGTTAACTTAGTAGTTCTCTCTCATAGGTCCTTGCTCAACATGGAATTAGTACATTCAATGATCTGCTTAGGCAGGACCCGATGAGAATTGATATAGTGAGGACTTACTCTTTAGTTACTCGTTGTTCAACTGATGGCATTGATAGCTTCTCAACCGTCGAGCTCCTTGTGGTTTTGAAGTTCTTGCTTCAGCTCGTCAACTTCCAAAATATTATGTTAGAGTCACCAAAACCAATGTCACCCCAAGTAACGGAAAGGACCCCGTTGAAATCAAACTATCAATACAATGTGGGCTGACATCTGAAGATGCATTCCCTACCAAAGTCAAGAAGCAAAAAGATCAAATAATCGATATGACAACTGTTCTGACAGCAACATCTGATCTTACCTTCGTTGATTTTCGCCACATCACGTAGAGATTTCTTTATCATCATCATCGTCATCATCATCACAGTCCTTGTGCGCTGATTATTTTATCCAGGCACGAAAGCCCTGGGGGAGCCCAAGACATTCCCGATCAACGCTCAATTGACTAAACCCGACCAATTGATATTTGTTTACGTCTCGCCGGTGCGTAGTCATTACTTCCTGTGTCTGAAACTGCCTAAGATTTAAACCAGGACAAGATTGCTGGACTTACCATAGCACAGATTTATAAACCCAAGCTCCAAGCGCATCAATATCCGACACTAGACACTCGGCCTCCCAGTTCTTTGGTACACCACTTATTTTGAAGTGTATGGTAACTGCTGATCTATAATATCAGGAAATGGATCTCGCAGGACTGGAAGACGATCCTGACTTCTGGAATATGGACTTTGCCGATGAGGACGAGGAAACTGTATTCGTGAAAGATCCGACGAAAACTCTTGGTCTGCCCCTGAAAATTCTACCTTGATGGCATTTTTGCTTATGGTGATTCGGCTAACTTTACACAGAAACAAAAGCCACTCGTGAAAGCGAAAGTAGATATAGTACCTAGAAAGGAAAGCGATGGTAAATATGAGTACGTCCCACAGAATTACACTTCGCCGTGGGAAGATGGACTTGTCGTTACCATTGTTTAGATGCAAACATATCTGCAAGGACAAATCGTCATGCCGCCATCTTTGGTGCGTCTCTACCCTTTTTTTCCAGCCATTCTACCATTTCAAGCCAAAATTCATAGCTGCCGAGAAGGATTATCTAAGCCTTCTCAAGTGCCTAAAAAGCGACTTCAGCCAAACACCGAGTACCCCAAGGAATATAACCAGGACCTTGGATCTTCGTCCCAAAGAAAGGCAAGGCATGCTGGATGACGTCCCAAAAGTCAAACGAAACAAAACAACCAATGGGTCTGACTCTGCACTGAATACTCTGCATAAAGGCGTAGGTACCGAACGCAATCAAAAACCACCAGAAGGCCACCGTCTCAAACTAGCTAATATATCTTCCGGAGACGTCTCGCAGCAGAAAACGCGAGTAACCCCCAACTTCGACCTAGAATTCATCCATGCTACTCGCCAAATCAAAAAATCGATATCCATATCTTCGGAAACCAGCTATTCAAGTTCGGAAACAGATTCTCTTATTCGCAATCTGCCTTTGGAGTTCTTCGAGCCGTCTATTTCCCACTATCAACGAACTATGTCTCAGAAGGCAGGCCACCATAGAGACAATTCCGGATCGCCTATCAATGGCCGTTATGAAGCAGCAAATGAGTGTCCCCCGACAAAGAAGCCAAGATTTGATGTAGGGGGCGGGTATCGTCTTGTCACGCCCTCTGGCTTGCTCGATGAAAAGGTGAACATCAGCAGAGTTAATGCAGTATCGTATATAAATACTCTGCACAGAAAACAGGATTCTCGGGCTCGCCTGCTAAGGTCCAGACAGAAGAACGACAATCTTTATCAGATATATCTGAACAGGATGACACGGTCGATGAAGATACCCCTCGAGGGTACACTTTGGAGAACGCCGCACGCGAACAGGCAACAGATACGAAAGCTACTTTGACGTTCTGCGAACTACTTCGAGTTTAACGGCGACCTTTGCTAACAAATAACGCTTGTAGCTGGCTCTTCTGGGAGAATCACCAATGACTCGGATGATCCCTGGGCAGAATTTGAACGATGGTTGAAGAGTGGAGCAGTGGATTTGTCGAGAATCGCTGGTCCCACAGTGACCAAAATTGACCCCCAGTGAAAATCGGATCTACGGAAATCAAGGGAAATTGGGTGACATCAATTTCAGTTAGATTGCCAAGCATGTAAATACAGTAGACACAGCATGTGACGAAGTAACAATTGTCACAACGAACCGTGACTCGGACTCAGTGATTCGGACTCATTATCAAGTGGCTGTATAAAGGTTAACATGGTACCACCCAAAGATGTTCACCACATATCATGAAACCAGACTTATGTAATATAGCCTTGTCAGAATTTGCTAAGCCATGTTACAACACCTTGTAACACCTTATAATGCCTTAATGTCACAACTGCATTATAATGAGATTAATAGAAAGATGTGTCCTTATGATGAATATATAATATCTATTACAATGAACATGATAATATAAACACAGTGGCATAGTAATTCTATTAAGTGGTGCAAAGGTTTAATATTATGTTGTCATAATAACAGTCCAAAAATTATAATGTAGCCTCTGGCTTTTGTTGGATATTTGGTCCCTCAAGGCGCGGGAACAGGCGCGGGAGAAGGATTCTTTGGGCAAATGAATGCCGTAGAAACGTACATACAAGGCTTCTTATATAATAAATATACATAAATATCATGTAAAAAAACAATGGTAGCCACAAAAGGCTGGTTATTCTTTGGGCAAAGCTCCAAAGTTTGCTTATATAATATAATTTCTACAGCTTTTGCAAGCTTAGGACTTGAACTTCTGGCCTTGCTATTATGAGGTAATTATAATGGCCTTCTCATAGAGTTGTCTTTTTTCCATTACATCACAATGGTCTTACAGTGTGAGGAATTCATTGTGGATATATAGGTGCTTGTATTCTACATTAGAAAAATTTGTAGTATTAACTACAAACTTTACTAGACATAGGGACTTAGCAAGAATTTTACTGATCACAAGTATGATGCTCAAACCTGCTGAACTCTCAAATGCAAACAGTAATCTCTAAGGCACAGAGTAAATCAAATCCAATTATAACATAGATCAAGAAGGCTATGGCATAAATATATTCTAAAGAAAAACTTTGGCCTACTCAACACCATACTTGCAGGAGAAGCACTTCTTGTCAGTCTGTACAGCTCCTACAGTCTTCTCTTTTCCCCTCTTTCCTCATTTTTGCTTTGCACCACGTGCCAGTTCAGGCTCATCTTTGGACAGCAATACAGTGTGAGAAATTGAAAATTTCAGCTTTCTTCCATCTTTCTTTTTCAATCACTATGTCCTGGTTATCCAATCCCTTTCCCACTACCCCTCTTGTGCTTGGACTAAAGATCACCATTGGTGTTCTCGTATTTGTTTCTCTTGTTGCTTTTCTCTTTTCATTTTATCGCCTATTATACTACATCAACAATTTTCTCAGAAGGTCGAACACTCCAGAGGTCACCCAGCTAACCAGCAGGGATCACCAACCCAGTGGTTAAAGGATTTACCATAGGAGGTAGAGCAATATGGAAAGACCATACCAGTCCAGGAGGAGCATGTGAGTTATGGGAGTCTATATTAGGTATTCCTTTTCTCTTTAAGATTCTATTTTCCTTTCCCCCTCTACATCATATCCTCAGTAATTCAAAGTATGGTACAATTCCCATATTTTATCTCATTGGATGATTTATAACAGACTGCTTTCTACTTTCTCCCTTCTCTTTTCAGTCTGATCATAGCAGTTCACTACTTAAAGACCCTTACCTAGTAGTAGTAGCCCTCAGTTCAGTATTACTTGAGATCAGTGCATACATCAATACTCTTTGATCCTCAATTCTTATCCCTGCCACTTGTATCAAAAGACCTAGTGATTCAATTGAGTATCTGTTATATAGCTTTCTTTCTGGTTGCCTCACATACAGGTATTATAGTGTCTCCCAGAACTCTTTCAAAGGTGATACCAAACAATGTATTTGGCTTGCTGGTGTCAGCAGCTTGGGGTATCAAACATTCATTGTGCTCTGAATTGTCATCATCAGGATTGTTGAGTTTGTATGGCTGCTGTAAAGTCATCTTCAGCTACCTCTTGTCAGGTGACTGTTTTCAGGCCCCAAAGATATAGCAGTCAAATATGAAATAGACTTCCCTTACATGTGATATGTTTTTCTGAGCAATAGACTGCTCTGTCTCTTCATTCTGTCCTCCATAATTGATAGTCAATCTACTATTAGATCTATTAAGATCCTAAGGGAGCCCAACTTCCCAGACATGTTTCCTGAGTACAAATCAAATAAAAAGACCTGATATTGCTTATGTAACAACCAAGAGTTAGTTACTCTGGCACACAACTAGAACCAACTATAAAGGTAGTGAGGGGAGTGGTTATCCTTAGGATAGGACCGAGTTAGTTGTGGGTAAACAACAGGAGGACTTGCTGAGGAGTCTCCTGGATTTATTGGGGTTTATATACTACTACAGAGTATTTGTACTTATGTACTGTACAGTTGATAAAAGCAGTGGCTGATAATGTCAGAGGGCATAGCCCGTGTGACCAGCTCCACTGCGTGAGAGACTTGTAGCTAACAATAAGAAGAAGACAGTGTAGCGCGAGAAAGAGGAGTTTGAACAAAAGGGAAAGTGCCGCATGGCACAGCGTGTGAAAACTACAGTAGAAAGTTGAAAAGGAGAATGAAAATCAAAGGAAAGGTCCGAAAATTGTGTTATCGTAACAGCTTACCTCTGGACATATAAGCCCATGCTAGAACACCTGCTTCCCTATCACAATCAGTGACCAGAGAAGGCTCCTACTCAAACCAATCAATGGGCTGGGGTGCAAACATCCTGGGGCCTTTGTTTCCTTGGAAGCACAAGGAGTCCAAGAAACTTGTATAGGAGGCATTCAGAGATTTGATCAGTGAGTCTCAAGAGCCATGTGGCTGGAGTAGGAACATTATAAGCAGGGTAGGTTAAATCAGTGAATATAGTGGGGGAAAGAGGCAATAATGAGAATGATGCTGTAGGTGTCAGAGCTAACCTTCAGTACTATAGTATTCTAACTTTAGGTTTATCAAGGTTTGACTGTGATACTATATAATGCTGGGTTATTACATGTTCTCCATTTCCTATGACCTACAGTAGATAGTGTGTATAGCAACAGATATTGGTGCAGGGGTGAGGTGGTGTAGTGGCTATCACCTTCCTTAATGGGTGAGACCTTTTCACAAAGTTGGAAGTTCAAACCCTGCCCCCCCCTAGGAGTTCCACCTTCAACATTCTTAGGGCTTAGTCACTAAGAATGCTTCCATGTACAGTCACTCTCATGCCACCCTATACACCCAGCCCCTAACAACCCCCCTGGTTGTTAATTCTGGAGCACTATCTAACTTGTGGGAAAATAGTATCCTTATCATCAATTTCCCAGCATATGCTGGCATAGATACTACCCTACACAATTAAACATTAATTTGGGGTCTGTTGGAGTTAGAAGGGAGGGAATACTTCAAGCTAGGGTGATGTCCTGGCTTTCAGGCCATAAAGGAGTGAAGGAAACTGATTCGGGCCAGTATTTGCACTGAGGGGACCATAATAAGCCAGGCCAATTGCAGTTAAGGAAGTAGATTAGGGTGGGTGGGGGTCATGGGTCAGTGTAGGAAGAAAGGAACACATTATTCAACATTTACTATATAGCCTATGGAGAATTTAAGCACATATAGCTTGCTATGTGACACATACATACATTGCTTAGGTAGTCTTACATAAGGGCTGTAAGCTCTTGAAATAGACTATAAACTGGATTTTAAATAAAAAAAAAAGATTCTGGTGCCATTACCTGGTATTATATTTTAGCATGCAACCTCTGAGTATCACTTGACCAAAGAGAGTGTATAAAAGCAAAGTGGGCCAGTGGGAGATGGAACCTAGGGCCTCTGCCTATATATAGCAGTGCCCTACTGGCTGAGCTATCAGCCCTCACTTCAATCACCCCTTTAAGATATACCTCTTAGCTTTATATATTTATATATATCTATGTACCTAAGAGGTCATAATATGCTGGTTATCCCCAGTCTGTTAGAATAGCTGGGGATGTCCTCTAGGATGTCCCCAGGGACAACCACTCTATGGTCCCTGGGACAACTATCCTGTTATCCTAGGGACAATCACTCTCGTATCCCTGAGACAGCTTCTCTGTTGTCACATTGGCAGCTGCTCTGTTATCCTTGGTGTCCTCTTCTACAGTTATAGGATGATAAATATTGTGGTCTTTGTTGAGAGAGAGATTGTAGTTCTTTCTACACATTTGAGATTTTTAAAAGGTTGAAAGGTAAAAATACATCAGATTGGTCAGGGTGTATTAAAGTATTGTGTATGAAGCAGCTTGATGAGCTTCACAGGGTTAAGTGATTGTCTTTTATGTGTGTTCTATTTTCAGATATTATTTATAGGTGTAGCTTTTGCACCAAAAGCATAAAACCCAATGACACCTCTAGTGAGACAAGATTGAGATGTTAATCTGTGATAAGTATAGTAAGAAGTGCACTGTGCACTAATTAGTGAGTGATTTCACCAAATTGTTAAAAAAATCTTGGATTGGAATAATATATTAATGCATCCTGTGCCACAGCATCAGCTATATGGTCTGATGACACCTAAAAAAGTATCCTGATCTACATGGGATATCGAAAGTGCAACATCTCAAGGATGGCCATAAAATGTACAGCTTCATTTTAACTATTTGAACAGTGTTAACTTTATTGTTCTTTGAAGGCTTTTATTTTAACAATCTTGATAATTTTAAATGTGGATGTGGATTGTATGATGAAGTGTTAAAACTGTGTTATTTTCTGTCCTTTGCAATGTGATATTGAACATACAGTCTAGTCCTGGTAAGTATAGCAAATCATCATATATTTCTTCTGTTCTCACCACCTTGAATGTTTATCTTCTGCTCAACTTCAGGCTGCTTTCTAGGGCATGGCCAAAGCAAATTAACCTTATCAGCACTTTGCTTTGCACAGTAAAAGTTGCAAGTCCTTGCTGTCCTTGTTCCTTCAGCATTCTTCTTATTTACTAACAATTGATCTTGTCTTGCTAGTTGACAAGTTTCTTTCTTATACATTGTCTGTACTCACTATTCTGGATCAGAAACATTTCCTTTTATATGGGTTCACTCTATAGCAGCTGTGACTCTCCACCTAACCTGATCACCCTATACAAACACAAGGAGGTTCTCCAATGTATCAGACAGAGCACGGAGAGAGCTTTTAATCTTCATATTCCTGCAGCACGACCAAGTTCCGTTGAACAACTACTTTGAAGGCCTAGTACACCCGACTTACGAGAACACTCAGAGAGTCAAGCTCTTGAAAGGAGTCGCTAACGTACAGTAAAGAAACTTGTGTTTTATTTCACAGGACTACATTCCTTCCCTCGTGAAACTCTATCGTATTTGCCCTCTCACATTTCCTGATCTACCTACTTGTCTTCTCCCCTTCGACTTTGAACATACATTACCTTGTGGTATCATCCTAAGGAAGAAACCCTACGGAGAACCTACCTACAACATCCCCTCCTCGTTTTTTACCAACAACTATTATGACATCTACTCCGCGTCCCCAGTCCACTATCAACCTATCGAGTACTTTTGCATTGGCAACAACCTTAATAACCTCTCCATCATCAACTACCTGACACGACTTTGCCGCACCCTCTATCTCCCCCAGATCAAAGATCTTGAGGCATTCGGACCGCGTTTTGGTCTTCAACACAGCACCGCTGTAGTCATCGTCACTCCCACTACCAAAGATCAGATCCAAAGAGTTGTCGCTGGATTAGCTCGATTTGATCAGCTTATCACGATAGCACAAAGGAAAGCTCGTGACAGGGAAGACTACATTGCAGAAATAGACCACATTCAATACATCTCCAAATATGTTTTGAAATATCACTGGGTTCTAGAAATACTTACACCCTTCGTTGTTAACCAACAATCTGACCACCCCGAACACTTCATTGTCACAGTGATCCAAAGCAACTTCTGGGCCATTGTTAGCCACAGCCCACAAACTCGCATTTATTTGCAATACTCCATCGGTTACCAAGGTCGGAATAGTGACACACCACTACTACCAACGGTCCAACAACTCTTTTTACCTATCGCTGAAAGGATCGAAATACAGACAGGAAGTTCACTGGAAAGTATAATAGGAGTTAAATCGGACAAAGGATCAGATAGCGAAGAATCTGTTGAGGGCATAGAATATTGGAGACCTGAGGAAGCAGAAGGAGGACAGTTTCCTAGTAACTTTGAATTTGACCCGGACTTTAACTAAATTTATGTTTCTAACCTGTGTTTCTAACTTGCGCTTCTAACAACTTGTGTTTCTAACCCATAAATTTACGTTTCTAACTCGTTCAAACTGGAGCCTTACCGAGAACCCTGTCCCCTTGTTACTCCAGAAACACCCCCTCCACAATCTCTAGGAGCCGCCGCCAAAGCACTAGAACCAGACAGAATGTATCAATCCGCTGTCGATGATGAGAATTGTTGTTAGAAAAACCACACACAAAACAAACTAACACACAATCCTCCCAGATTCCACGGAACTTGTGTATGGGCTTTGCCTCCTAGAACAGTGGAGTGGTCTGGTTGTTCGTGGGGTGGTATGTATAACGGTCCTTCAAAATAAAACCCAGAGATGTGTGGGTGTGGATTTTGAGGAGAAGGGGTAGTTGGAAGATAGATAATAGGGGCTTTGTGGCGAGTATACACAAGCACTACCTTGCTAATTGTAGCACAAGGTAGGTTTGAGAATAACGAGATAACGAAGTTCCCAGTGATAGCAGGCTCCTGATGCACAGACTGTAGTGCTCAGAAGGACTCTAATCGAAAGGGATGACAATGACTTTCAAAAGTGATGAGTGACAAGTGACAATGACAGCAGTTAACAGTGGTAGCAGTGGGAAGTGTTGTGACCACATTGGATCACACGTAGCAGAGTAGTGAACTTAAGATTAGAGAAGAAGTCTGGATTGGAATTCTTGTTGTTTTTTTTACAAGGTAAAGTACAGGGGTTTATATAGTAAAAGAAAGGTAGGCTATGCACAGTATAGCTGCGCAAAAAGAATGAGAAAGAACATGGAGGAAGGAATGTAGGCTGACAAATCCTGCGCAGGTAGTACAGGATAAGATCGTCAAAATAAGGAAAAGAAAGAGATAGAACAATGAATGCTATGTAAGTAATGTCACAGGTTTGTACAGCCATAAAATCAAGTCCAATCACAGAAAGAGAGCAAGAAAATTGTGATGTCATAAGAAGATGTGGTAAAAAAAAGAAGGCAAAAAAACATCAGTATCAACACAGTTCCTTTATTGTCAGTCAGGCATTCTAAAATGTGTCCATAAAATGATTCAAAAATCAAAATAATCGCACTGTAAATAAATGTTCTGCTGAAAAAAAGGAAACTGGAGCCACTGGTCCGCCACCTAGTCCAAATCCGACGGTTCCATGGCCTTACCAATGGACTGGTTGTACTGGACCACCTGGTCAAACAAGGGAGGGAGGGGAGTAGTTCCAATTTGGAACAAGTGAGTCCCAGGCAGCGTGTGGTAGCTGTAGCTGTAGCAAAGACGATGGACGAAAGATAAATGTACCCAAGGGAATGGGACAGCAATGTACATAGGCAACACAAGGGGATGAACCTTCTCCAGCTCAAAAACTACCCACCCACACTCCAACCAGGCGAGACGAGCGACCAATGTTTTGATGGTATATGATGGAAGATCGACGTCATGAAGATGGACTTGTTGTCCAACTTGGACCGGCCACCGGGGCTTTGCTGATATCAGCAGTGGCACATGGTGGTCGACAGATCGGCAATAGAAATGGATAGAAAGTGGTGACATCAGATATGGTGGGGGAGCAAAGAAGATGAGGAGGAGGAGGGTGGAGGTGACGAGGAGGTGAACTAAAATGGGGATCCAGAAGCGACCGTCAGGTGAGAATAAAAAAGAGAGCAAGGGTCCCACGGTGGGGCTGAGTAAAGAAAAAAGTAAAGGAGAACAACGAAAGCGAGGGCGCAATGTGTAGCCAGTGGCGACGCAAAAATTTGCCAAAATGCCAAAAGTACCGAATTCAAAAGCAAAGGTGAGTGCAGCTGAATTGCCTAATAGAGGTAGTGCTGATCAGCCACAAATTCGAAAAAGGTAGTATTAATTACTATTCCACGTGGCACTGTTCCTGTGTGGCGCAAAGGCGAGTCTTTTTGAATATTCGCTTCATTTTTGACACCTGTCCATGCTACCAATCAACTTTGGTGCATGACACCGCAGGACCAGAAAGCTTCCCTCCACCTCAAAATCAAGCACCTCACAATTGGTCGGACCAAGAATCTTTAGACCTCAAACCTGACATAGCTACCAGAATGTCTGACGAACCCAATCACGGCAGCAAAGCTATCCTCGCTTCCCCTCCATTTGAATTCAGTGGTAAAAAGGAAACCTACGTTGACTGGAAAAACGCATTGGCCAATTACTTCTTTGCATATCCCAAAAGTTTCGAAACCAATTCCTCTAAAGTCCTCTTTGCACTATCCCGCATCTCCTCTGACAAAGCGAACAATGCCTGTCACACTTGGAAGGCAAACTTTAACAATAGTACCGCAGTACAAGGAGATTTACTTGTGCCACGGAACTGGGGAACTATTTCAGAATTTATCAAGGAACTAGACACCGAATTCCTAGATCCCCACCTCAAATTGAAGGCAGAAATTGCGCTTCATAACTACGAACAAAGAGATATGACGGTGGATGCATACTTTGGAGGACTTGAGTCAAAACTTATGGAAGCAGGACTGCCGCCCGGCGCAGAAGAGAGTTATCCGTTCATTCAAAGTATCCTCCGCCAAAACCTCTCCCAATTCCTTCGTGACCGCATTTCTCAACAAGAGCACCTCCCCACAACGTACCTGGAGTGGAAGACAGCAGCTAGGAAATGGGAACAACAGAACGAAGAACTTAATCTGGAACGCAGGAGAGAGAGAGACCACCACAACAAAAACCCCAGTACCAGCAGTACAGACCACATTACCAACAGAATTGTAACAACACTCAGCCGTCACATAATCAACAAGCAGTACTGCGTACAGAGACGCAAAGACCACATTATATTCAACAACGACCGCATTACACAACACAGAGGCCGCCTCCCCAGAATGCAATCCATCCTAACCCTAACGCAGTAGGAACATTTGGAGGACCAGGTGTGCCTATGGAAATCGGAAGCTCGAATGCACAGAGACAATGTTGGTCCAACCCGGACATTATATGTTACAATTGTGGCCAGCAAGGCCACATTGCTAGGAATTGCCCACACGGAAAAGTGGCAATACATTATATGGAAACAGAGGAAACCAGAGACACTCCTGCTACATCATCATTAAAAGAAATTGAAGCGCCGCCAAAGGATTTTCAGAATGGTCAGGAGTAAGCACAAACTCTCTGACCCGCAAAGTTGTGTCTAACTCTTGTACACTACCTACGACTGCAATAAAACGAGTTGACCAATATTTACGTGCTGTTACTGAAACATATGCAAAGCCACATTCACCGGAATGGTTGGCTAGACGAATCAAGGACCAAGAACCCGAACGAGCAAGAGCTCTACTATGAAACTGGGCACATACAGACCACTACGAGCATATCACTCTACAAGCGATACAGATGCTAAAGAATCATAATGAGGAGAATATTGTGGAACGCATCCATGCCTATACTTCACCACACAGACCCATGCCAAAACGAAGTCTTCATGTCATTTCTCAAGTCACTACCACAGACAACCGACAGATATGCACAGTACCTACCCTTATCAACTCCGGCTGCACGAATTCGGTTATCGACCAAAGCCTAATTGACAAATATAACCTTCACACGACACCACTACCCATCCCTCTTGACGCCGCAGGAGCCGATGGCCAGTCCGAGAAAGTGACGCACTACGTCACCCTTCACATCAACGTGAAAGGAAAGGAACATCTAATGGATGTAATAGTTGCATCATTACTTTCACCACACATATTACTGGGACATGACTGGTTAATACTTACCAATCCTTCAATTAACTGGCAGGCCAACAAGATTACATTCCCTACCGACAATTTGGAGTATTGTCCTAAAGAAGGGGATAAAATCTTAGCCATCAATCTCAATTTCTGCATAATGGAAATCACACAACTCGAAATCAACACCTTTGCCACCAAAAGCCAACAGATAGCAGAGTCAGCAGAAAGAGCTAAGTCAAAACTCACCTTCCGAGATGTCATCCCACCAATTTACCATGAATTTGAACCCGTTTTTACCAAAGAATCATTCAACAAACTTCCCCCCAAACGCCCTTGGGACCACGCAATTGAATTAGTACCAGAAGCTAATGGTCTTGACTGCAAAACGTACCCTCTTAGCCGCGATGAACAACACCATCTAGATGAATTCCTTGACAAAAACCTGAAAAGTGAACGTATTCGAGTATCCAAATCACCTTATGCCTCGCCATTCTTCTTTATTAAAAAGAAAGACGGTTCACTACACCCTGTCCAAGACTATTGCAAACTGAACGAGCTTACCATAAAGAATCATTACATCCTCCCCCTCATATCCGAACTCATTGATAAGCTCAAAGGTGCCAATTACTTCACAAAGCTAGACGTGAGATGGGGGTACAACAATGTCCGAATCAATGAAGGAGACGAGCACAAAGCCGCTTTTAGAACCAATCGCGGCCTATTTGAACCCCTTGTTATGTTCTACGGACTTACCAACTCGCCGGCAACCTTCCAAACAATGATGGACCACCTCCTCAGAGAGCTGATCACAGAAGGAAAAGTTATCGTATATTTGGACAATATCATGATCTTCACAGAAACCCTCGAGGAACATCGTCAAATAGTCACCAGAGTCCTTCGCATTCTACAACAAAACCAATTATACCTTAAGCCGGAGAAATGCGAATTTGAGAAACAAGAAGTTGAATACCTTGGCATGATCATCTCCAGAGATACCATTCACATGGATCCGTTAAAAGTTGCAGCAGTAGCAGACTGGCCTACACCAAAGAACAAGAGAGAACTTCAATCCTTTTTAGGGTTTTCCAACTTCTATCGCAGATTCGTCAAGGACTACGGAAAAATCGCGAGACCACTTACTACGCTCACAGGAAAAGTTGATTGGATCTGGAAGGAAGAGCAAACAACGCCTTTTGAGATTTTAAAGAAAACACTCACCACTGCCCCCACTCTCGCCATACCAAATGACAACAATCCGTTCAAATTAGAAACAGATGCCTCTGACTTTGCTGTAGGAGCGGCCTTATCTCAAAAACAGAATGATAAATTTCGACCCATTGCATTTCTCTCAAAAGCCCTCACCCCCAGCGAACAAAACTATGAGATCTATGACAAAGAAATGCTCGCAGTTATGACTGCATTAGATGAATGGCGACATCACCTCGTAGGATCCAAACACCCCTTTACCATCTTCACCGATCATCAGAATCTCCTCTACTTCCGTCAACCCCAGAAATACAATCATCGCCAAGCTCAATGGTCTTCTCAGCTCGCAGACTACAACTTCAAGATGGAACACATCAAAGGGGATCAGAACACCAAAGCCGACCTGTTGAGCAGACGGGTTGACCATCCTAGAGGCGCAGATGACAACAAAAACCAGGCACTTCTCCCAGACATACACTTCAATGTGTTAGACACCAACAAAGGATATTTACCGGACATACATAGAAACTTCCAAAGACGAGACAACATTGTAAAGAGAAACTTGAAGGAGAAGCCTAACGTCTGGGAAGAAAGAGATAGAATTATCTGGATTAAAAGCAAGTCTGAGACGAGTTTCTACCCAATTCCACAAGCTGATTGCATATACATCCCACGAGACAACAAATTACGAGCACGCATACTGAAGGATCATCATGATGAAGTTCTTGCTGGACATCCAGGAGAGAGGACAATGTTCGAACGAGTAAACCGAGAGCTCTGGTGGCCCAGCCTCCACACCGATATTCAACAATATGTACGAGGATGCGAAAGCTGCCAAAGGACAAAGGCACATCAGACAAAGCCTAAAGCCCCTCTACACCCAAACCCGATACCAGATCGGCCTTGGCGAGTTATCACCACCAACCTCATAGGCGCCCTACCGGAGTCTAAGGGCTACACCGCCATTCAAGTCTTTGTAGACCGATTCAGTAAAATGGCACATTTCGTTCCCACCTTCATTACCCTTGACTCCGCCGGTTACGCTAAACAACTCAGGGATAATGTGATCCGACTCCACGGAGTACCCAAGAAGATTATATCTGATTGAGGCCCCCAATTCATGTCACGATTTACCAAAGACTTCTATGAGTTAATGGGAATACAGCCAGGCCTTTCTACGGGTTACCACCCTCAGACGGATGGGCAATCGGAACAGATCAATCAAGACCTCGAACATTATCTCCGCGTCTTTGTGAATCATCGACAAGATGACTGGACAGATTGGCTTTCCATCGCCGAATTTACATACAACAATCATTTCCACACCGCAACAAATCAGACACCCTTCTCCGTAAACTATGGTCAACACCCACGAACAAACACTACTACCTCTTTGTCACCACAATCCGCATCGGCCGCTGAGTTCGGCGAACAAATGAAACAACTTCATGACCTTACAAAGTCTTCCCTTCTCCTAGCAAACGAGAACCTCCGATGTTACTATGACCGTAAAAAATCCCCACCGCATGAATATCAGACAGGCGACAAACCCTGGTTAGAAGGTCATAACATCACGACAGATAGGCCAATGAAGAAATTGGACAACAAACGCTTTGGTCCTTTCAAAATCATCCAAAAAGTAGGGCCCTCGGCATATCAACTTGACATTCTGAAAAGTTGGAAGTCCATCCACCCCGTATTTAACGAGGCTATACTATCACCATACCATGCCCAGGAATTCCCTAACCAACCTGTCTCCTCGAGGCCACCACCCGAAATTGTTGAAGGAGTAGACAAATACGAAGTAGAGAATATAATTGTGTCTAGACCAATGAAACTACGAGGCGCTAAACTCGACTACTTGGTTCACTGGCATGGTTATCTGGTCTCCAAACGTACTTGGGAACCCGATACCAATCTTACGCACGTCTCCAATCTGCTTGTCGCCTCCCATAAAACGCATGCTGCTGCCCCTTGTATCATCACTGCTTCATTACACTTCCGTCCCTATGAAAACTACACCACAACTTCTAAATCCCCGATGCTTTTTGATTGGATTACTAATAAGTTCCAAAGTGCCGCTTCCGGACTCATGAGGACACGAGTCTTATAAAAGGGGAGCTAATGTAAGGAATCAATTTTTCTCATTGCATTCCCATCATGTCATGGCTATCCAACTCCTTCCTCGTTACTCCTCTCGCCCTCAGACTAGAGATCACAGCCGGTATTTTATTACTTTTATCTTTCTTCTTCTTCTTCTCCCTTCATACTCCTATTCTGCCGTACTTACAACAAAGGAGAGCCGTCATAGATCCTTGAGAAGATATCCGAATGACATAGCAATGATCCTACACTGTGTCAGGGAATACTTCGGAGGAATAGTAATCCGCAGTCTAGGATGTGACTCAGCGCCTAGTCATGGGCTTACTGATACAGCCGAATCATACATCACTTACCAAGACTCTCTCTCACGCCATTAGTAATTACGATAGATTGGACCACTTGTCTTTTCTTTTCGTATCTATTAGTTATTTGATTAGATCATCTTCTCACCTTCTCCTTTTTCGATCTAATCTTCGCTGTTCACTATAAAAGGAGTACATATTCGATGTATTATTCCTTAGTTCAATATTAGTTTGGATTCGAGCCTACATCAATACTCTTCACTAACAATACCCTGATCCACCACCTTCAAAAGGGACTTGGCCAGGCATTTGTTTGTGTTATATAGCTTCCCTGTTTGCTGCCTGACAGGTTGGTCACATGATTTCCCACTGGTTTCAACTGGTTTGAGCTACAAACTGCGGCAACACTAATCACGGTAGTGAACCAAATGCAAAAAAATCTACTAAGATCTGTTAGCTGTTGTTCCGAACAATGGCAAAGACATCTGCCAAAGCTACAATGCCTGGAAATTCTTACATAACCTGTGCCACTATGGCCCATCCTATTTTGCTTGTTTCAAGTCTCAGCTCAAAGGACCGCCGGTTATTGAACAATTACTGGTGGTCAAAACTCCTATAATTGCTGTTTAAGCCATGGACATCAATAACTCCACTATTTCAGGAAATATATGTGCTGTAGTGGACTTACTAGCACAGGGTGGGTTTCATGTGGCCAACAAAAGCAAACCCGAGGAGAATGATCTTGAGGACCATGTAGTATTGTTTCATGGTGATTCCGGCACAGGAGAACATCTCCAGGCCATCCAACAACGCCAAGCAATTGAGGAAACACCTTGGAACTGGTTCCAACATGTGATCTTTGTGCCTGGGCTGTTTCACCTCAAGATGGCGGCGGTGGACGGACTTCGGTGAGTTTATATACAGCCTGTGGCTGCCAGGGAAGATGAGACAAGCTTGATGTGTGATATGGCAAGGCTCCGCCCAAAGGAAACCAGGAATTTTTGCTTGAAACCCGGTTTCCATCAGACACATCAAGTTATTGGTCACACCAGCATCTGTTGACATCTGGATTGCTGGTGAATCAAAGCTAAGAAGCAAAATAGCCAGCAAACAACTCCAGAGGTGTTTTCTGGCAGCGAGCCATCATTCAAATGTTACGATCACACATTTTCGGACCTTTAAATTTCATTCTCCTCTTTAACCTTTTTAGATACAACTCTCTCACGCAGTGGAGCTGGTCACACGGGCTGGGCCCCATGACATCATCAGCCACTACCTCTATCAAACTGTACAGTACACATGTACAAATAAACCTGTAGTAGTATATATACCCCAATAGATCCAGGAAACTCCTCAGCGAGTCTTCCTGTTGTTTACCCACAACTAACTCGGTCCTCCCACTGAGCTTGCTAGCCTCAGGGACTGCGGTATACAAACCCAGTCACCCATTATTCTTCTTAGAGTTCGGCGTGTGCACCAGAGTATACAAACTTTTGGGTATTGTTACACTAAGACTCGCTCCCTCACTCTCCTGCACTGTGTGCAAAGCCGGACCACAGGCTTAAGTGGATTTCGTTATACGCGGCCCTCAGCGTTAAGAGGTGGTGTCCGAAAACCTTTCTTGGTTATACACGCGTCGTTGGGCCTAGTGCCAGACCGTAAGACCTAAAGGCGGTTCCCGCAGAGATAGGCTAGTGCCATACTCAAGGGAAATAGGAATTTATTGAAACATTACACGGCCCCCAGTGTCAAGGGGAGTAATTAGCAGCATCAGTGGTGTGGAACCATTGGTGTTTACATATTAGATAAACAGCTTCTTCTTCGAATACCTCTGACCAGGCCGGGCACTTGCCTCCGCCAGTTGGAGAAGGGTTGACAGCTTAACAAGCGGACCACCCCCTGACAACCGTTCGGACCAGGGTTTATTACGTTACTTTTTATATACATTTTATTACTATACGTGTGGGTAGTCGGAGATTGAGATCCGATATCCAGCTAGGAAGAGGTTGATCCGCAGATAGCAAGCGGGGACCCCTAGTTACTTTGTTTTTACTTTACACACCGAAACAAGTCGACATGTCGTCGCACGAACAACCGGATTACAATGCCCTCCTTCACAGGATGCGGCAACAGATCCTAGAGCTCACAGCTCAAATCGGCGAACTGCAAAACAATCCAGCAGCGTCAGTTGAAAGGAAGTTCAACAAAAAGGTCGAGATTGTCGCTGACCCCGGCAGTTTCGACGGAGACAGAGCAAGATTCGCCGAGTGGTGGATCAAGCTCCAAATATGGGTGAAGGCTAATTACAAGGCCTTTGAAGACGATTTCGAGTTATCGACAGCAGTATTGTCGAGACTCAAGGGACCTGTGGCGGGTCGATACGCCCAAGTTAGATTACAAGAGTGCTACCAGTCGGGCAACTGGCCAGCATGGGACAATCTCAAAGCGGAGATCGAAAAATACTTCAAGCCGCAGGCAGAACGCGACTGGGCGCGTCAGCAAATCCGGTCCTTCACTCAGGGAAACATGAGGACGGACGATTTCGTTACCGGGTTCCTGGCTCTCTCTATCCAAGGAGGGCTTGGGAACGAACACGCAGTAGAGTTGCTGGAGCGAAACGTAGCTCCAGCAATTGCCCAGCAACTCTACTTGCAAGGGTGACGAGAAGACGAGCTGGCGAACGCAGCAGAAGCCGTTCGGGATATCGGTAGAGCTCAGGAGCTCTATCAGATGCAATTTGGTGGCAGGTCCACCAACACAAACAACCAACCCCAGAGGCGCCCTGGGTTACCAAACCAAAAACAAAACCATTCTAACGGGTTTAGGCCTTATGGGCTGCAGCCAGGTAGAGGAGCTCCAATGGAGATCGGCGCGGTCCAAGGAGGACAGATGCGCAGATTTAAGGGCTCTTGCTACAGCTGTGGCAAAGAAGGGCATATGTCCCGAGACTGCAGAGCGCAGGCCGCTCAAAACACAAACACCCAAGGGTGCCAGGCGCGCCAATTAGAAATAGAAAAACCAGACGATCGGCTCAATTCGTTGACCGGTCGTTCATATGATGAAATTTGGGCCTTCTTCTATGATCAGCAGGCGGCTGAGATGAAGACTCAGGGAAAAGCGTAACGATACCCAGAAGTTTGTATACTCTGGTGCACACGCCGAACTCTAAGTGGAGGGTAATGGGTGACTGGGTTTGTATACCGCAGTCCCAGAGGCTAGCAAGCTCAGTAGGAGGACCGAGTTAGTTGTGGGTAAACAACAGGAAGACTTGCTGAGGAGTTTCCTGGATCTATTGGGGTATATATACTACTACAGGTTTATTTATACATGTGTACTGTACAGTTAACAGAGGCAGTGGCTGATGATGTCATGGGGCCCAGCACGTGTGACCAGCTCCACTGCGTGAGAGAGTTGTATCTAAAATGGAAAAGGTTAAAGAGGAGAATGAAAATTAAAGGTCCGAAAATGTGTGATCGTAACACTACCCCCCTCCTATGGTTCCACTTCCAGACGAGACCACGTACCAGAGGTTGTAGTTAGATTTTCGGGCATCAGTTGAAATAAAGAAGAAAATATTTTTGAGCCTATACCTCGAAGCTTCCTGGGAGCTGAGGGTTTGTTTTTATAAAATTTGCGAACAGCGTCTCGAGAATTATCCAGATGTGCTTCTGGTTCCCAAGTTCTGTCCTCGTCTCCATAGCCCCTCCAGTGGACTAGGAATTCTAATTTTCCACGCTTCAAGCGCGCGTCTACGACTTTTTCCACTTCAAATTCTTCGTGACCTTCCTGTGTCACTTCTACAGGTCCTGGCCTGTCCACTCGTTGACCTGGCAACGTTCCTTTGTAAGGTTTCACACGGCTGATGTTCACCGTGGGTACTACCTTCATACGTTTTGGGAGTTCCAGCTCCACTGCATTGGGCTAGACCGCCTTAATCCGGTAAGGGCCAATCCACTTTTCAGTCAATTTCCTTGATTGCCGATCTTTTAACTTTAAATGTTCGGTATCTAACCAAACTAGATCACCGACTTGGTAATCTGGGGATTTCGAGCGTCTACGCTCTGCTTTCTTAACCATCTGCTCAGCAGATTTAAACAACGCCTTGCGTGTTTCTTCTAAGACAGACTTCATGTCTTTTGCCATGGTTCCCGCAGCCTCGTTTTTGCTTTTACCAGGTTCTACACCCATTCTTGGTAGGTACGACCTCGTGACCTCGAATGGTGCTTTTCCTGTAGCCGACGACTGTTTAATGTTATATGAGAACTGGGCTATTTTTAGCCACTTGGCCCAATCCGTCTGTCTGTCATTGATAAATATTCGGAGATACTGCTTCAATTCCTGATTGAGTCTCTCCGTTTGTCCGTCTGTTTGCGGATGGAATGCCATTGATAATTTTGGCTTGATGCCCAGCATCCTACAAAGTTCTTTTGTAAATTCGCTAGCGAATTGAGGTCCTCTATCAGAGATACAAATGTTACCGCTGCACCAGCGTCTCAAAATGAGCGTGGCCCCGGCGAGATAAACACTAGGGTGCTTGGTTCTGGAAACAAAACACAAAAAAATATAGAAAAGAACAAAGTAGAAAAACATGTATCTTTTGATGATAGTATTTCTCTGGAGCCACTTCCCACAGAAACCCCAAGGCGTGTGTTGATGCGCACGTATATATTTCAAAAAGAGATCTGTTTAGACGTTGCGGTTGAAGACCTTGCCCAAGGGACTATACACCCAACTAGCGCACTGCTTGATTCAGGCGCCAACGGAATATTTATAGATCAGGTCTGGGCGGAGAAAGCTGGTCTCCCACTCCAAAAATTAGAAGCATCTATTTCTGTTTACAACGTTGATGGCACGCTTAATGCTGGTGGATGCATAACACACAAGTGTTCCTTCGTGGTCGAGTACCAAGGACACCGAGAACGCATCACTGCAGAAGCTACTCAACTAGGAAAGATTAACTTGATATTAGGCTGGACCTGGCTATTTAAACACAACCCTGAGATAGACTGGAAAACCGGGGCAGTTACACTGTCACGTTGTCCTCAGGAGTGTTCCGAATTAGGTAAACCTATTCACATACGTCAATCTGAATCTGAAGAGAAGATAAACGCTGGTCACGTTTATAACACACTCAGATCTCTGGATAAAGTAGACGACGATGATGATGAGGTTAAACCTGAAGAGGAAATAAAGAGGCTGGTACCTCCAGAGTATCATGACTTCTGGAAAGTCTTTTCAAAACATAAATCAGAGCGCTTCCCGGAGGCTAAGCCTTGGGACCATGCTATAGAGTTGAAGGATACTTTTAAACTGAAAAAGGGACACATGATTCCCCTCTCTGCTACAGAAAGAGAGGAGGTTTCAACCTTCATAGATGAGCAACTCAGGAAAGGGTACATCAAACCTTCCAAGAGTCCTCAGACGGCACCAGTATTCTTTATACCTAAAAAGGATGGTAAAAAGTGTATGGTTATGGACTATCGTTATTTAAACGAACACACGGTTAAAAATGCCTATCCGCTACCATTGATTGGTCAGCTAGTAGACAAATTGGCTGGCACCAAATTATTAACAAAGATGGATCTCAGATGGGGTTACAACAACGTACTCATCAAAGGAGAAGATACTTGGAAGGCAGCGTTCACATGCCACCGAGGATCCTTTGAGCCCCTCGTCATGTTCTTTGGACTTACGAACTCGCCTGCTACGTTCCAAAGCATGATGAATGAAATCTTTGCTGATATGGAAAATTGTGTCGTTATCTACATTGACGATGTCCTTATATTCACAAAGTCGGACGTTGGTAATCTACCTGAGTCAAACGGGTATGATTCAGTAATGGTGGTGGTGGATCGCTTCTCAAAGGAAGTTGTATTCATTCCCACAAATAAAACTATCACAGCCGCTGGCACGGCAGATCTATTTAAAGATTTTGTATGGTCTATCCAAGGGTTACCTGAAACGGTAATCTCCGATAGAGGACCTCAATTCGCTAGCGAATTTACAAAAGAACTTTGTAGGATGCTGGGCATCAAGCCGAAATTATCAACGGCATTCCATCCGCAAACAGACGGACAAACGGAGAGACTCAATCAGGAATTGAAGCAATATCTCCGGATATTTATCAATGACAGACAGACGGATTGGGCCAAGTGGCTAAAGATAGCCCAGTTCTCATATAATATTAAACAGTCGTCGGCTACAGGAAAAGCACCATTCGAGGTCACGAGGTCGTACCTACCAAGAATGGGTGTAGAACCTGGTAAAAGCAAAAACGAGGCTGCGGGAACCATGGCAAAAGACATGAAGTCTGTCTTAGAAGAAACACGCAAGGCGTTGTTTAAATCTGCTGAGCAGATGGTTAAGAAAGCAGAGCGTAGACGCTCGAAATCCCCAGATTACCAAGTCGGTGATCTAGTTTGGTTAGATACCGAACATTTAAAGTTAAAAGATCGGCAATCAAGGAAATTGACTGAAAAGTGGATTGGCCCTTACCGGATTAAGGCGGTCTAGCCCAATGCAGTGGAGCTGGAACTCCCAAAACGTATGAAGGTAGTACCCACGGTGAACATCAGCCGTGTGAAACCTTACAAAGGAACGTTGCCAGGTCAACGAGTGGACAGGCCAGGACCTGTAGAAGTGACACAGGAAGGTCACGAAGAATTTGAAGTGGAAAAAGTCGTAGACGCGCGCTTGAAGCGTGGAAAATTAGAATTCCTAGTCCACTGGAGGGGCTATGGAGACGAGGACAGAACTTGGGAACCAGAAGCACATCTGGATAATTCTCGAGACGCTGTTCGCAAATTTTATAAAAACAAACCCTCAGCTCCCAGGAAGCTTCGAGGTATAGGCTCAAAAATATTTTCTTCTTTATTTCAACTGATGCCCGAAAATCTAACTACAACCTCTGGTACGTGGTCTCGTCTGGAAGTGGAACCATAGGAGGGGGGTAGTGTTACGATCACACATTTTCGGACCTTTAAATTTCATTCTCCTCTTTAACCTTTTTAGATACAACTCTCTCATGCAGTGAAGCTGGTCACACGGGCTGGGCCCCATGACATCATCAGCCACTGCCTCTATTAACTGTACAGTACACATGTACAAAATAAACCTGTAGTAGTATATATACCCCAATAGATCCAGGAAACTCCTCAGCGAGTCTTCCTGTTGTTTACCCACAACTAACTCGGTCCTCCTACTGAGCTTGCTAGCCTCAGGGACTGCGGTATACAAACCTAGTCACCCATTATTCTTCTTAGAGTTCGGCGTGTGCACCAGAGTATACAAACTTCTGGGTATTGTTACATCAAAACCCTGCAACAAATGGCAGCTATGCTTGCAGAAGATTATGTTGGAGGCTACAAAATCAAATGTATGAAGCAGCGTCCAGAGTCAGTTCAGGATCAGCAACACAAAAATGGACTGTCATTCAATGTATATTATTTACTTTACGAAGAAATTTCATATGCGATGAACTTTGGGGACATTGGACGCGTTGAGGCCTGCCTTGTGTCCTGGATTCCAATATTCAGGGCAACTGGCAAGCATAAATATGCTTCTCATATAATGAACTACCTATTGAATGTTCATTATAACTATTCTGCTGGCCTTACGTAAGTGTTCTACAACTACACAAGATATGGACAAAACTTACTCAATCAAAACAGACACGCTGTTCAGTACAATATTCTTGTCTTTCCCACTGGAAACCCTGGTAAATTTTGAGGGGTCAACTGGTGTGTTGAACTTTACAACCTCTTCACAAAAGTTCAAAACGGTGGTGAAGGCTCAAACTACACTGTGAATTCAATATTATCAGAGTCCATATGAATCCAAGTATATAGACCAAACAAGATATGCCCTGGCTGCAAGACCAAACGCATTATTCCAGAGCTATTGAACAAGGGTATGGTGTTATTGGACCAGAATGAGATGGATAAGGCAGGTGGAATGGAAGATGAACTATTAGATGAAGAGATACAGGGACTAGAAGAAGAGGATGTACTTGCTGAACTTGAGTAACAATACAAATATAGGAATCCGACTTTGCACCAGTGACGACTATCCCACTAGAAGGAAAAATAAGTGCAGTTGTCTTGGGATCACGGATACGCATGATGACGGCCGCAAAACACTGCAATAATGAAGCTCATCAAGAATTTGAGAGCAGCTGCTGTAAAATTTAACAGTCATTACCGCCCTCACTGGAGAACAAAGACATACTTACATTCTCCTTATTAGTAGTAGCCAATGAGGAAAGTGAGCGGGAGGGATGATTGACGCAGACCTGATTGCAAGCTAGGCAAAAAGATGAGATACACATAGAGAAAAATAAGGGAAACATACAATTATGGCCCTTAAGCTTGCAAGTGCTGTACTTATTCTTTCTGGGAAGGACTGGTGTAGTGTGACTAATAGAGCCAGTGCTGGCGGATGGTTGAAGTGGGGTTGAGGCAAAAGGAGACACAGTAGTGGCAACAGGCCATGGGGCATAGCACTGTATTAATGCTATGACTTCTGCACCATACTTCTCTCACTGATGCCACTTTGTTTCCTTCTTCAGCTTGCTCAAAGTCTTAATCTTGCGGTGATGTGCACATTCAGGATTGTGTATGTTGCAACAGAAGAGGGGTTGAGAGATAGAGATATGGCAGCAAGAACACCCTGTTGGACTATCTGAGACACATAAGTGATAGTTGGAATCTGAAAAGTGAGGTGAGAAAGCGAGAACAACAGATATAGCTATGATAGGAACCTGGCTATTCTCACCAGCAGCTTTGTTGTCAAAATACAGGTCAAACACTTTTCGCCTACACTTTAAGCCTGGCTGCACATCAGCATTAATCATATAATCTAAAACAGGGTCCAATTCTAGTTTACGCTGCTTAGTCATTGATACTCCCTCTCTCCTTTCAGCCGCTGTTGCACGAAGTGCATCCATCAAATCTGTTTCCTCGTTGTCTTCTGTCTCTACCCCCAACTCCTCATTTGTCAAGTCATTGCCTGTACGTTCAGCCATAAAGCCTCAGCTGTAGGTGTTGTGGGCGCCTTTGAGCTTGTTATAATGAATCTTTTGGCTGGTGTGTTTGGTGTGTTGCTGTTTTTTTTTCCTCTTTTTTGTTTGACTTTTCTCTTTTTTTTTCTTGCGTTCTTCATCAAAACATTCTTTTTCAGCAAATATATCAGCTGTCCCTTGTAGCATCCAGTTGCAAGCTGCCCAAACAACATGCTGTCGTAGTGTCTCTATTCTCATCTTCACCTTCTGTCCTCATGCAACTCTCCACTGTATCACGAGAATGATATCTAGTATGTCTATTCCCTTTGTTACAGGACTAGTTAATTGATTACCAATGTTTCAAAAAAAGAGCCTACCATTCCAAACAAATCTGTGGTGCAAAAACCCCAAGTCTTACCGGACAACAAGTGCTGGTACTCGGTTTCCTTGAAGTGGGTGGACATTTCAGAGTTAAATTACTTGATTTTATTTTGTACTTCTGACGGTAAGTGGCTCTGCAAATATATTGTTGCACCAATCACATCTTGAATATTATCAAAGAAAATCAGGAATTTAATCAGTGGAGGGTTGGAAGGTTTCCAGCCATCAGGTATGAAGAAACCTAAATCGGCATATGTGTGCAGGGGGTACTGTATTTTACAAACTCTAATAGCTATGTTGGGACGGTCAGTTGAGTGGTGAATAGTGATAAGCTTGTCACTGCGTAAGTGTAACAGCCTACTGACACTTTTTAGTGTGTCTGGCGGGAGTGTGGCCAACATTACAAGGAAGGGTATATGTGAGGGCAATATATACCATAAACAACCTAGCTCTTGGTACTCTGGTCGGAAATTTCCCCATTTGGTGATACAACAAGCCTTGTTAAAGACAACACTGATCAGATGTGAGTTAAAAAGTGGGTCTTGTAGAATCTTTTCAAATTCTCCACCTGCTTTCATCATTTGCTTGGGGTTAATGATGATTGCCCTGTACATCATGCTCCTGATGGCCTGCATTCTTCCCCACATATCATTAGTGCTGGCAAGAAAATGGGTCTGTAACACACCCTAAACTTTTCCATAGAGGCCATTTTTGCATTCACCGCAATTGCATGGATTTTAGCTCTTTTGAGAGAAGTGACATTTTGCTTGCCTAGTAGATTTAATGGGGTAATAATCACTTGAATGCCATTAGGATTGAGTAGTAGTGGTATGCTGAATACAAGTGTCTTGCCCATTCCTGTTGCAGCTTTGACAATAATATCATGGCCTCCTGCAATAATTGCCTGTGCTGCTTCAGCCTGCCAAAGATATGGGTGCCTACCAAGTATTTCTTTTGTGACTTTTCAAATCTTGGCCAATATATAAGTAGTCTTGTGACCACCTGGCCACACTTGCTCAATAAGAACTTGGGCAGTTTCCATATTTGATCCATAAACTCCAGATTTAGCTGGCATGTTGGAAAAATACAATAGATAGAATTTCCCATATTTGATCTTTGCAGTCATGGGTCACTGTGGCAACTGTTGTTTACTGATGTTAAATTCCAGCCGCTATGAAGAGAGAGCAAGGACAAATGTTGTGCTGATTTTGAATTTTTATCATATCATATCCAATCATATCTTATCACATCAAATCTTTTGCTTTAGGATTAAGTCCCCCCCTCTCCAAACAGTGGATGGGGAGAAGCCTGCAAAGCTTGGATATATATCAAAACTAATCATCTTCTGGGGCATTGAGAAATCCAATAAAGTACAACTATTCAACCAAGGCAAATTATTGAACCATTATATAGTAAAATGTTATTTATGTGTTTTTTTTACATTGCAGTCTTTTCACTGCACACTGCACAACATTATACTCCAATTTGTGGCTGCAATACTACATCCACTGTTTGCATTGGGACTTGGTTGTGTAAAAGTTTGGTGCCTTTAATCCCCCACATGATCTATATCTGTTATAGTGCCAGTTACTGTAGAGTTACAAAGCTAGGTTCATCACAGCACTTTGAGGCCATTGAGCATGTTGTTGTGATGTTACAATAGCATTTTTGGACCTATTTTTCATTTTTCATATTTCGGACTTTTGTGCCACATGGCACTTACCATATGGGGATATTACATAAAGCTGAGCACATGGTGAAGTCATATGATTGATTACATGACAGGTCACATGATCAGTCATGTGACATGACATCATCAATTAGTAATATAGACAATAACATCATATAGAATACAATGGAACATTACAAATATTTGTATTAACTGTACAGTTCCACATGTATACTAGTATATATACCCTTGCAATAGATATAAACTCCTCAGCAAGTCCTCCTGTTGTATACCAACAACTAACTTGTTCCTACTACCTGACTCTACCAACTCACACTTCACTTCACTTCCTTATTATCTCTCTGAGTTTCTATGTGTAAACCAGAGTCTACAAACTTTGGGTATTGCTACACTAGGACTCACTCTCATCACTCTCCTGCACACTGTGCAAAGCTGGACCAAAGGCTTTAAGTGGAAATTACTATATGCGGCCCTCAGCGTTAAGAGGTGGTTCTGAAAACCTTTTCTTGTCCATACACAGATCATTGGGCTTAGTGCCAGACTGTAGTGACTAAAGGTGTTTCCACAGAGCAGGGTGAGCATTCCCACTCAAGGAAACTAGGAAAAACTCGAAACATCTACATGGCCCCCAGTGTCAAGGGGAGTACTTAGCTCAGCAGACGGTGTGGAGCCTCTGTTGATTAGATTATATACAAGCGTCTTCTTTGTGTTCCTCTGACCAGGCCAGGCACTAGCCTCTGCCAGTTTGGAGATGGGTTAACAGCTTAACAAGTGGACCACCCACTAACAACCATTCGGACCAGGGTTTATTACCATTACCTTTTATATATTTTTCAAATACTGTACGTGTGGGTAGTCGGAGATTGAGATCTGATATCCGACTGGGAAGAGGTAGATCCACAGTATAGCAAGTGGGGACCCCCAGTTACTTCTTTTTTACTTTACACACAAAACAAGTTGTTGCAAGAACAGCCCGTAGTTCTCAATGCCCTCCTTCACAGGATGAGACAACAAATTGTAGATCTGATGGCACAGCTCGGCGAAATGCAGGCCAACCCCCTTGCACAAGTTGAGTGAAAGTTTGACAAAAAAGTCGAGATTGTTGCTGACCCCGGCAGTTTCAAGGGAGACAGGGCTAAGTTTGCTGAATGGTGGATAAAGCTCCAAATTTGGATCAAGGCAAATTACAATGCCTTTGAAGACAATTTTGAGCTCTCAACTGCAGTCTTGTTGAGACTTAAAGGACCTGTGCCGGTTAATACACCCAAGTCAGACTCCAGGAGTGTTACCAGTCACAGTCGGGCAACTGGCCAAACCTGGGACAATCTCAAAGTAGAGATTGAAAAATATTTTAAACCACAGGTGGAGCAGGCATCAGAAAAACACGATTTATATATAAATGCAATTTATTGCGTTTATATGCTATAATAGCAAAAATATCCCTTATATCCATAAATGTGATTCTTGCACAGTCCCTTACTCTAAACTGCATAAAGATCAATAAATATCATCTTTATTGATATTTACACAGTTTAGAGTATTGATATATCATCAAAAGTGGTTTATAGCACAGTTGTTAAAACAAAAATGACCTTGCACTTTTTCACTATAGTTTACTCTAAATGCAATTCTATTGATCCATACTCAATTATATCCAAAGAAAAGCACTAATAAAGCAAATTATATTGATTCTAAATATTTGAAATGCTGCAGCACTATTGTAATATCTGTAATTATGATTTGGATGCTTTTGCTGCTTCCTCTAAAGCATCAAAATCAAACATAAGCTCAGATACATCAGATTGCCCCACTGTTATACAACCATTCCTACAAAAATACTTGAGGTTAAAAAAAAGGTTTGAATGATAATGAATTTGTAGTAAGCTCTTACCAAACATATTCATCAATCTCATCAAATACAGCTCCCAAGTATGTAGGAGAACATTTCTAAAATATTTCCAACAACCTCATATGATGATCCCACCTTGTAAAAGTATAATTAGTATAGATTTATGGTGATCAAGGTGACGTACCTAGCAGAAAATGCTGTCTCTGAGAATTCTATTATAGTGTTGTTAATAGCACCTAGTAGAGCACATTCAATCTGGTAAATAAATTTGATTGTCAGTTTTATTTAAAGAAAGATATGAACACTTACAAAGCATGCTACTAGAGCCAAAGTAGGAAGATTGCGTAGATATGGGTTATTTTTTCTACCATACTTTCTACCTTCACCTTTAGGACCCCACCATTGTGCTTGAAAAAGAATTTTGATGATATCATTCTTCCAAGGTTGGTTTGTGTCAGACGTCTTCTCTTGTATATTTGCAGTCAGTATAAGTATAACAATAAAGCTCTAAAATAACTCACCTTTAAATCTATGCTGTTATTGATAAAAGCTCCTGAGTTTATGATCCAATGGATTGTATCACTTAGTTTGTCCTTGTGGATGTTTTTGATGCCATACGTAGGGGGTACACTGATTTTAGCTTTGGAAATAAGTTCCCCTCTGACCTATGTAGAACCTTTCCACATCTGTATTTACGGTGATAATCAGTATGGATATATATGAAGAAGTTTAAACTCATGTATTGTAGTACTTGAGACTTGAGGACCTGGTCATCTTGTATCTCCTTCATTTTGTCCACTAGGCCACTGTCATTCTCTGCTGCTGTGGCTTTGACCAACAAATCCCAGCATATTGATTGACGACTGAGGGGATTTGGAAATCCTTTTTCTGTGACTGTAAAAAGTCTCATAGCTTTGTGAGCCAGGCTTGCAATACATTTGTTGTTAGGGCAGGCCATAGAATGAAGCTTTGGTTTTGCAGTGGAAGATTTTGGAAGAGAAATGATGTTGGGGCTCCATGACACAGTAGATGTAGATGTAGAAACAGTGGGACAATCTGTTCCTCTTACAACCTGTAGGCAAGTAAATAAATGTTCTCAAGGTGACAATAGTCTTACCTCATTATCATCCACAACTCTTTTTGGGGAACTCTCCTCCTCCTCCTCCTCCTCCTCCTCCTCCTCCTCCTCCTCCTCATTATCATCTGATAGAGGCTGTAAAGGAGGTATTACAGAATTATCTTGATCATCACTAGATATTTCTGCAGGACCCAGAATATGATCTATCATAATTTTGCGATCATCAGCATTGTCATCATTATCATTGTTGTCATTATCATCACCATCCAGACATATTTTCTTGCCATGTAGGTCATCTCCTTCAGAATCTTCTTCATCAGCCAACATTGCTGCTACTCTCTTACGCGTAGCTGCAAATAGGTATTCAGTTTTTGTGCCCTTAAGAGTAAGATCACGTACCAGATTTCTCTGCCTCAGCTTCTGAGGCTAATGCAACCTTTTTTCTTGCTAGAAGAGCCCCAAGCAAATTTTCATCTTCTTTGCTGAGTGTTGTGGCAGCTGTGGCATTAGGTTTTGCAGAAATAGCCTGAAAATTGTAAATAGTAAGGTATTGGTGTAGAATAAATAAGAAAGACCTGTTTATTTTGACGTGGCTGGGGCTGTCTAGGCTGAGTTGAAGGAGGTGGTGATGGAGAAGATGCTGTCACTAGATCATTTGCTACACCTCTGCCCCTAGTTCTGAGAGCAGTAACTTGTTTGGACCGTGTAACTCTAGGCACTGAAGTCCTCAAAAAAAACAAGCAAAAATGGCAAGACCTGAATGCGTTTTCAGCCGAATGGTAATTCATAATAAATAAGCAAAAACAAACCATACTGGGACCCACAAAATGACACATTACCTGCGTCCCCTCTATCCCTTCCAAAACCTATAAGTCAAAATAAGCAACCCAAATAAACTGATATTAAGTTTTAAGCTACATCTACTTAAAGAATGCATTCCTCTCCCAACCATTCCTATTTTCTACCCAATTTCTAAACTGACCATCTGTGTGTAAGTCAAATAAGGCTCTCTTGCCCTGATAATCTAAATTAAAGTGTGTTGACTCCTTAGATCTGAAAATGGCAAAATCCCCACTCTTCAGCTCAAGAACAAGTCCCTGCTCATGTAACACAAGAGCACCCTCTGTAAAATCTCCCAGTGGAAGAACAAGGCAAAGGATGTGATCCTTACCATCCCTATGAGTGGTGGTGCTCACATTAATATTAACAACAAGGATAAAAAAGGAGTGACTGGAGATCCTGGTTTTCCAGGGAGGGTATCAACTATCTTGGCTAGCATAGAGTATTCTTCTGGTAGGCAGAATTCCATCTAGAAAACACATACATCAGAGAAATTTAGGCATGAAAGAAATAGCAGAAATCTTACAACGTCAGAAATCCATTGGAAAACATCTGCAAAAGCATCCTGCAAGTTCAAATAAAGCTGCTCATTGTCTGAGCCCTCCTTTGACAAATAAGGGATCATCTGGGTTTTGTTAGTGACGCCTAATTCATGTGGGTGCACATCAATAGGTGCCCCATAACCCTTGATCAATGTCTGTATGTGAGTGATATATATATAGAGAGGGGGGGAAACATACCTGAGTCCCATATCTGTTCCACCAGGAGAAGTGGAGACATTTGAAAGGTTCATCATTACCCAGAGCGCTGGAGAATACTGGCAACCCATCAAAGCTAGCCTTGAGGTGGGCCACTAGAGTTGTCTTCATATGCCTAGGCATTGAATGGCATATGAACACCATCAATGTGTCGTCGTCATTTTGCATATCGATTGCTGGAGGAATAGATGACATGGGAATGCGTATATAAACTCCATCCCTTTTGCATCCATTAGGATAAAATGTAGATAGCTGTATATCAAGTATCAGATGAGAAAGGAGCATAGGAAAGTGACTGGAACTTACCTTGGCAGACAAATCTTGCATATCTGTGATGGCAGGGGCATTGCATGCTAAGACACGCTCAGATATTGTCCACCAATTGTTTTCTGAGCTGTTGTGGCTGGCTGGATATGTAATGTTGCATTCTGCAAGGCACTGAAACTTTGTCTTGATCCTGCAAGGGGTTGGGATTGTGTCAATTGCATCATCCATTGCATCGTCCATCGTAAAAGGCATCTGGGTGGCCCAAAGAGAGAGCGGTTCTTCCATGCATGGAAGAAGGCACTTCCTCCATGCATGATGTGAGTGTTTGGGTAAGCAAAACATACTACAATGTAGATAGATATTAGCAGGAATATACTGTAAGTGAAACTGAAGACTTACTTTAGTTCAACAGAATTGAACAGCCTGTCCGCGTCTTTGAGAGACATACAATCAAAGATTTTCTTGAGGAAAAGACCCGGGAAGGTAAGTGCGAGGGACTGGCCTAGGCGCACAATGGTGGGGATGATTTGGGCATGGACAAGAGCACCAACACCTTATAAAAAGTGAGTAGCTGCTTGTTGGGGATGGGAGAGGGGTGAGGAGGAGGACAGAGCAACTTACCATCTGTTCCAGGGTCCCTCAGCACCTTTGCAACCTCCCATGGCACCCTAGAGCCTACCCTACTCAACGTCCAACGCATGTCAAGGCCAGCAATGAGGACAAGAGAGTAGATTGACCCACCGGCAGTGATTTGCATGTACTTCCAGCCGGTTGAGACCCACTGGTAGAATGCATGCTCAGTGGGACATCCAGCAAGGCCCTTTACCTTGCCATCATAAAGGCCCTTGAGGATTTGGTAAGGACCTGCAGCACTTAGCAGGCTCAAGTTTGTGTAAGCGTGTACATTCAAAATGTAATTATAACATTGCACTTACCTGTGAGTCTTCACAGCAAGATTAATCTTGCTCACCATCATCATGAAAGACACGCCTACCTCATGGCTAATCAAACGAGAGCAGAGCAAAACAGTGTCCTCCGAATGATTGAACCCAGATCCCTGCCAAGTCCCACAGGAAATAAAGGCCTTGATATCATTGATCCATCGAGCAAGACTGAGGGAAATTGAGTTGAAATGAGCTGTGGCCATGGTGGAAATAATGGCATCCGAAGATGCAGTTGAGGTATGTGCAACATTCCTGCCAATTTTCCATCTGCTACCGGCTACTAAAGCCACACCATTTCTAGGGCATCTGTGCTGGGGTAGCGGCCTATCTCCATCCGGTCCTTGCAATTGAATGGGAGGTCCGGCATCCAGTGAGAGAAGATCTTGGAGTCTTCTTTTTAGCTGCATGTTTTGATCCTGGCTACTCTCTAGACAGGTTAGGATAATATTAACATCTTGGTAGGATAGCAAAACTTCGAAGATTTAGCGTGAGTCTTGCATTTTGAGACTTTTTGCTGAGAGGTTCTCTGGCACTGTGTGACACGATGTGGCCCTACCCACCGCATGTTGTGGACAACATTCTCACGCCCATTTTACAACCTTGCTGCAGTCAAATCACGCTATTTCTGCAAAGTTTGAGCATAGTTCTGGAGCCCTGGTCCTGGTCTATACAATGATCAGCTATTCCTGATGGTATTATGAAAGGAATGGGACCAGAAATACGAACCTATTAATGGTTATCAGAGGTAGAAGTGACTAATATATCTTACTCACTCAGGAAACTGCAGACACCCCTCAACCCCTTCACGCTGACTTGCACACATTACTAACATTCTACTTGACAGATTTCTCTCTGTTTTCCAATGCAATCACTTGATGAATCCAGCCAGACATGTGCATGACGCCCTATTCTGCATGTGGGAAAATTTTACTTACCCAATTTGTGGTTGGGACATGGCCATTGTAACACTGGACTTCCAGCCAATTCCCAAGCTTCACAAATAAATCTGAGCTACAGATACAGGGTAAGCCTCTCATTTTGCACTGAAAGGTTACTAGTTGATTGAAGGAGAAATAGTTGACATCTTTTGTATGGCCACATAATCTGAATAAAATTGCAACTCACAAGGCGATGGATATTGAAATTCACAAAGAGTGAAGTGTGCATAGCTATTCCAACTTACAAGTCATGGATTTTGACCACATATTCAAGTCACCACCTATGCCACTCTGGGCCAATTCAAATGATGTGATCTATAATTTCATTGATTGTCACAAAAAAAAAGGTCAATATTACAACTCAAAGGATTACCTTTACATGTTCCTTTCTGTGCAGCTCCAAAAACCCCACGAGATCCCAGATGTATCCTACCTTTTGAAACAATGGATAGAAGATGGCCAATTTCTTGAGGCATTTGCCAGCGAGCTAGATTCTCATGCTATTGATACTGCGACATGGCATGCTCACGCTCACGCTCAGTCAAAGACACCACAGCCAACTTACTCACCATCCCAGACCATGCAAGAATGGATCCTTGTGTAACAATACCCAGAAGTTTGTATACTCTGGTGCACACGCCAAACTCTGAAGGATGATGAAGGGTCTGAGTGGGTATACTCAGCCTAAGCTAGCAAGCTTAGTAGGAGGAACAAGTGTGTTGTGGGTAAACAACAGGAAGACTCGCTGAGGAGTCTTTGTCTTTATTGCTAGGTATATATACTACAATACATGTGGTACTGTACAGTTAATGTAAATATTTGTAATGTTCCATAATGTTCCATCGTATTCTATATGATGTCATTGTCTATATTAATAAGTAGTGATGTCATGTCATGTGACCTGTCATGTGACTGATGATGTAAGCGATCTTGTGTCCTGTCACATGATTGGTCTCGTGACTTCACCATGTGCCAACTTATGTAATATCTCCATATAGTAAGTCACGTGACATAGAGTTTGAAAATAAAAAGTAAACATAGGTTCTGAAAATGTGATCGTAACACTACCCCCCTCCTATGGTTCGACTTCCAGACGAGACCAAGTTCCAGAGGTTGTAGTTAAATTTTCAGGCATAGGTTGAAATAAAGAGGAAAACATATTTGAGTCCATTCCTTGAAGCTTCCTAGGAGCTGAGGGTTTTGCTTTATAAAAATCGCAAACAGCGTCTCGAGAATTATCCAGATGGGTTTCTGGTTCCCAAGTTCTGTCCTCGTCTCCATAGCCCTTCCAGTGGACTAGGAATTCTAATTTCCCACGCTTCAAGCGTGCATCTACGACTTTCTCTACTTCAAATTCTTCGTGACCTTCCTGTGTCACTTCTACAGGTCCTGGCCTGTCCACTCATTGACCCGGCAACATTCCTTTATAAGGTTTTACACGGCTAATGTTAACCGTGGGAACCACGTTCATACGTTTTGGGAGTTCCAGCTCCACTGCATTGGGCTTGACTGCCTTAATCCGGTAAGGGCCAATCCATTTTTCGGTCAATTTCCTTGATTGCCGATCTTATATATATGTGTGCATCAACACATGTCTTTGGGTTTCTCTTGAAAGTGGCTCTAAAGAAATACTACTATCAAAAAAAACATGTTTTTTTGTCTCTTGTTCTTTTCTACATTTATTTGTGTGTTGTTACCAGAATCAAGCACCCTAGTTTTAATATGGCCGGGGCCGCGCTCAGATTGAGACGCTGTCATGCACCAAAGTTGACTGGTAGCATGGACAGGTGTCAGTAATGAAGCAGAAATTCAAAAGACTCGCCTTTGTGTGTGCGGAGCTTGCTATCACTGGGATCCTCATCATCTTTATTGTTCTCAAACCTGCCTTGTGCTACAATTAGCAAGGTAGTGCTCATCCCGCTTTGCCACAGTACCAAGCCCCCATCTCAGCTAACCCTTGTCCTCAAACCCACACCACTTGGGATTTATTTTGAAGGACCATAAAGCTTACCACCCCACAAACAACCAGAGCACCCACCATCCTAGGAGGCCTGGCCCACAAACAAGTTCCGTGGAATCTGGGAGGATTATTTGTTAGTTTGTTTTTGTGTGTGGTTTTCTAACAGGCAGTCTTCATCATTGACAATGCTGGTGCAGCAATTACATTGATATCATAAATAGTACCATTACAATCATCTGAATCATCTGTTACACAACTCTCAAGGGGTGAGAAGTAATTATAATTAGAACAAGTGGGAGCCACCCCATATCCTTTATTGCGCGTGCCACATCCCAGATCAGGAGCCACCTTGTTGTGGTTTACTTTATTATATTAAGGAGCTAAGGTACCCAAGTTACCTAAGCTCCAAATTCTTTTCCCTGAGCCTTCATTTCAGCTACCTGCTGATCATAGAAAAAGGCCTGGATTTTGTCGTAAGAACAACCAGTCAGTGAGTTGAGCTGATCATCCAGTTTTTCTGTTTCTAATTGGCACGCCTGGCACCCTTGGTTTTGGTTTTGAGCAACCTGTGCACCATTTCTACAATCTTGGGACATGTGCCCCTTCCTTGCCACAGTTGTAACAGGAGCCCTTGAATCTGCACTTTTGTCCCTCCTGGACCGCACTGATATCCATAGGAGCCCCCCACCCTGGCTGCAGCCTGTACGGCTTGAACCTGTTGGAATTGTTTTGTTGCTTTGGTAACCCAGGGCGCCTCTGGGAATTGTTGTTGTATTTGTTGGTGGACCTGCCACCAAATTGCATTTGATAGAGCTCTTGAGCCCAACCAATTTCTCGAACCGCTTCTGCTGCGGGCACCAAATCATCTTCTCGTTGGAGATAGAGTTGCTAAGTGATTGCTAGAGCCACGTTCTGCTCCAACAACTCTACTGCATGTTCACTCCAAGCCCTCCTTGGATGGAGAGGGCCAGGAATTGGGTTACAATTGTCTGTCCTCATGTTGCCCTGTTTAAAGGAACAGATCTGCTGGTGTGCCCAGTCACATCAGGAAAACATGATTTTACTATGATTGGATATAGTTTGGTATGATTGGGTGATAGATCAAAAATAGCATTTGTGGCAAATAGTGCACTATAGATTGATATAGATGCCACTACTGCTGCATATAGAGTACTTTTATTGCAATTAAGGCCAATCAGATCAGTTCAAAGTTGTCAATACTAAAATAATGGACTTCAAGTTACTATACTATGACAGATGAATTCTATACTACCATATTGTTTGGTATGCAAATTTACTAGCCCAATTATTAAGTAAAAATGATCCACAAACATCCAGTACATTATCTGTCCTCCAAGTAGATGGCCAAACACTTCCAGGTCCAGTAAGAGGAACCAGATGACAACTTTGACTTATGTTCCCCAGTAGAATAATAGCACCAGGTGCAACACCATTTGCCTTAGGGACTGGCTTGGTAATAACGTACATGTTATGAAATTGCCCAGGATTTCTAGATATTTTGTACCACTCCACGTAAGCCAAAAGGCCTTTGGGCCATGAATGAGGTGCAATGTTGTAAGAATAAAGGATATCTGGGAGTGAGAATATGACCCTCAATCTCCCAACCTTCATCCCTATAGTGACATAGTAAGCAAAGAAGCAGTAGAGGGACAATACAGTTTGATGTACCTTGCAGGCCTGTTGCCTCTGCTTCATCAGTATGTGCTACAATAACAGCATCAAATCTGCCCTCCTCTCCTCTTTTTCCAGGCTGGGCCTTTATACCATCCATATTTTGGATGCTATCTATATCATTACTCAGACTATCCAACACAAATTTGAATGAGTGCCAAATATTTAGTTGATCAAATGGAAGCTGGGCCAAGGCTACTTGATTTCTAGGGATTGTGTTCCCTCTGTCCATGAATTTGTTAAGGAAAGTACGTAGGTGATATGAGAAAGATGGACATTGATGACTTGTTTGAATGCTTTTCAGTGTCTGGCCAGGGGAATGTGGATGTTTAGCCAGGAAAATAGATAGGGATTTGGATGAAGGCGATGAACTAGCCTCTATACCTCCTTCCAGCTCTGCCTGCTTCTCTTCTTCTCTCTTGTAGTCGTTCAGGTAGCTTTCAAACATAGCTACTTTCTCCTGCCTACTAAGCCACTGAGTCATCTGAGGAACTTTGTCATGGGAATTTGATACCCTCCAGCCTTCCTTGGCAAAATCTACGTGGAACCTTTTGAACATTTTTGTGTTGTAATTGTTGGTGGTGCCAAAATTTCTAATACATTCAGCATAGTGTAGCATGGAGTGAAACTTGGGAATGTTGAGATGTTCTCGTACCCCAAGATGGACAAAAATGTGCTTGTTGGCATGATAGAGATCCGGGGAATCTTCCGGGTATTGAATGGTGGTATCGTCATGGCTTGCATATTGTGCAATGTAGATAAAGTCCAGGAGTGCCCTATAACACATTACAACCTGAGAGGGGACCTTCCTTACAATTCACCCCAGTAAAATCCTCGCCATATCTTTTCTCTCCGTCCCAGATATCTGGGATAGCTGTGACCAACCATGCTTGAAATGCCGTACACCAAAGCAAGGTGGGAGTCTACAAATGCGATCATCCAGCTCTTTGTTGGTCATCAAGCTAGAGCACCAGTGAATCAGATGTTTTACGATACCTTGGTAGAGTTGACGGAGTATATCAGGGGTTATGGCCATGTGGATGTTGCAATGAGGAAACCCCTCCCAGAAAGGATGATGGACACCCCCAGACACATTTTGAGCTTTGCATCTCTCCTGGAAATTGCTGATAGAGGTTGCATCAACTTTGGCTGTCAATATAACCTCAGCAGTCTTCCTCTGGGTCCTCCATCTCCCTGGACGTCTTTCTCCCATGGTATCTTCAGAGGCATTGCATTTAGGACAGGTCCCATATTTTGCACAGGTGACAAGACATTGTTCTGGATAATCAGCTACGTAGCAGGCTAGGATGGGATGGATCCTCCTAACCCTTCCATCTCCCCCTGTGACTTCCATTCCACACTTGCCAGGCTCTATCAGAGGCTCCAAGACTATGCACATTGAGTCATGAAAGAGTTGTTGAATATGTGCTGACTTTTGCTTTTTGGATAGATTGTCTCCTACATTTTTGCTGACAGAGAGATAGGCAATGAGAATACAGGCGTGTTTGGAAGGTTTACGGCGCATAGATCTGGGCAAATTTTCCAGAGTTAGATATACTGGATAAGCAAACTTGTTGCCAGAGAACTGGGTGAGTTGCGTCTTGTCTGTGGCTATGATAACAGGGGCTACACAGGCACCTTCAGGTAAGCAATTGTAGATGGGAATATTATTGTCAAATATCTGAAATGACACATTTAGATTCATGCCACCTGCCTGTACTGTGTTCTACCAATCTCTGGTCCACATCTCATTGTAAATCCTGTGAGATTTTGAAGCATTGGTGAAGATGCGCTTGGGCCTGTAGACAATATCCTTGGCATGAGCTGGATTTCCTAGCAAGGACTTGATAGCTTCAATAGGATCACGATGATAAACCATATGCTTATGCTCGGGACTGTTCCTGAACCACAATTCTCTAGTTTTCCAAGTAGCACGTTCTGGAACACAATTGACCAGCTTATGGAGCCCATATATATTATGGTAGGATAGACCTAATTTATCCGCCACCTTTGTTGAAATAGATAAATCAGTATATGTGCTTGAAAAAGAGAAGAGGCAATGTACCCCTGGTATTGCCATTAATCTATCAAATGATTTATGGCCTACTCCATCCTGTACAGCCCAGCAAGCAACCCTCCAGTCTAGCTCTGACGCAAAGGGTGCAAAAATGTTCCCTAATCCATCTGACATATCTGAATCCATATCCATATCACCATCCATATCCTCAGCTCCAAATTCTCTCCTCCATCTTTCATACACTGTTTTATCCATCCTAATCACCTTGCCTGCAGTAGGGTGGGGTACCTCAATACGCTCCTCATTATCTTCATCAGGAAGCTTTGAGGGTCCAGCCATATTCTCCTCAGATTCTGTGGGAATAAGGTCATAGAGATGATCATAGTAGTCATCCACCACGTCTTCTGGGTCTTCACCCATAGGTCTAAGTTCATCAGGTAACATGTCAGGTACTTCCCTTATCTCCAAATCATTGCCCCTATCAAGTTCTCCTGGAATTGTCAAACTTTGTAGCTTCCCTTTGTTATACCATTTGCAGCTTCTTGCTGACAACAAATGGGATATCAGGCCCTGGGGAGTTTTAAGCTTCTTGTGACAAGCAGGACAGATTGTAGGATCCTCCTCCGTAGACTGGGCAGATGTGAGCTCAACTTGAACATTCAAAGTGTAACAATACCCAAAGTTTGTATACTCTGGTGCACACGCCGAACTCTAAGAAGTATAGATGGGTGACTGAGTTTGTATACTGCAGTCCCTGAGGCTAGCAAGCTCAGTGGGAGGACCAAGTTAGTTGTGGGTAAACAACAGGAAGACTCGCTGAGGAGTTTCCTGGATCTATTGGGGTATATATACTACTACAGGGCTATTTGTACATGTGTACTGTACAGTTTGATAGAGGTAGTGGCTGATGATGTCATGGGGCCCAGCCCGTGTGACCAGCTCCACTGCGTGAGAGAGTTGTATCTAAAAATGAAAAAAGGTTAAAGAGGAGAATGAAATTTAAAGGTCCGAAAATGTGTGATCGTAACACAAAGCCTGAAGTACTGATCATAGGCCAACCATAATGAGATGCTAGACATAGAGAGGGAGGCACCTACTGGATCAGATGGATGGGCATTTACGTGACAAGCACAATGATGGCAAAGGTCAGTGAGGCAAAAATACAACAGTCTGAATACATATCATCAAACCTAAATATTACATGTAAAGCTACAGACTACACTGTGACTGATAGCAATACATTCTATAGGCACAGTTCAGGATTTGTTCATAATCGTAAAATAAAAGACAAAAAAGTACCTCCTTTTACTTTTTTTGCCTGCTATGGGTGCGTGTTGATCTCAGGTGCTTGCTGACAGGCTCCTCCCCTTCATTTCTATCTGAAGTGCATTTAGTTCCACTTGAAGGCTTGCTGGGCCCAGATATGGGTGGGTCTGGGGGACTGTGATGGTCGACAGGCAAAGACAAGAGACATGGTTTCTTCACGTCTTGGAGCTGCAGCTGGTACCTCTCTCTTCCAGCAGTGATAACCTCCACAGATGCTCCCACCCTATCAGACTCAGGCTCAATACTGTTCCTCATATCTTTCACAATATCCACCATCTCCTGGTGTGAAATATGTTTGGGAGGAGGACTATAAAGCATGTTGCCATCACCACTAAATGTTTCACTCCACATGAACGCACTGAAAAGCTTGACCATCTCTGCCCTGACAGACACATGCCAGCGGAAATAAGGGTTGATGCATGCCATAAAGTGTAGGCGTGAGAGCATAACTTTTTTCATTGCTACTGTGTTGGCGTCAAGTGTGTGGCACCCCCATTAGACCCAGACAGGAATATTGTCTCGTTTGCTGTGAGAAGAAAGTTGCGACTGATGAGATGGGATATTCAGGTGATGAGATGGGATATTCAGGATGCCTCCCTTAGTACCATTGCTGGGGAGATCCTCTTGGTAATCAGAGGTACTGTGATGCTGATGAGATGATGACTTTGGAGGCTGATGAGATGCTGAGAGCTTTGAGAACGCAGTTTCCTTCCCTTTCTGCTTCTAAGATGCTGAGCACTTTGAGAATGCAGTTCCCTTCCCTTTCTGCTTCTGAGATGCTGAGCGCTTTGAGAATGCAGTTCCCTTCTCTTTCTGCTTCTGAGATACTGAGTGCTTTAATGATGCAGGTGCTTTGTCAACCTCTGCTGCAGCAGTTTCCTTCTCTTTCTCAACCCAGTCAATTTGCTGACAGTAGGGACCTTTGCAGTTAATCATGATCAACCATAGCATCCAGAAAACAGACTCTAAGTTATGGATGTAATTGTGTGGTACTTCAGGCTGTAAAATCCTCCCTATAGCTTGGTAAGGATAAATCCCCTACATTCAGGACATATCAGTAAAGATTCTAATATAATTGGTTTTGTTTACTCACTGTAAGATATCTTGTGGTCCTAACTGTGTCTCCATCTTGAACGTTTTCAGCCATTGCCCAATCTCCCAAGACACCAGGACGCTGTGGATACCAGTTATTACTAATGTCAACAGGCCAATCTGGGACAGCAAAATGGGGCAAAGCAGCCTTGACTCGAAGCCATGAATTGCCATTGCTAACATCACAATGAATGAAACCACGTCTCATGTGACCATTCTGAAGGCCTGCATAGCCAGCCAGATATTAGCAAGAGATGAGATGAACGTAAATAATCCTTGGTTTACCAAGTAAAACACCAATGATCCCATCCAGCATTTCACGTACACAGGAAAACCACACAAGTTCTACCCCAACTGTTTTCATGGCCATGCAATGATGTGTATGGTCCTCCAAGGCTGCCAACTCTGCCAACTCTGAAACTCCAGTAGCACTCATGATGACTTTGGTCGTGTCCTGAATAAGCGTCTGAGGATGTGCAATAGATGGCACAAGGGTCAAGGATGGTGAAAGACAATGGTCTCGTATTGGAATTCCAGACAAGAAGTGTATGTCATCCCAACCAGTGTTTGCCCTATCATATAAGGCATCCACGTCTGGGTGTCCAGCTAATATGATGTCGTTAAAAGATGCAAGAGGCTGAGATGTATGATTGTCAGGAAAATGAAAGATAGGCGTGGAGTTGTTTGGATTGTAGCCTACAAAGAATGGATCCCTTGCAAGATCTTCTAGCTTGTCGTGAATGTTGCTGTTGGAAGGTGTACCAGTGGTAAACCAACAATCCTTGATGATGACATGATCAGGATCTTCAAGTGCACGAGGCCCATCACCAGAGACCTCCGCCACCATAACCCTTGTGGCTCTTCCTAACAGGCCCGTCGGCTTGAAGAGGATTGCAACAACTTTACAGAGTAGAGTGGCTGCGCCTTGCTGAACATGAAACACTGGCACACCCTCATTGTCATAATACATAGCATGGTCATAGCCTAGCCATCCAGTTTTTGAGTAACGTAGGAAGATCATGGTTCTGATGAGTAGCTCTGGATATGAATGGTGAACTGGTAGCATTTCCTCCTCTGGTGAATAACAATATCCTTAGCATTGGCCCACAGAGGGATAGTCCAACACAATATCTCTTGGAAACTTTGCTCACGAAGGACAAACAATGCTGTATCTGCCAACTGTCCTATGGCAAGGTTGACAAGGTGAGGAGAGTCTGCGTATTTGACCTCGCACGTAGAAAATAGGTGATGCCAGATATAACCCCCATCCACAACATCATCAACAAGCATTAGGTCTGGTTTGCGTCTATCACACACCAACCTTTCTGCAGATGACACCCATTGATATTGATGTGACTTCCTGATTGAAGAATCCATCAAAACTGACTGCAAGTCATCGTTGACAACCTAACCCACATTAAGCTAACAGGTAAGAGTCACTCTGCAGATAAATCACTCGCCTTGTTAAAGAATGACGCTATTTTGTCCTCCTACCTTTTCCTGTATTCTGTGTAAAATATGGGGAATACTCCTGACACCAACCATGCATAATATATCCACCAGGTCCAGGGCTTTTGGTACCCAAAAAATTGACAAGTTTTTCCACAATGGACGCCACAGTCTCCTTCAACAGGCTGTCAGAAAGCCTGGTATCTTGGGCAAGGTGTTACGATCACATTTTCAGAACCTATGTTTACTTTTTATTTTCAAACTCTATGTCACGTGACTTACTATATGGAGATATTACATAAGTTGGCACATGGTGAAGTCACGAGACCAATCATGTGACAGGACACAAGATCGCTTACATCATCAGTCACATGACAGGTCACATGACATGACATCACTACTTATTAATATAGACAATGACATCATATAGAATACGATGGAACATTATGGAACATTACAAATATTTACATTAACTGTACAGTACCACATGTATTGTAATATATATACCTAGCAATAAAGACGAAGACTCCTCAGCGAGTCTTCCTGTTGTTTACCCACAACACACTTGTTCCTCCTACTAAGCTTGCTAGCTTAGGCTGAGTATACCCACTCAGACCCTTCATCATCCTTCAGAGTTCGGCGTGTGCACCAGAGTATACAAACTTCTGGGTATTGTTACACTAAGACTCGCTCTTATCACTCTCCTGCACACGGTGCAAAGCCGGACCACAGGCTTAAGTGGAATTTCTGTATACGCGGCCCTCAGCGTTAAGAGGTGGTGTCCGAAAACCTTTTTTGTCATACACGAGTTGTTGGGCCTAGTGCCAGACCGTAAAAGACTAAAGGCTGTTCCCGCAGAGAAAGGCGAGCTCCTACTCAAGGGAAATAGGAATTGAATTGAAACATTGCACACGGCCCCCAGTGTTAAGGGGTGTACGTAGTTGCAGCAGAAGGTGTGGAACCTCTGGCTGTTAGTTTAGTTAGAAAAACTTCTTTTTCGTGTTCCTCTGACCGGGCCGGGCACTTGCCTCCGCCAGTTGGAGAAGGGTTGACAGCTTAACAAGCGGACCACCCCCTGACAACCGTTTGGACCAGGGTTTATTACTGTTACTTTTTATATACACTTTTACTACTATACGTGTGGGTAGTCGGAGATTGAGATCTGATATCCAGCTGGGACGAGGTTGATCCGCAGATGGTAAGCGGGGACCCCCAGTTATCTTTTTTTTACTTTACACACCAAACAAGTCGTCATGTCGACGCAAGAGCAGACCGATCTAAATGCCCTCCTTCACAGGATGAGGCAGCAGATCATAGATCTCACGGTTCAACTCGGCGAGTTGCAAAACAACCCCACGCCAGTTGAACAGAGATTCAACAAGAAAGTCGAGATTGTCGCTGACCCCGGCAGTTTCGATGGAGACAAAGCAAGATTCGCCGAATGGTGGATCAAACTACAAATCTGGATAAAGGCGAACATCAAAGCCTTTGAAGACAATTTCAAGCTCACAACGGCAGTGTTGTTGAGACTCAAGGGACCTGTGGCGGGTCGATACGCCCAAGTTAGATTACAAGAGTGCTACCAGTCGGGCAACTGGCCAGCATGGGAAGATCTCAAAGTAGAGATCGAAAAATACTTCAAGCCTCAGGCAGAACGCGACTGGGCGCGCCAGCAGATCCATTCCTTCACACAAGGAAACATGAGGACGGACAATTTTGTTACCCGTTTCCTGGCTCTCTCTATCCAAGGGGGGCTCGGGAACGAACACACAGTAGAATTGTTAGAGCGAAACGTAAAACCAGCAATCACTCAGCAACTCTACCTGCAAGGGCGACGAGAAGAAGAGCTGGTAAACGCAGCAGAGGCAGTTAGAGATATTGGGAGAGCCCAAGAGCTCTATCAGATGCAATTTGGTGGCGGGTCCACCAACAACAACAACCAACCCCAGAGGCGCCCTGGGTTATCAAACAAAAACAAAAACAATTCTAACGGGTTTAGGCCTTATGGGCTACAGCCAGGCAGAGGAGCACCAATGGAGATTGGCGCGGTCCAAGGGGGACAGATGCGCAGATTTAAGGGCTCGTGCTACAGCTGTGGCAAAGAGGGGCACATGTCCCGAGACTGCAGAAACGGAGTGCAGGCCGCTCAAAACAACAACAATCAAAGGTGCCAGGCGCGCCAATTAGAAACAGAAAAACCAGACGATCGGCTCAACTCATTGACTGGTCGTTCATACGACGAGATACGGGCTTTCTTCTATGACCAGCAGGCGGCTGAGATGAAGGCTCAGGGAAAAGAGTTCAGAGCTTAGGAAACTTGGGTTCCTTAGCTCCACGGTACAATGAAGTAAACCACAACAAGGTGGCTCCTGGTACGGGATGTGGCACGCACAATAAAGTACATGGGGTGGCTCCCAATCTTTCTTTTTATAATCACTTCTCACCCCTCGAGGGTTGTATAACAGATGACTCAGATGATTGCGATAGTATAATTTATGATACCGATGTAACCGCTGCACCAGTGTCTCAATCTGAGCGTGGCCCCGGCGAGATAAAAACAAGGGTGCTTGATTCTGGTAACAAAACAAAGAAAAATGTAGAAAAGATTAAAACACAAAAACATGTATCTTTTGATAACAGTATTTCTCTAGAGCCACTTCCAACAGAAACCCCAAGGTGTGTGTTGATGCGCACGTATATATTTCAAAAAGAGATCCGTTTAGATGTTGCGGTTGAAGACCTTGCCTGAGGGACTATACACCCAACCAGCGCACTGCTTGATTCAGGCGCAAACAGAATATTTATAGATCAGGTCTGGGCGGAGAAAGCTGGACTCCCACTCCAAAAATTAGAAGCATCTATTCCTGTCTACAACGTTGATGGCACGCTAAATGCTGGTGGATGCATAACACACAAGTGTTCCTTTGTGGTCAAATACCAAGGACACCGAGAACGCATCACTGCAGAAGCTACTCAACTAGGAAATATCAATTTTATATTAGGCTGGACCTGGCTATTTAAACACAACCCTGAGATAGACTGGAAAACCGGGGTAGTAAAACTGTCACGTTGTCCTCAGGAGTGCAGTGAAATGCAATTTTAAAGTAAAAGAAGTCGATTTTCTTGGTATGATTATTGGCCAAAATGGCATTGGAATGGACCCCGAGAAGGTGAAAGCTATTCTGGAATGGCCGGAACCAACTCGTGTAAAAGGGGTTAGAGCATTCCTAGGTCTAGGCAACTTTTACCGAAGATTTATCGAGGACTTTGCAAAACTTGCGAGACCGTTGAACGATCTCACTAAAAAGGACTATGCTTGGCAATGGACCAACAAAGAACAAGAAGCTTTTGACAAGCTTAAAAAGGCATTTACGACAGCCCCCATTCTAGCCTTCCCAGAGCTAGATAAAGAATTCCGGTTAGAAATCGATGCATCAGACTTTGCAACAGGGGCAGTCTTATCTATTAAATGTCAAGATGATCTTTGGAGGCCTTGCGCGTATTTATCACATAGTTTGTCGCCTACAAAGCGCAACTATCAGATCTATGACAAAGAGATGCTAGCCATCATTAGAGCTTTAGAGCACTGGCGGCATTACTTAGAAGGTGCTAGACACCAATTCGAGATTTGGACTGATCATAAAAATCTGGAGTATTTTATGACAGCCAAAGATCTGAATTGAAGACAAGCCCGCTACGCGGTATATCTGTCTAGATTCAACTATAAATTAATTCACAAGCCCGGAGCTTCGATGGGAAAAGCAGATGCTTTATCTAGAAGAGAAGATCATGCACTAGGAATAGAAGATGATAACAAAGGCGTAATCCTGATAGAGCAATCCAGGTTAGCCAACATTAGAATCGGACAAGATAGTGATCTTTTAGAAGTCTTCAGGAAAGACATCTCATCAGAAGAAAAGAGCCGCCTTGAGGGCATTGAAACTTATTTATGGGAGGACGGGCTCTTCCACTATAAAGACAAGATCTATGTACCTGAATCTGCAAAGATCATGGTCATAGATAGACATCATGACACACCAGTGGCTGGGCACCCTGGTTGGCAACGAACCATGGAGTTGATCTCTAGAAACTATATGTGGCCTGGCATGGTCAAAGACATACAAGAGTACGTAAAGTGTTACGATCACATTTTCAGAACCTATGTTTACTTTTTCTTTCGAACTCTAAATCACGTGACAGGACATGTGATCACTCACATCATCAGCCACATGACAGGTCACGTGACATAACATCACTACTTATTAAATATAGACAATGACATCATATAGAATATGATGGAACATCATAGAATATTACTAATACTTACATTAACTGTACAGTACCACATGTATTTTACTATATAAACCCTTGCAATAGATGGAAACTCCTCAGCGAGTCTTCCTGTTGTTTACCCACAACAAACTTGTTCCTCCCACTGAGCTTGCTAGTCTCAGGCTGAGTCTACCAACTCAGACATTATCCTTCTTAGAGTTCGGCGTGTGCAGCAGAGTATACAAACTTTGGGTATTGTTACATAAAGTGTTGTCTTCGCTGTGCTATGGCAAAGAACTCGCATCAACCGCCGGCCGGTAAACTTATTCCTAACCCGATTCCAGCGGGACCCTGGCAGGACATATCGGTTGATTTCACGACGGATCTACCTGAGTCAAACGGGTACGATTCAGTAATGGTGGTGGTGGATCGCTTCTCAAAGGAAGTTGTATTCATTCCCACAAATAAAACTATCACAGCCGCAGGTACAGCAGATCTATTTAAAGATTTTGTATGGTCTATCCACGGGTTACCTGAGACGGTAATCTCCGATAGAGGACCACAATTTGCTAGCGAATTTACAAGAGAACTATGTAGGATGCTGGGCATCAAGCCTAAATTATCTATGGCATTCCATCCGCAGACAGACGGACAAACGGAGAGGCTCAATCAGGAATTGAAGCAGTATCTCCGGATATTTATCAATGACAGACAGATGGACTGGGCCAAGTGGCTAAAGATAGCCCAGTTCTCGTATAATATAAAACAGTTGTCGGCTACGGGAAAGGCACCATTCGAGGTCACGAGGTCGTACCTACCAAGAATGGGTGTAGAACCTGGTAAAAGCAAGAACGAGGCTGCGGGAACAATGGCAAAAGACATGAAGTCTGTCTTAGAGGAAACACGCAAAGTGTTGTTTAAATCTGCTGAGCAGATGGTAGAAAAAGCAGAGCGTAGACGCTCAAAAGCCCCAGATTACCAAGTCGGTGATCTAGTTTGGTTAGACACCGAACATTTCAAAAAGAAATCCATTTAAATGTTGTGGTTGAAAACCTTGCCCAAGAAACTATACACCCAATCAGTGCACTGCTTGATTCAGACGCTAACAGAATATTTATAGATCAGGTCTGGGTGGAGAAGGCTGGACTCCAACTCCAAAAGTTAGATGTATCTATTCCCGTTTACAATGTTGATGGTACACTTAATACTGGTGGATGCATAACACACAAATGTTCCTTTGTTGTAACAATACCCAAAGTTTGTATACTCTGGTGCACACGCCGAACTCTAAGTGAAGGATAATGGGTGACTGGGTTTGTATACCGCAGTCCCTGAGGCTAGCAAGCTCAGTGGGAGGAACAAGTTTGTTGTGGGTAAACAACAGGAAGACTCGCTGAGGAGTTTCCTGGATCTATTGGGGTATATATACTACTACAGGGCTATTTGTACATATGTACTGTACAGTTGATAGAGGCAGTGGCTGATGATGTCATGGGGCCCAGCCCGTGTGACCAGTTCCACTGCGTGAGAGAGTTGTATCTAAAATAGAAAAGGTTAAAGAGGAGAATGAAATTTAAAGGTCCGAAAATGTGTGATCGTAACATTTGTGGTCAAGTACCAAGGACACAGGGAATGCATCACAGCAGAAGCTATTTAACTGGGAAAGATTAATTCAATATTGGGCTGGACCTGGTTATTTAAGCACAATCCTGAGATAGACTGGCAATCAGGGGCGGTGAAATTGTCATGTTGTCCTCAAGAGTGCAACAACTTAGGTAAACCAAGTCATGTACGTCAATCTGAGTCTGAAGAGAGGATTAACGCTGGTCACGTTTATGCCAAACTCAGATCTTTGGAGAAAGTTGACAATGATGACAATGAGGTGAAACCTGATGAGGAGATAAAGAGGCTGGTACCTCCAGAGTATCATGACTTCTGGAAAAGCATCAGGAAAAACACTTTGGCTATATAGACTCTAGTAGTACTATAGTTGCAAATATAGTTGTCATAGTGATCATAGCTGCAATAGAAACCCCAACATCTATTCAGGAACAATGTGCTCTTATAGTACTCTTATAGTTGGCTATAGCCTCTTATAGCACTTATAGCATATGGCTGACTATATGAGCTATGAGAGAGCTTGTGGCTGATTTAAAAAATAATCACACGCACACAAGGTTTGAACTCTCAACCTGTTGGTCCGCTTTTTTGCTGACCAATCAATCTACAGCCACATACCACACATTTATCCCTTACACCATAAAGGCTTACAAAATATACTATACATGTGTAATATATTGACCTTCCATGGACTTGTCATTTTTTTTACACATTGTCACAACTTATACTTGGATAAAGCATTGCTATAAATATGTACTATGGTCTTAACAACTATATAGGTTATTATAGCTATAAGAGCCATTATAATGCCTTGGCTAGCTATATAATATTATACTGGTGCTATGTGTGCTCAAACTTATAGTACTATTAGAGCTATAATAGTATAAATAGTATTGCCTCTGCTATATTGCCAAAGTGTTTTTTCTGATGCTATAGTACTATAAGAGCTATAGTAGCATCTATAGTAATGCCTCTGCTATATAGTACTATGAGAGCTATAATAGCATACATAGTATTGCATCTGCTATATAGCCAAAGTGTTTGTCCTGATGAATCTTCTCAAAACATAAATCTAAGCGCTTCCCAGAGGCTAAGCTTTGGGACCATGGGTGGAATTGAAGGATACATTCAAACCAAAAAAGGGACATATGATCACCCTCTCTGCCACAGAAAGAGAGGAGGTTTTAAGCTTCATAGATGGGCAACTCAGGAAAAGGTACATTAAACTTTTTAAGAGTCCCCAAACGGCACTTGTATTCTTTATACCTAAAAAGGATGGTAAAAAGTGCATGGTAATTGACTATTGTTATTTAAATGAACACACAGTTAAAAATGCCTATCCGCTATCATTGATTGGGCAGCTAGTAGACAAATTGACTAGCGCCAAATTATTGACAAAGATGGATCTCAGATGGGGCTACAATAATGTATGCATCAAAGAAGAAGATACTTGGAAGGCAGCATTCACATGCCACCGAGGATCCTTTAAGCCCCTCGTCATGTTTTTTGGACTTACAAATTTGCCTGCAACATTCCAAAGCTTGATGAATAAAATCTTTGCTGATATGGAAACCTGTGTTGTTATTTACATTGATGATCTCCTTATATTTACAAAGTTGGATGATAAGGCTGAGCATGACAAGATTGTGCAAGAAGTCCTTTGATACTTACAAGACTGGGACCGATTTGTAAAACCCAATAAATGTAACTTTAAAGTAAAAGTAGTCAATTTCCTTGGTATGATTGTTAGCCACAATGGAATCAGGATAGACCCTGAGAAGGTCAAAACCATTCTGGAATGGCCAGAGCCAACTTGTGTCAAAGGGGTTAGAGCATGCCTGGGTCTAGGCAACTTCTACCAAAGGTTTATCAAGGACTTTGCAATGCTAGTGAGTGTCAGGCAACTAACAGGGAAGCTATATAACACAAACAAATGCCTGGCCAAGTCCCTTTGAAGGCGGTGGATCAGGGTATTGTCAAATGAAGAGTATTGATGTAGGCGCGAATCCAAACTAATATTGAACTAAGGAATAATACATCGAGTATATACCCCTTATATAGTGAACCGCGAGGGTCAGACCGAGAAAAGGAAAGAGTAAGAAAGTGGTCTGACCAAATAACTAACCAATAAGAAAAGAGAGGAAAAGTGGTCCGATCTATCGTAATTACTAATGGTGTGAGAGAGAGTCTTGGTAAGTGATGTACGATTCGGCTATGTCAGTAAGCCCATGACTAGGTGCTGAGTCACATCTTAGACCGCTGATTAATATTCCTCCGAAGTATTCCCTGACATAGCGTAGGATCATTGCTATGTCATTCGGATATCTTCTCAAGGCTGATTAATATTCCTCCGAAGTATTCCCTGACATAGCGTAGGATCATTGCTATGTCATTCAGATATCTTCTCAAGGATCTATGACAGCTCTCCTTTGTTGTAAGTACAATAGAATAGGAGTATGAAGGGAAAAGAAGAAGAAGAAAGATAAAAGTAATAGAATACCGGCTGTGATCTCTAGTCCGAGGGCGAGAGGAGTGACGGGGAAGGAGTCAGATAACCACAACATGATGGGAATGCGATGAGAAAAATTGATTCCTTACAAGTACCTTCCCATGGGGTTATTAATCCAACCAATTGTACATCCCTTACCAAGAGTCTTCCCACACACTTAGTAATTACAATAGATTGTACCACTTCTTCTCTTTTTCCTATTGATTAGTTTTATGGTCAGACCACTTTCCCATTCTTTTCTTCCTTTGGTCTGACTATCACTGTTTACTATATAAAGAGTAGATACTTGATGTATTCCGTATTTATTCTCTAGTTCAATATTAGTTTGCATTTGCGCTTATACCAATACTCTTCAGCAACAATACTCAGCTCCACTGTCTTCCCTCAGGAACTTGGTCTGGCATTTGTTGTTGTTATATAGCTTTGTATCCATTGCCTGACAATTATAGCCATTGTAACCCTGATACCGTGAGTAAGAAGGAGGGCTTCTTGTAGCTCAGACAAGTACATGTCAGACCCACACTTTATCAAACTCTGAAGAAACTTCATAAGTCATCAGCATGCTTGAGTTGGTTATAATTAGATTACTGTAAGACCTTACTTGAGTGTTGGTAGTAGTAAGCTGACAAGGTTGGCCTTGTAAGGCTAATGTTTGCTCCACTTCACCTGTTTCCTTCCAAAGTGTTATAATGTGATTTATGGTATGTTTTCTGATGCATGATTTTAGCAATTCTACCTGCATCCATTGACAATGTCATTGTACCCATAAGTTCCTTCTGAGAACAAGGAATGTGCTGTCTGTTTCCTTGGCCAGCAATATGGAGCATGATGGTAAAAGTCAGATCAGTGCAATACTGGCTGACATTCAGAGTCAACTTACCATCCACACATCACCAGATTCATTTTCAACAACCTAGTAAAGAGACAGGTGGGACAATTTTTTCTGGCCCCGTAGGTTCCCAGGTTTCTGTTTCACAATTGTCTTAAACATTTTTGGTGGATGTCTGTTCAACATTTAGTTCTTTAGTGGTCTTATCTAATAATTTGAGCACATGGCTACCTTGTGGCTTTTCTTTGTGCCACACAAATGTTGCACTTTCTCTTCACTCTTGCTTTCACTTTCTTCGAATTCTATCATGTGTAAAAGGAAGATATATGGAAAAGATGTGGAAACAAAACTCACAGCAGGTTATCATAACCAGCATCAAAGTGTCGTGCAATTTCTTATGTACTTGAGTACATACTTTCAAATTGATATATATGTAATATTGACTGTATAACAAGTGCTACTCAACTGCTGCTGAGTTTGTTCCTACCAACACCAGGTAAAGACAGGTCCAGGTCTGCCTTATATGACAGTAGGACTCTCATCTATCAATTTGTGAATTGCTGTAAACCATTGTGATTTAAATTTCCTCAAATTTTCTACATATAATCTAAAAAATCGTATCATTTGTCATGGTCTATCTAGGCTATTTTACTTCATCGGATCGGCCACCACCACTCACTCAAACCAATTTTCACTGGAAATAAGTGATCCATCAGACAGACGCCAACCTCGCTGGCTTGTCATCATCAAAACTGCAAAAGCAATCCAATGACAGACCAAACCAAACATCCTCGAAACTCTCTCACAAGGAGAGAGCCATGTTCTCTGTCGAACGAGGCAGCGCTTCTATCATCCACTGGATTTGAAGGATGCGGCATGTGTAAACATGCGAGACTCGAGTTAGTTTCTATAAAATAGATCCTAGCTGAGTATGTTCTAAGGAATCGACAATGTCGGATGCCAGCTTTATATACCAATTCAGAGGCTGGTCCGTGCGTGGGAGCTCCTTGTATTTTTTTTTGTACTTTCCAAATTAGGTTACCTTCTCTAGCCCTACGCGTACAGAGCTGATGAGAAACGAATACTTTATTTGGTTTCTTAGATATACCACGATACGGTCAATGATGAATCGACATAGTTCATTGAAAATGAACAGTATTATACATGGATTGTTCTAATAAACTCGATAGTATACGCCTCAAAGCTCCAGTAAAAGGAAGAAACAACTGAAGTGAGAATGCGGGGTTGTAAATGCTCGATACACCGAATGAAAGTGAAAAAAATGACAGAAAATCATCGCTTCCAGGAATTAAGCAGCTGTATAGCTCGACTGCGAATTGATGACTTCCCCATCCTTCGGGTAAGCGCAGCTAACGCTGCCTTATCCCCTGAGACCAATACTCTATCCTCGTCCTCTCCCCAAACGCGCTCAGCGGATGTCATTGCTTCGACCAATGCACTACTGGTTTCAGCGTCATCCTCGCTCTCCGAAATCAAAGCCTTGGGTTCCTCCTCTTCCGATGATTCATCTGGGTCGTTCGCACTGAATTCATTTTCATCCGCTTGGTCTCTAAAGCTTTGCCGTGCGAGAGACATCCGCTTGTAACGAGCAGCACGAGAAGTCTCAGGGGGAGAATATTCTGACTCCTCGTCAGCATCGGCTGGAGAAAACACAAAGCTTGTTTTCAAAGGCGAGGGTCCACTCCTGCGTCGTAGTCGGCGAGACAAAGGCTCCATGATGTCCGATCCGCCTAATATCTTCGATCGCTCCACCTCCTCAGCTAGTCTCGGGACTATATCCTCAGCAGCATCAGCAGCATGCTCTTTCACATACTTCATTGCCACATCCGTCTTTTCCAAGCTGCCGATTCGGTCAAATGTCAACCGAACAACATTTTCATCAAAACCGTGGGCTTTCGCTATGCGCTTGATCATCATGTCGAACCCATAGGCTGTCATCTGCTCTCGCTCTGCATCGCCCAAGGTAGTTGCCGAAATAATACTCTCGTTACTTACGCTGGGAGGTACGGAGGTGAAGGATGTAAAATCAATATATGATGTGGAAGCGATTTGAGCAGGTAGAGACTGGCGAACACGGTTGGATCGAAGCGATCGGTTCGCTTGAGCGGCGAGGTCAATTGCAGGGATAGGCGTGCTCGTAGTATATCCTCCGAATGTTTGTCGCCTGCCGAATATATCAGCAGCTGGAAATGGTCCATTACGCCCTTTTTTCGAGTCCGAATTGTGCCGCACGATCGTAGATTGTACAGGAATACGGAATGGTTCGATAACGGGGGCTTTCTTATCGGTGCGTGGTACGTGAGACTCAGGTGGTGAACGGATTGAGGTTTCGTGCATATCTTCATGTTTAATTGAAGCAACTGTCTCCCCAAAGAGTTCCATATGAAGGTTTGACATGCTAGCATCTTTGCTTGTTTCTCGGCCTTCGGCTTCATCAATAAATTGCTGGATACGTCGACGCGTTTCTTGACGCGCTTGAAGAAATAGCGAGGGTGAGACGGAGCGAGACGACGCTTGGGCATCCACTCGCTCCGGTCTGATTTGACTGAACGGATGGTGATGTTCCCTGGTGCGCTCCTCAATTTGCGCAGATTGAAGGGGAAGGTCCTGGCTTGGCTGACTGAATGGATGATGATCACTGTCGAAGGAATGGTGGGATGAAGTGGAATGAGCGGAAGAAGGCAAGCCTCGAGACCGAGGAGTAGGAGTGCCCCTTTCCTGATTTCGTATATTCGAAGTCGTGGCCACGGCATTACTGCGTCGAGTGTCGCCTATCGATGTTTTTCGTTGCGTACCCCTCACAGGCGGCCACGAAGAGGAAATTTCCACCGCGTCCCTCTCTCTCGAAACTTGACGGCTTTCATGATCTTCGTTGTCAGAATCTGTGCCGCTCGCACCACTCATCACACCACTCGAGCGCCGGCGGCCTCTCCTATCCGTTAATGATTTCCCAAAAGGGCTATCGATGAGCTTTGTGAGGGTCCGTGCGACAGGAATGCGTGTCAGCGTGGCTGGGGTGGGCGAGAGTGACCTAAAGCCATCTGACATGCGCCCATCTCTAGAAATGTGGCGTTTACGCTTGGGCTTATTCTTAGGCTCAGGTCCCGGGGGAGAAAACTTTGGTTGCGATAATACCGAGACGCTGGTGGGCTCTGCTAATAGAAGTTGGACATCGTTCTCCTCATCTGAGATGGCGGCAGGTTCATCTGGTGGTTGTGCATCAAGATGTATACCTACATCGTCTACCTGAGGTGCGAGGGTAGGTGAAGGAGCTTGGGTGAATAAAGGCGAATGATTTATATCAGGACTTAGTGATGGAGGCTTTTGAGCTGATAAATTCGATCCAGAGGGTGTGTGAGGCCCTTGGAGTGGAGTTCTGTCTGGGCTAGGATTCGAATGCACTGGAACCGATGTATGGGTTCTCTGCAGTTCTGGACTCTTTTCACGACGTGATGGACTAGGTGAGTGATCATTAGGTACCGTTGTGCGAGGCGAAGGGCGAGTGCTTGATCGACGAGACTGTATGCTAGGGCTTGTTTGGACTGCCTTTTCAATTCTAGTAGTCGGAACATGAGCGTGTTTGTTGAATATTGAATATATATCAATAGAAGTATGAATTCGACGTACGTGTCGCGATCAGAACTGCTAGCAGATTTCGTATTGACGGATTTGGTGGCGCCAGCAGGGGTTTTTGGTAGGCGAGATGGTCCGGCTTCTGCTCCTCCGTTCGCATTATCTGTCCTCACAACAGTCTTTCCTTTCATATTACGCCTTTCCAATATCCTATCATCCATGGCGTTGATGTCAACCCTTCTTTTCTTGGGACCCCTTACCATTACTATTTCTACGTCGCTGTCATCTCTCTGATTGTCCGCCCTCTTCCTTTTCCTTACATCATCGCCTTCATCGACGCTATCGTCATCGTCATCACTCATTAGATGTCTTCTGCTCTTCTTAGCAGAGTTGCGATAGATAGTCTTCGTTTCGCTTGCGCGACTTGGTATCTGCATACCGTTCTTTTTCAAATATTTCAAAATGCGATGGTCAAAATAGTCCATATCATGGACATATCGATTCCTCCATGAGAGCCACGTATGCCGATCGGATCCCTCCCATCTGTCGCTAACCTTGAAGTAAGTGAGACATGGCCCTTGATCAGTACACCTACTAGTAGCGAAAAAACTCATCAGAATAGAGTCACACACCTCATTGGCCAATTGTTTATACACTTGGTTTCCACTGCGTCCAGATTTTGAGGGGTTGTACCGAGCTAAGTATCGCACTAGCAGGTAGTCGTCGTCTTCTGTAAACGGCTGACGAGTTCTGAAACCAAGGGTTACTGCCAACCGGCGAATTTACAACATAGAACCATACCCTCTTCCTACTGCCATCTTGACTGGAGAAATCTACGTTATGGATAAGCGTGGTCATCCAATGCACTGTGGTGGCTAGGACCAGAGTCAAAATCTTCGCGTCACTGGAACGCGTTCAGATCACGCGTCAGTACACATACTAATTAGGAAGCGATGCGACAATGATAATTCCCACGCACGGACCAGCCTCTGAATAAGGTATATAAAGCTGGCATCCGACATTGTCGATTCCTTAGAACATACTCAGCTAGGATCTATTTTATAGAAACTAACTCGAGTCTCGCATGTTTACACATGCCGCATCCTTCAAATCCAGTGGATGATAGAAGCGCTGCCTCGTTCGACAGAGAACATGGCTCTTTCCTTGTGAGAGAGTTTCGAGGATGTTTGGTTTGGTCTGTCATTGGATTGCTTTTGCAGTTTTGATGACGACAAGCCAGCGAGGTTAGCGTCTGTCTGATGGATTATTTATTATTTGTAGTAGTTGCAAGTTTCTGTATAATTTATTTCTCGTTGTCATAATACTATGGAATGAAATGACTCCAAAGACTCAAATCAAAGCACGTAGATTTAAAATATTCCACTCGCTATACCCATCGCTCCGATCTTTGATGAATGTGATGATGCGTTCGCTTTCGCGCGTTCCTTCTCTCGCCATTTATTCTCGAAGTAAACGAAAGTCACGATGATTTCGTCCAGGAGGGATAAGCCTTCTGGAGGGACGAAAAGTGAGGCGGAGTGCACCTTTGCTGAGAAAAGGGAGGGACGTGAAGTACTATCGACAAAAGTCGCTATGGGTGCTTGAGATCCAGAACCTTGATGCACGAGCTGATCATGATCAACTTTATGACTGTATATCCCATATAGATCACTTACTTGTGGACGACACTTTCGAATTTGCCATTCATAATACTGTTCATCCTTCGCTTGGAAAACCTCTGAACTGGATACAAGCTATCAGTTTTCGTTTTCGGCGTATTGTACCAAGAAGCACATGACGCACGAAGTGTAAACACCGGTCTTGCATAGCTCTAATACCCGGGTTCCAACTACCACGGTCGGATGACTTCCTCCTCTACCAATCGTTGGCCATTCGATCGTGCCAACTTGCACGTCCTTACCACTGTCACCCTTTCGCGTGATTATCGTTGTCAACTGCTTTTCCTTTGAATCATTCTGCTTCGACGACGTCTTAACTGTGTACAAGGGGGTGCCATCACTCGTTAGGAAGGTGGTGTTCAGGAGGGTGTTTTTCTTTAGTGAGAGCTTGAGAGCCATTTGCGGTGATAGACGTTTGTCGAGATTAGTAGTTAGGGACGTATAGACAGATAGATATTCTCGGTGAACTGGAAAGTCCTGTCATGCAGCGTATGGCGCGGTTGAGCAATGAAGTAAAGAAATAGACCCACTACCTAAGATTCAAGGGGCTTTTATGGCTGAGACTGGGATGCGGTGCATGGCGGTTTCTGGTTACAGCGCTTTCCGAGTCAAACCTTGGCCGTATTGCGCTCCTGTACTTAACGTCAATGGTCGTATGACCCACATGAGTACGTAAGAGGCTCAGACTACGTTCGCTGACTTCAAAACATTCGATAATTCAATAAGAAATGAATGGTATAAAACAGTTTCTTGCCAGAACTACTGTTGCTGTTGGACCACTACCCCGAGTGGCTCATTAAGGTTACCCTCCCACCACGACATAAGCCCTAGAAATGTCCATGAGATTCCCTCCCTTCCCACCTGTACCCGACGGCGTCACCATCACGCCCTTTGAAGCCTTTGTTCCATCTGGTTATAAACAAAGTGCACCAGACTCGGGAGTCGAGGTGGACAGTTGTGATATCCCAACGGTAAAGATAGATACTGAAGAGGAAGTTATAAAGAAAAGGAAGGACAAGAAAAGAAGGCGTAATGCTGGGCAGGGCACGGATGCAAGCGGCAGACTTGTACCATGGTGGGAGGAGTGGGAGGAGGGCGAAGAATCAAGGACGACGAGCTATCCTTTCAAAAGGTATCGCACTTCGGCTTTCTTTGAAAAGGGTCCTGTTACTAATTATTTGTTATCGATGGCGTGTTAGTTCCATGAGTCTTGTCGATCGGGTCCATCAGGCTGCGGATGATTTCAGGATCGGTCGAACTTGGCCACCCCTTGCAGGAGGTGTCAGGGCGATATGGGACCATGTACGTCCATTAGTCTGTCTATAGTCTATATATCCTGATTCTTGATCTTTAGTTCCGTTTACACGTCGGTCTTCTCGCCACTTTACCTATATATCGTAAACCCAAAAGTGGAAGCAAAGGTCTTGGGGGAGGCGAACTATCGGATGAAGAAGAAGAAACTGGGCCTCAAGCAAAACATCTTAACCCAGCAATCATTCAAGATATCCTAGAGGAAATCCCGCATCCCGGTAAAGAGCTGGAGCCTCAAGATGAAACCAGTGACCTCCGACTTGGCTTGCTACGACAATTTATCGATGATATGGAGACGTCTACGAAAATATTCTTATCGTTTTACTTGAGGGAAAAAGGGTTAATATGGTTCGTTCGTTTTATCTGCTTGCCGATGTATTATCTTCTGATATAATTTCTTAGGACTGACCGCAATTTATCCATAGCACCTACTCTTCTCCACTTCTTCCTCCGTTTTATGTTGCGCAATGGAACTTTCAGTGAATCAAAAGAACACGAGGATAATCTGAAGCGTGCGATAAACATTACGAAACTTGCAGAGAAGGAACTGCCTCTCACATCCAAAATTGCCAAGTTACTTCCCGATAAAATCAGCGAGGCCTGCGTGGGGTGTTGGGGGAAAATGGGTGGCTTGACCTTTCAAGCAAGTGCCGCAGAGTCTCTGCCAGAGGACGAAGATGGGATCACTGACGAGTCGACTGAGAAGATCGCCCTCGATCAAGAAGACGAAGGCGTCAAAAAATTCGCTGAAGATCTTAAAAGTACAGCAGTCGAGATCATCCCATCCGATGCCCTGTTCGTCGAAGGCGTTGCAAGGCAGATCGCGGATGATAACATCGGTTCTGATGTCCACATAGAAACGGCCACCCTCGATGATATCGTGATGGGCGAAAATAGTTCCGACTTATTGGATAATACTAATACTGTGCATGATACAGCTGGATTTGATGCTGAACAGGAATCGGCGAGTCATGACTGGACAGTGATGATTGATGAGGAACTCGCGGCTTCGGCGTGGACTAAACCTTCTGCAACATCGTTGCTTGCTTTCCTCGGACCCACGACTTTCCCGCTTACGCACACAACAGGTATCGTCGAATTCTCGACGCGGCGAATCGTAGAAATATTACCACCTATGTCCACGCACCCTCTCTCAATTGACAGTCCACAGGAAGGTGTAGAGGGAGAGCTGAAGAGGCAGCTCGCACGTATTGTGATGGAGCCCTGGATTAAAGCTGCGCAAGAGGAAGATCTAGACCCAGACATCGGGAAGCCTATGATCATGCCCACTTCACGGGGCTCTGTCGTTCAAAGCTCCTCGGAAAAAGAAGGCGAGGACGTGCATGCTGATGTAGATGCCGTGTCGGTGCGCAGCAATGAGGGAGTGTTCGATCCTCATCGCGACGTTCTCACTGTTCTCGTTGATCCTTCGACGGTCCAGCATCTGAGCGCAGGTATGGGTTTAGCTGCTACCTGGGTTGAGATCGCTCGGTGTGAGGATGCGAGGGAAATTGAATCACGGGGGGGAAATAAGGCAGCTCACGCGAGTGACGGATTGTGGTATATGGAAGATGTGGTCGGTATTTTCTCTAGTTTCCACACTAAAGGCGAGTAGGAGCTAGCGTTTCAAGCACATCATCACTGTAGCCAAAGTGACGCTTACTGACCTTGATATAAGAATATTGATGTACTTATTTTCCTTGAGCATCTTTGCTTGGCTGGTTCATCACTTTGATATCTCCTGTCATTTTTTTAATCTGTGCACTAGTTGGCTGTCCTATATTCACATAACCCGAAGTAAAAGACCGTGGCAAGGACTCCGAGAGAATAGGATGATAATAAATTTATATCAGGATTTATTTCCAAATAAAACAGAAATAGTATATCGTATAAAACCTTTTTATATTTAGTAAAAAAATATCTAATCTGCGATCAAGAAAAGGAGACGGAGAAGTCGTGCTCGAATGGCAAAGCCAATGTAACATTTAGCACTTGAGTGCTTGCCTCATACGTCCACTTATCCTGTGCGACTGCCTTCGTCTTTCCAGATGATTCCACAGTCACGTTCTTCGGTGTGTTTGCAACGCCCAAGAACACAACGTCACGAACGTCGACACCGATTTGGTAATCGAATGTACCATTGACCACCAAGCTGCCATTGCTGTAGGCCATGGTGACCTCGGTCATTTTATCGGGCGTGATGGACAGTCCGTCGTCAACGTACAGTTGGCCTGACGCAGCCCCCTGTGGCGAAGGTGCGACGACGATTTCGAAATCGGTATCCCTCAAAATGGTAGTTGTCATTGCACCTGACGCCCTGAGGGGCAAGACGACACCTCCGCGGATGTGCAACGGGATCTCAGTGAAAGAGACGTTGTTGAGAGTGACATTAGCACCCTGGCCCATGACAGGAGCCAGCGTAGAGAGGTCGTAGAAGGTGTCATTTGGAAGGTAGAAGGTCACCGAAGTCGAGTTTTCTTCGAGAACGGGTGAGACGAGGAGGTGGGAACCGTAGAAGAACTCATGCTCGATGGAGAATGTGTTCGGATCTTCAGGGTATGCGAACCACACTGGGCTGACAACGGGCGTGCCATCCACGCTTGCGGTGTGGAAAGCGGTGTACATATAATCCATGAAACGGTAGCTAAAAGCTGTGATATAAGCGTTTTATCAAGGGATAAACTCTTGATATTTTACTTACCGGATGTCGAGGACGTTTCGTGCAGCCTCGGCTACAGTTGGCCAGCGATAGAATTCTTGGCTAATTGTGCCATCTGTGTTGTGCTGTAAAATAAATACTTTAGTACGTTGACGGAAAGAACAGGAGAAAACGGACGTTGCGCATAAACGGATAGAAAGCGCCGAGCATAGCCCATCTTGCGCACAGCGTCTCAGTAGTATTATCACCTGTAACCTCCAGTCAATATGACAGTATCAATTGCACGCATTCAATTGCGAGTGACATACCATATCCACATATGTCACTTCCCACCATAGGAATTTGATATACAGTAGCCATGCCCAGCATACCCGCGATCGAGAACTGGTACTCAGGCCATAGCGACATATTGTCACCCAACCATTTACCAACATGAGCACCTGCTCCCGCAAATGTGGAGCGCGTAATGACAAGAGTACGTTCTCCAGGACGGCGAGCAAGCATGGCATTGCGGGTTGCCATCGACATCATAGTACCGTACAAGTTATCTGAGATGACACAACGGATGATTTAGTTCACTATAATTCTCGAAACCATGCTAGCAGGCACTCACGAGTGTCGTACATGAGCAAGCCGTTGGCAGCAACGGACGTAACGTTAGCAGTCAAACTACCTAAAGCACCAGCAGCGTTTTCAATGTTGTAAGGAGGATTGACGATGTTAAAGCCGCTGTCTTCATCACGCTTTCGCCAGCCTTTGTAAGTGGAGTTGCCGAAAATGGGAGTGTCGGGATTTGGTATAGGGTCCGTACGGTTTGGAGGAAGACCTTGAGTGATAGCTTGTGCAAAAGGATCTTCACAAGGATACACGCAAAACTGAGAGGTGTTCAAAAATGACTTTCTGCACAATGATGTTTCTACTCACACTCGAAGGTTCGTTCATATCGATCCAGGCCCCATCGATATCAATGCCAGTTTCAGGGCTATAGAACATTTGGAATTCTTTTGACCAGTAGCTGGATAAGATGAAGTTGAGTGGCAGAAATCAGATAATACTAGTGAACATACCTTTGAGTGTCCGAATTGAACCAATCTGAAAGATGTCATGCGTTAATGATTTAAACGAAAGCTACGAGAACGGGTTTACCTGGGAAGACAGTAACACCTAAATCGCATAGCAGACTCAGTAATGCCTTACCTATTCAAAGCAGGACACTTACCAGGCCATACGAGACCAAGACTATTGCTACCGTTTGCAGACTTGACCCAGATATCCATCTCGCTACCGCGATCATATGCCCCATAACCATCGTCAGGAAGATAAGCAACAGCAGGGTCAGTCATCAAGACTAGTACGAATGATAAGTAATGTGGTTAAAAATGGTAAATTGTGAAACGTACCATAACGCTGGTCATGGCTATGCAGATAGTCGACAATTTCTCTCATTCTCTCCACAGGGAAATAGTCAGGATCAGTGGTGAAAATACGACGCTTGTACATGTAGTCTAGTCAGATCGTATGAGGTCTTCTTATCTTTGACAGTATAGCAAGAAACATACCGATATCTGTCCACATCGTTTCCAGGGGAATCTCCGCAGTTGAATAGTTTAAGATTACATTCGCCACATCAATGTAATCTAGAAGCATGTAAGTCATTTCGCTCTGGTACAACAACAACGCGGAGGCGAATCTCACCCGTGTAACCAAAACGGCATTGGTGGAGACCAAACGACCAGTATGGCACTTCAGCAGGTGTCCCCACGACTTGAGCATATTGCTTTGCAACCTCGGTCGGGTCCGTCTCGCTTCCAGCCAGGAAGTAGAGGTCGAACACTCCTCCAATGACATTGTACTCGAGAGTCGTGTTACCACCTGCCTCTGTATCATTGATCTTGATGTCCATTCCATCAGAGTTGAGCAAAAACACGCCATGCGTCCCTGTTGTGCGATGCTCGAAGTAGATTGGGTGATTTCCGTAAAGGTTAGTGTCGGTAGGGACACCATAAGCATCGCGAGACCACAGAGTACGCGTAGTGTTGTAAGTCGGAAGGCGGAAAGGGTCGGTATGCTCGCCCAAGCCATAGATGTTGGCATTGGTTGGCAGGTCAGTTTTAAGGCGAAGGTACTGTGGTTCGAAAATGAGTGGGTGAGAGCCAGTAGAGAAGAGTACTTCGCCGGTAGTGGTGCGAGAAATGGTGAACGAGAAGGGTGATGCGGTGTAGTTGAACTGGATGGCAGTCTTGTCTGGAGAAACTGAGCCTGTGGCGTTGGGACGGGGCAGAACGTTCTCTGGAACCTCATACCGCTGAGTAGACGGGTCGGTGATCTTCATGTGGATACGCGACTCTGCAAGAAAAGATATTAACGAGACATCAAAGGCGACTTTCTGGTCAGACAAGTTCTGCGTACCTGTCTCATAAGTGACTTCCAGTGCCAACTTGGAGATATCTGACCCAAAGACATTGCAACCAGTTCCAGCCAAGACGAGGTCAGCAGTGAGGGATGCTCCTTGTGTCTTCACGTTCGTAACGTTGTAGCCCGGACAGGCATCGAGGACACTTGGGTCAACCCATTCGGCGTATACGGTGCTGGCGGCAGCGAGGACAAGCCCCAAAAGCTTGAGCGCAACCATGGTGCTCCTGGTAAAAGACCTTGTTGTTTGCGAGAAGAGAGGCCTCACATAAAAGTATTTTTATGTATACTTATGACTGACATCCCGTCAAGTCCGTGTGTCTCGTGGACAGCGTACATGAGGTTCTTGGGGTCATTTGATACGCTTCTCCGCTATTCGGGCATGACATATACTTTATGATCTCAATACCTTTCGGTATATTTTCGGAGATCCATTTACGACGGGACTCGAGGTAAAATCTCAAGACAAACCTGGACGAAGATGCTGAAGATGCCCTTACCAGACACATGTCCGGAAATTTAATTGCGACAGCGACGCGTCGTACAATGTAGAGAATCAGGTCTTCCCCAGACTTGCAGTATAGTATAAGGGTTAAAACAAAAGAGAAAGTAGGCCATTGCTTGGGTCTCCCTGGGCGCACACCAATCACGGTCATCAAACCACTATTAATCGACACCCGTGGGGTCGCATCGATCATTCACTCAGGACTCCGACGGCACTCAATCTCCATTCTTCCGCTCTTCCAAACACAAGGCTCGAGTTTCGATGGTCTGTCTTGGTCTGTCTTGGTCCGTCTATTCAGCTCGTCGAGGAACTAAACCGTATTCAGATGTGATATCAGTAGTACTGCAACAAGTAGAATGGCACCCCATGGGGTAAATTCTACTTACTTATATATCGTCCGTAGAAGAGCAGAATATGTCAAGTCATCGATCAAAGCAGATAGGTCCTCTTGATATATCCGCATGGTTTTTTTGACGCCTGTCATGGCAGCGATGGTATGGCTCTTGTATAATGGATTTCTTGGCATCAACAACAACATGAAAAAAGCTTTATAACACCATGATCGAGCAAACACAACAGGAAAAAACAGCGCAGCACATTGTATCAACATGTTCATTTGTCGTCAAAAAAGACAACCGTTGCAGTAATGTCGTCCCTGAAAGTGTACCAAGTTATGAAAGAGTAAAGTCAGTAATAAGTCGTGGTCTCAAGGTAATAGGATATGAAACTGACATGTAGCTCCGAGATCGAGGTGAGTTGATACTGAGGAGCGCTGCAGTTAGATCTTTATCTGCGCCTCCCAAAGCATTTCTAACAAGATGCGTCGCAGCGTTATGGTCAACGCTGACAAATTGTTTCTTGGCACTCCACTGAGCAAACCGAGAGGTACCATCATCATCTTCACCAAGAATGACAGGCAACTCTGATCGTAAGAAGACACCCGAGTGACTGCCCTCTATACGACCGAGACCCTTCCGTTCTCGTTCATTGTGACTAAGCCACATGCCCACCAATCCGACCGCTTCAGGATTGCTCAAACTCTCCCATAATCCATCTGTAGCGAGAATCAAAAAGTCTCCGGGTTTCACTTCTGTAGTTGTAATTTCTGGCTCTGCAGTGAAGTAAGGAGGAGTTTTGACGTTCTTGTAGGGTGTGCGACCGAGATATTCTTTCTTGAGCCGTGCTTGAATATCGAGATTCCATTTCATGCGTGCGTCGCCAAAAGCGCGGGATGGGCCCCACCCCAGAACACGACCATTCTTCATGATTTCTTCCCCTGGATGCTGCGCTTGCATACGCTGTTCCTCATCCTTATTATACGCATTCTGGTCGGCAGAAAGGACATGGACGTCGTAAGTGATGTTGCCGTCATCGTCTGTTTTGCGACGTCCAAGAACAGCTCGCAAGTCGCCAGTGAGAGCAATGCGTAACAACCGAGTCTGAGGATCGTAGAAAGCGAGGAGAGCACAAGAGCCAGCATTAGCAGGAGCGAGTAAGTTGACCGCTGCATCTTTCGAGGGAGACGCAAAAACACGTTCAAGAGGTGCGTGGACGATGTCATCATCAAGTCGTTTGAAGGTATCTTTGATTGTATCGTCTACCGCATTTGGCGGAGGAGAAATGATTTCATCCTGTTGAGACTTGGATGACTTTTTCGTTTTTGCATCGCTTTCAGCATATTTCGAGTAGAGGTCTGCAAGTGATCCTACGACAGCTGGTACAAGATTTTTGCTCAGCCACGCGCTAGTCTCCCAGCCAGCATGGCCGTCAAATAATGCGAAAAGCCCCATGAGCTTGCAGGTGTAGATACGATAACTTCTGAATGATCATCTTCAGACGGTAGATTACTATGAACAGTTTGTCATCTCATGTTCACGGTCTGATAGAAATGAAAAGTCATACCTTGATACATGTGCGATATCATAGCGTGATATTCCTGAGTTCTTTTCTCCAATCCTAGACCTCTCGTGTTCACGTAGTTTGGTGTCAACATCTACAGGAAAGCGCGTGTCAAAACTCTCAACACGCTTCTGGCTTTTCATACGATCCAGAACATGCTGTTTAGACTCGACAGTTGGGAAACGAAAACGTTCTGGAGGGTTAGCGTCGGAATGCAGCACTGCTGAGGTATACACGCAATAGGACAGCACGCCAGTAGTACCTAGCACCACTCCTGCCCTACGACGAGAAAAACGGAAGTTCCTGGGTAATAATCTCGACATCCCAGACCACGTATATCGTTGACGCTATAAACCAAATGGGCGTCCGAATTGCACATCCCTCTAGCTCGACTGGCACCATCCCCCTCGGATGCGGGGAAAGAATATCTTCTGTCACGCTGTGACTTAAACCCCGCAGTAATATTCGGTAACTCGTTGGAACCTTAACCTGATATTCGTTTATCTTTTCCTTTCCTCAACCGCCTTGACTTGCGGATGAACGTTCTGAACCTTTGGATTGATACATTGATTCGGAGGAACGTAAGTGATACCGTATGCATGCATTATGTAGAAGTATTTGCTCACTTATTTCTTACCCTTAGCTAGACCAAGTCGATTTGATGCTGCAAGATGGGATGGGATCGTGCTCCCACCGTCCTATTCCATAATTTTGTCGCATCTCGCCGCGCCCGTACTGCACAAGTGCCCGTTCAGACATCTGGTCACAGCTGTGCGAAAAGCACGTATCTGCGCAGGTTTTGATCGGCGAACTTGGAGACGTGACTCCAAAGAAAAACAGGTCTTAACTAATCGTCCCAATTCGAGTCTGTGTCCTGCTGCTCAAAACCCGCGGACTTGGACACGGGAGAAATGTGTGAGGATGGACTCGGGGACCTGAAGTAGATATTCGATTTGCATATCTACGTCCCCGGCGCTCTGACAGGTGCGAATAAACCTCAGCTGTACTGCGTTGAATAACACCAAAGAAATTCACGACTCATGGATGGTTTGACAGGATCAACATTAATATCACCGATTATGTGCGTGCCGTGGCTGGCGGACGAGTATACGGAGTTGTTGGTGTGTTAACCGAATGTGGCTTGACACAAGATACGATTGGTTCTCGGGACGCCGTCTCACTTGGAACTGGCGGGAGCAATTTCTCAGAGCAGGCCCCGCGCGTTGCATCGAAATGCCCGCGTATATCCGTACGATATGGTATTCACTCCCAGAAAGAAACGGAGCGTGAAAGATAGGGCGCAAATAAAGATCATCGCAGTGATCAGCGATCTCGGTCTTCAGATACTTGGAAGAAGATCAAATGAGCTAGTACGTTATGATCTGGACATGCTACTTGTCAATCTGCATTCTCTGGTTACTATGAGTGTTGATCTCTCACAGCATTAGATATTGGATACTAAGTTGTCATTTAGCCCCCTTTGTGCTACTTTCGTAGATCGATCTTGGTATCGGCTTATTCCATGAAAGTGAGCTTTGACAGCCTTTATATTTATATCCACCGAGGTGCTCCTACTAATTTATGGTGCCTGCTGGATGTTATTGAAATCATTACGGTGAGAGAAGTTCAGGATTAATCTGTAATGCAGCGCAAAGATCCAGTTCATGTCATTTCCTCCGAGTTGTCCTGAAGGCTGTCCCGGTCCGCAGTGCACCACCAGCCCTTCCCTCGTCGAGTGTCGACGTTACGGGTTTATGTCTATAGGTCTCTGCCTCAATGATCTTCATGTGTCGCTCCCTTCACAGCTTGTTGTTGCAGCATTGTAATTCAAAGCTCCCGACTGGGAGATTATTTTGGCACTACTCTCAGGATTCGTATAACAACAGCAGTGTATTTTGCTCATCGTCCTATACTTCTGCCATCTCAAGCCAGCCCTACCCACAGCTATTGAAATCATGTGCAACTATAAGTCGCTTGTTGAAAAGTGAGCGCACGGACCAATGTGGCACTGAATGTGGCTGAATGTGGCTGACGAGTCAGGTGCTCTGGATACGTCTTTCCTTTTGGCTGAGACTGCTTTCTACTGCACGTTATCGACGGCTCTCAATTTTCTGACTGACTAGCTTTGTTATACTCAAACATTTTTCCATTTTCCTTCTCATCGTGCGGTGCTCCGTAAACCAAATTTTATTCGAAAGAGATGACTAATTTGTCCGCAGGATCAAAGCGGGTTTGGGATGGATACGACAGCGAGTCTCGTAAGAGGCCTCGGGATAGGGAAGAACCCAGGGATTGGCGAGATGTACACTTGAAGTCACCGCGAAGAAAGACTGAGAGTAGGAGGGACAGCACTGATAGGCGTGATTCGGGGCATGGACGACCAAGAGACTACGATCAGAGAAAATATGGCGACAACAACAGAGAAAAGGACAAACGGGACGACCGAGAACGAGATAGCCGCTCTAGAAGAGATCATGAATCAAAAGACGACCGTCGCAAGCGCAGCTCACCATCTACCCGTGATCGACGATCTCCCACTTCCAGCAACGGGCATGCTCATCAGGCGATACAGGACTCTGAAAAAGAGGAAGGCGAGTAAGTAAAATAGTTCTAGCATATCTATTTCATTGTGTAGGGTTATTCATGTTCTTCCCCGTAATTTTCAGGATTTCACCGCGATCAAGTCCGCATTCTGTACCGCCCGCAAGCATTCCATCACCAACCCCTCAGCTTTCACCTAGACCTGAGCCTGCGATAGAAATGGAACTAGATTTACATGTGTCGCCTCCGCCTGTAGAAGCTGCACTTGCAGCACGTCGTGCAAGACGGCAAGCCATTCTCGCAAAACATGGCATCGCCGGCGTGGAGCAGAGCGCCAGTCCCACCCCTGGACCTAGTAGTGCGGTCCAGCCGCCTAAGCCTGTTACATCTATATCTAATACAATATCTCAGACCCACAGCGTATCCGATATTCCTGGAGTCTCGGGAATCAATTCTGTGAAATCCAAAGATGGCTTATCTTGTCAGTATCCTCCATTTCTTCGAAGGCAGGAATTGATTTACTTTCAATAGTTAAACGAGATTCTGCTTCTGCTTCACCCACTCCTGCTGCCTTCGAGCTAGCTAAAGATGGTGAGGAGGAAGACGTACGAGCAAAGGTCCAAGCTCAAGATGGCACTGCGGAGCAAATATCTGCCGCTGACTATGATCCAAGTTTGGATCGTCGTGAAGACGAACAAAGGCGAGTTCTCAAGGATGAGCCTATCGCTGTTGACGCCGAAATCATCGAAGAAGATGAGGAGGAAGAAGACGATGTTGATGATATGTTTGCAGTCGCTGCCACCGACAAGAAGGAGAAGAAGACGAAGAAAGTCCAGAAAGTTGTTGTAAGTATTGAATCATTATTTTTTGTTCTCACCACTCATTTTGTTGAAGAAGCCTATTGTTCCTGCTTTGATCACGACGACATTGGATTCTGCTGCGGATCCAGAGGGCTATTACCAAGTAATCCTCGGTGAGCAACTTGACGGCCGCTATCAGGTCTTTTCTTCTCTTGGTAAAGGGATGTTCGCGAATGTGGTTCGCGCTCGAGTTATACAGTCGGAAGTTGGTGAAGCTGGAAAAGAAGTGGCGATCAAAATTGTGAGATGTCAAGAATCAATGTAAGTTAAGATCTAGACAATACAATGACATTGCTAATACTTATCACGTAGGTATCGAGCAGGGCTGAAGGAGGTACAAATTCTCCATAAACTTAAACAAGCAGATCCAGAAGATAAGAAACATATTGTCCGCCTTGAAAGAACATTCGAACACAGAGGACATCTGTGTATGGTTTTCGAATCCCTGAGGTAAATGCATGTCCTATTACATCCTGTATCATCTAACATGTTGCCCATACAGTATGAATCTTCGAGACGTAGTAAAAAGGTTTGGAAAGGACGTAGGCCTCAACATCAAAGCTGTACGGGCTTATACTCACCAATTGTTCTTGGCCTTGAGCTTGCTTAAGAAGGCGAACATCATGCATGCGGATATCAAACCCGATAATATTCTGGTATGTGCGACTGCATAGTTGTCTTGTTTCTTTATTTGCTCACTTGACATAAAGGTTAATGAACAGAAAACCGTTATCAAATTATGTGATCTTGGCTCCGCTTCCGATGCCTCCGAGAACGACATCACCCCTTACCTCGTGAGCCGTTTCTATCGAGCGCCAGAAATTAGTTGAGTCCCTCTGATCCGCATCTTGTTTTGTCACTGACCTCTTTATCTAGTACTTGGTGTGCCTTACGACCCATCACTCGATATATGGTCGATTGGATGCACCCTATATGAACTTTACACAGGCAGAATTCTTTTCCCTGGCAGGTCCAACAATCAAATGCTCCTGCTCATGATGGAACTGAAAGGGAGGTTCAACTCAAAGATGATTAAGAAAGCCAAGTTTGGTGATATGTATTTTGATGAGATGGGTGGCTTCGATAGCGTCGAAAAAGATCGTGTGACTGGATCTGTGAGTCAACCTGATTTCTCCATTCATTCCTATCATGTCAGCTGACGGTTTATCTCAGGATGTCGTTCGCAAAGTTCACATCTCCAAGCCTAGCCGGGACCTGCGTTCCCGGTTGATGCCCCCAGCATCAGTGAAGCTCAAAGACGATGAAAGCAAGCTACTCGCTTCCTTCATTGATTTGTTAGATAAGTGCCTTGCTCTGGATCCTGCACGGAGAATCACACCCAGAGAAGCATTGGTGCATCCTTTTATAAGAGGCTAGTTGTTCTTATCGCTGAACCATTGTATTATTTTCCCGTAGCATCCGTGTAGATATATATATATCGATGTACTTACGGCCCCGAACATTTTATCTCCACGCTTTTTGGTCTGGTGGTACAGATGTGAACTAAGTCGCGAACAAGAAGCATAACCTGCGCAATTCAGGGTGAACGCTTTTGCGCACTACTTATAGGGGGTCTTTCCGGGCTCATGACTTCCAAACGGTCCAGGTCTACCCGCCATGGCTACTCAACGTCTGAAAGGCATATTTTCCATCATCAAAGGAAATAAAGCTGAAAAATCAGACCAGAAATCCCCCACTACCGACAAGGCAGATAAACCCACGTCAGAGAGGGTATTGCCGACGTTCGATGAGTTGCCAAACTTCCACGATTTCAAAGGGTGTGCGTGGGATGTGTGGGGCCGCGACGATGAATTGGGGACTATCAATCTGCTCACAGAGGAAGTCGTTCAGCGAGCTGCAAAGGAAGAGGTTCGGTAAGTCGAGTTGAATAAACAAAGTTGGCAGGACTTGACATAATATGGGTAATCCAGGACTGGAAGGACCGTATGCTTGAACTGGTAAGAATATCGAGTCATGGAATTCCATTATGTTACGAATGAATATCCTATGTTTACAGGCCCATTCACTTCCCTTCGAGGGTCAGGTGCTCTCCTTTCAATTTCAATATATCACTGACAGCATTACGATTGGTGTAGCCCCTTTTTGGCAGGAAAATTCCTTCTATCACCACATATGCAAAAAATGGCCCAGATGTTCCAATCAGAGATGATGTTATCCATATCGTACGTGCAGGACAAGCACATCCTGCCGCAGTTTTCCTCATTCCGTCACGTCTAGAACACCCAATCTGGTTCTCAATGGGATGGTTTGAAACATTACGGTCTCAGGGACCATAACGTCTTCTATAACAAGTTAAATATATTTTTATATTGTTTGAGAGTGACGAGACGCTGATGCGGATTGAACAGTACCCCGCCTACAGCATTATCTGAAGGCGAGATGGAGCTTCACGACCCTAGCGAGATCGACTATGGACGCGTCAAGTTAGGAATGCAGAGTATGTACCCGCTCAATTGAGTATCCATAGAGTTTCTTACGAACTATATGAAGACTGGGCCAAACATGGAATCTGTGGCCGCGGAGTTCTCCTAGATTTAGTGAGCTACTACACTGCCGATGGCGGGACCCTTCCCTACAACCCATGGGCCACGTATCCTTTGACCGTAGCAGACCTTGAGGCTGTTGCGAAGAAGCAAGGTGTAGAGTTCAGGCGGGGTGATATCCTAATTTTGCGAGTAGGATTCATCCAGAAATATTATGCCAGTACCAATGAAGATAAACATGCACTACGTGACCAAACGTTAGAAACATTGTGAGTCTTCCGGTAATCTTTTTTTTGTGGAAATCAAACTCATGGGCTTGTGTTCAGTACAGGAATCGAGCAGAGCGACGAAATGAAGAGGTTCATCTGGTGCGATTGTCTCTGTTGTTTGTCTAGGTGCGCGAAAACTAAGACTACCTGGATTGCGCCGCAGGAACAATCACTTTGCTGCCGTAGCTTCCGATCAGCCTTCAATGGAGGTATAATTGAGTCGCATATGCCATCTTATTATGCTAAATTATCATTTCCCTAGCGGTGGCCGGCACCTGAAGGCGTACCCCAACTACATCAGGTTTGTTTTGAATTCCTACGAAATGATTGACCATACTCAGTGCCAATGTGGACGTTACAGACATTCCTTGGGTTCGTTGTTTTCATCCTACTATCCCGACTCGACTTTACTAATTGTATTCTCCTTGAAGATTATGGGGAATGCCCATCGGTACAAAATTAGTTTCATGTTAAAGATCATACTAAAGCTCATACAATTACTCAGGTGAATTCTTCGACGTCGAAGAGCTCTCCCAAGTGTGCAAAGAGACGGGAAGATATACCTTTTTCTTCACTTCTTGGCCCTTGAATATGTATGTGGACACTCAATCTATGTCGTACTTACATTCACACTGCAATTCATTAAAGTCTCGGTGGAGCCGCAAGCCCTCCCAATGCTGCAGTGAGTGGATGAAATTGTCGCCGTGTTCAGAAGCTGACATGTTCATCCAGGCATATTTCTAAATACGCCTAGCACCATGTTAGCAACAAGTCAACCTTTCTGCCTTGTAGATCATGATTGTAAGAATGCCAGCTGATGTACGAATACTGCTTTTGGAAGTCCAGTGTATTACATATTTCTTTTGCCAATGTGAGAGCTGATAAAAACATTACGAGTTCGCATCGGAGGTATCGCTCTGAAGAATGATAGCGCACTGCAAAGGAAATACTGCGTATACTACAAGAACAATTATAAAACTTTTTGGTATTCATAATACTATATACTGAGCCTGGTATCATGGTGGTCATATGCTCTCCTAGAATAATCCTAAGAAATGAATAACATGAGAAAAACCGAAAATAATAATCTTTAAACGGCCATGCTATGTCTCCTACCCTCGTCAGCCTCGATGGCTCTGGCACTGTGGTGATTGCCACTTCGTCGTCTACCGTCGATCGTCACCCATCCACTTAGGCTGCCATATTCTGCATCAGCTTGAGTTCCCTCACTCTCTTCATCATCCTCCGTGAAAACGTGAGGACGAGACTTTTTCCGTTTAACCGTAGAAGTAGTTAGAGGGTTGGTGCCTGAACTGGACGACGAGGAAGTTCGTGATACAGGGGGCGAGCCCCTAGTTTGTAGAGGTCCTTCGAGGGACGACCTCGGTTCAGGGCCATCGGTGAGCGAAGCTACAGATGATCGTTTCTTGGATGACGACGCCGTGGACAGGCCGAGTGTGGTATCAGGTTTCCGCAATTTCCTGCAGATAGTATTGCTCAGTTAGCAAAGCAAGCTGAGGAGAAATGAACGCAAATACGAACGTGTTGAGTTTAGGTTCGGCATAATTCACACTTCTCCTGGCTCTACGTTCACGTCCACTGGCAGCATTTGCATCAGCCTCAGAAGAGGTTGAATTTTGGGGAGGAATAGGACTACTCGATGACCGTGGTGTTGGTAGATACGATACTTGGGGAGTGGTTGCAGGAGTTGTAGCTGGCGTGGACAGGAATGTTCGGGTGGTAGCTAAAGATGTCGCGGCGGATATGGGTGTGGGTCCTTCTGTCTCGGGTGTACGTTGGCGGTCGCGATCTAGAGATCAATCAGGACGTAACGTGTCAGATAAAAGTTTTGGCGTAATTGTGGAGTGCATGTAGAGTAAATATTTGGAAATGCGGCACGCTTACCTGAGGTATTGATATCCAATGGTGGCAGGAGTGCACGACTGCGTGGTGAATTGGTGACGTCCTTAAGTTTGAATTTACTTCCTTCAGCAGCACTGCCATACTCTTCTTCTCTTCTCCTCTTTCTCTCACGTTCTCTTCCTCTCTCACTTTCGCTAGCTTCTCCCTCAACATCTCGCTCTTTAAGCTTCGACTTCTTTTCCTTCTTTTCCTTCCTTGGCAAAGATATGACTTCATCCTGATCCTCATCTGCTAAAATATCATGAGCTACGAGTTTCTCTTCGTTCTCCTCGGCCAAACCTGCTTCTCTTCTGACAGGAGAACCGAAGGCTGGGCTAGCAGGCCGTGGCGGAATCAATGTTTCACAAATGTCATCAGCATCGACACCAGAAGCATCGGTAGTCGATTTCAGTAGCCCACTTCGTCTCCTCGCAGATTTTTTCTTTCCTGTAACGACTTGTTCTTGCAAGTTGATGTGAAGCGGCGTTGGCAAAGGCGGAGGAGAGGCTACCCGAGCTGGTAGTGGAAGCCGCGACGCTGAAAGTCGTGCTTTCGCCTTCCGAGGGGGCCCAAGGTTTGGAATCGAGCTCATGTCCTCTTCATCCGCTTCAAGAGACGAGCCAATTTCTTCCTCTTCATAGATACCGGGTATGGTAGGTGCACGGGACAGGCGAGGTACTTGAGGCGAGGCATGAGGATCGATGTTGGGACGGCGAGCCTGCGGAGGAGGAGGATCGGATGGAGGAGGAGAATGGCCAGAGGGAATGTTGAAAGACTGCCGAAGAAGGTGGAGATGTTTCGTCAAACTGATGGTCTGAATGAAAAGTCAGAGTGAGACGGCTCAAGACATAAAGATGGCTCACCGCAGTCTCTGTATCTGCCATGACTTTCCTGGATTTTTCTCGTTCCTTCTTCAATTGTGCTGTAAGAGCAATTTCGGACGCTCGCAGACGGAGGTTTTCGACATAGAGGGTGGATATCTGGGCATTAAGTTCTTCGATCCGTACGCTAAGGGTGGAATTAAGCCTGTAGATTGAAGTTTAGGCAGCTTATTTTGAGGCACATCCTGCATACATACTTGGTGATATGTTTGTTGGCGAGGAGAAATTTCTTCTTAACTGGAAGCCACCGAAGGAAATTAACGATCAGCCTGGCAACGGATGAAGTGAACATACAGTTTTCAAACTCGTTTAAAGCGTCGTTTTGTCTAATGTTGAGGGACACACGCGGCTCGCGTCTGCTCATCGTGTCCGACGGCGACGAGAGAGTTCTGGAGTGACGGTGAGGAGTGGCTGTCCCTGGAGAGATGGTCGTGGTCGCTGTCCAACACGCGCTGATATCGAACAATACTATTCGTCACGTGATCCCAAAAACGCGGCAAAACCTAACCCTATCGCGTCCCCTTTGGTCGAACTTCTAACGTCCAGCCGTCACTTTCAAGGTCAGTTTATCCTTTCAGGTTACTAAGAAAGGCTCGCTGTCCTCGTTTCATGCACGGATCCATCCGTTGCAGAATAATAATCATCAATAAGATAAGAACTAGTACAGACATGAATAGAGCAATGCACCCCAAGGCAGGAACAAACGGTGATACGCTGGCTATCTTCACTGGCTCGCTTCTTCCATCAGAGGAGTTTTCCGCAACCATCCGTCAAAATCTACATCTTTCTCCAGCAGCTCACTAACACGGTCCACCTGCCCCTCTACGTCAAACTGTGAGTTGTAGCCGAAGAACCCACTGCCCACGCGTCCGAATGGTGGCTGTTGCGATGACGTATATTGGGGCATGAAAGCATTTGGATTCTGCGTGAACGACATCATAGGAGTCACGGAACGCAAGTGCAAGTCCTCGACACCAGGTGAATCAGAGTACCCTGATGCGGGTGACGAAAAATATGACTTGGCAGGGGATAGATCAGCTTCTCTGGTTGGTGTTCGGTCGCGCAACGGTGCCGAATGAGCCTCATTAATTTCATCTTGTTCTTCTGGGATAGATTGTGTGTTCCTACGAGAAGGTGGTCGTGGGCGGCGTTTTGACCGACGTGACGACGCCAAAAGCTCCGTCAAGGTAGGCAAGTCTCGATCAGGGGTTACTGGAATCGGCAGGTTTCTGGCATTCCCTAACCCTTTGCTATTTGTGACCGACGGCGTCGGTGTCCGCATTGGAGTAATGGACCGAGGAGGTGGGGTAGGTGATCCATCAAACACTGGTGTGGGCCGTGCCTTTTTCCGTGGGGGAGATGCAAGACTTAGTACTTGCGGGGATATAGTCATGGCTCCTGAAGGCGGCGTCGGTGGCCGATAGCGCTTGCTTGGCGCGCGGGGTGTTACACGAACGGGTAGCGAAGATGACATATTCGCAGTGTCTGCATCATGATTGTCTGAGTTGAGAGGACGATACACTCTGGGAAAAGAGTTGGCGAGATATGGCGAGGAACGAGGGGACAAGGGTATGCGAGTTGATGATATAGGAGGCTTCGCTCTTTCGGGCTGTAATGGTTCCTTCTGCGGAGGCGTGGATGTTTCTAGCTGTGATGGGAAAGAAGGGGGAGGTTGGGACTGTATTTGTTTTTTTATTTTTATGTATGATATCAGTAGTCAGCCTTGGTGAAGCACTAAAGTGATGCACTCTCACCTGTTCAGGTAAATCAACGATTTTTGGCATTTGATCGCGTAGCGGCAACGTAGGAACAGCGGGATTAGAGCTAGCCATGTTGATATCCCCATCGGAATCAACGACAGGCCGATCTTTGTCTATCAGCTTATCTGTATCTTTGTGTATAGAATCTTGAAAGTGGTGATCAACGCCATCCTGAGATTCCAATAGAGCGGGACGACCAGGAGGTCCCTTGCCCTTCTTTCCGGTTACAGTGGCAGAGACGTGCTTTACGACTTGAAAACCCAGCGGAGACGGATCTTTGGGATCTTGTTCCTGAACCTTCCCCTTCGCAACAGCTTTATGGATTGCCTTATTCTGAGAAGATTTTGCTGACCGCGTAGCCGTACAACCTGTCCCCTCGGCATCCATGGTAGCTCGCCATCTCTTTACCTTCTCGTTTACGTTCACGACGGTGTCCAAACAATCTGCCATGCTTTCTGCCGCCGTAGGCTTGTCGAGCTCGCCCACTCGCGCCCCTCCATTATGTTGGGGACCCTCAGTACCGTTGATTCTCTTAGCCCACGCCATCTCCTTTCCCTGTTGGTTCTCTACAAGATTTCTCTGCTCCTCTTTCGCCCCCTCCCTTGCTTTCTCCCAGTCAAACCACACTTGTTCGGTATCTGGTAATATCCAATTTTGTCCCTCCTCCTCCTCCTCCGCCTGCCTATTCTTCCTACTGACCCATCTATATCTTCCCCTAACACAACCCATCTTGAGCTTATCGCTAACATAAGACCACTTTCCGTTACTTGGCTCTCTCCCGGCAAGCTGGAACGCTTCTCGTATATTCTGTCTGAGTTGGAGTGCTCTGACCTCTGAGGTTGGAGAACTTGGAGCGGAAGGTGGAGAGAGAACTTCGTTCTTCGTGGACAGGAACAGGTGGACGTCTCGGAGAAGTTCTGCATACCGGTTTACGTTGTCCGAGGGTGTAGTAGATGCATATGAGTCCATAGGTTGGTGAGCACGGCTGCGTGAATATGATTTGTGCGAGGGGGGGAATATGGGAGTATAGAGCGACATGGTGTATAATAACACACAAACGAGACAAGTTGAATTTGTGCTGCAAGGTTTGGATCGCTGGCTGGGAACAGTCCGGGAGCACAAAGGCCCAGGTTTGAGATAGAATAAGCAAAAAGAAAGTATACCAATGTATTATCCAAATGTTGAGGCTAGGTATGGGGGACTGCTGTAAGGATATTAGGAGAGAGATGGCATGTACCAGCGATGCAACAATGCTGCCACCACGAACGTGGTCCCGCGGGTCGGCGAACTTGGCGGACAGATACGCGGTCCACGGACCATGCCAGTCCAATCTAAAACCTAGCTCATGAAACCGCATCAGCACCGAGTCACTCCAAACGTTTACTGCAGATCTAGAGCTCTTTTGGCAGGGTGATTGACCACTCCGAGTTTGCTGTCATCAAAGTTCGCGTCTTACACGCTTATATATAAACTAGCAAATTTATCCTCTGGAGCATGATAGCCGACGCGGACTGCAAGGCTAAAAGATACCTGTTGCAGAAAATCAAACACAAGACTGTGCCGCTATTCGCGACTGTGTAAACCTATACAACCTGTCCATCAAGATGGACCATTGCATGATCGAAGTCTCAGCAAAAGCGAGCCCAAAATGGCTGTATAAAGTTTGAACTCGACTGTTGCTGCAACCCATCAACAAAAAGTAACCCTGTTTCGCGACCAACCGCCAATTCCTGATAATTTAGCAGATGGACAAAACAGCATTTTTGCGATCTGTGCTATCGCGAGAAATAGCTCACAATTGCACCCAGTTACGAACATACTACGTCTCCATGACACTTCACAATGTCAGCCTTTTGGTGAGCATGATCAACAAGGAGCAATATAGCAGCTGTCACTGCTTCAGCGAATCATGACTTTGACAGCACTCCGCGCTCCCAGGGACATTCGGTATACAGTTAACGAAATGTGACGGCACTCGATATTGATCACAGGACTCAGAACATACTAAAGCCTAAGCAAAGGAAACTTTCTTTCGGAGACCTGGCCCTTTGGCGTTATTGGATGCGCCCGTGTGACTTGTACCGGAATTATCCTGACATGTTTTGTGTTTCTCTTTCCGTAGTTTAACCTTCTCCTTTTTAGACTGTGCTCGCTGTGCGGCGATAATTGTTTTCATCTCCTTCTAAGAAATTCATCAATACCAGACAATTTTTCCACGTCCAGCACAAAAACTGTGCTTGCTCACCAGTTTATCCTTTGAACTGATCTTATGATCGGTTTGCTTTGGCTTTGGTTGACCAGCCTAACAGCAGCAGAGCAACATGATTAGTCCCATCAACGCGGGATAATACCAAACACGATCACGTACCTGTGGCCGGTGATGCCGCTCTGCTCTGCTCAACTGCTTTTTCTCCTCGGTCGCAGCTATCAAGGTGGCTAATTCCAATGCATCCTGAACAGTGTCAATCAGCTGAGACGGGAAAATGACCAATTGACACGAACCTTGCCGTGTTCAAAGAAATTCTTTATTTTCTTCTCCTTTCCTGTCGAACGGGTCGGTTTTGACGTAGCGGATGGCGGTACGGTTATCGTCATTACATGAGTCCTCTATTGGTATGAACTCGGTCAATGCCTGTTGGGAGCAGACTGACAGCAATCTGGAAATGGATAATTTACTGACATCGAATGTAACCTTTTGGTGTTACTGCTTGGTTCCTGTGTGTTACGTAACGTCCGAACTTGTACACCGCGGCGGCTTGGCAACTCGGATATCATTCATTTTTTTTTACTTGAATACACAACCCGAAATCACATTTCATCCTGAATATCGGACGTATGCAGCGATATACTCCACAATGCGGTTAGATTCTCTGCTCCCTTCAATATTTTTGACGTTTGCGCCGTCAATTTGTATGCCGGTTTCGTAAGAGCCACCAAGGGGGCGGTGCTTTCTCTACAGCCGTACCCAAGGGTTGTCTCCTGCATATCGTATTTTTGCGGTCTTCAGGTTCACTGTAAATTTGATATAGCGAGTTACGTCCACAATTAAGTAGCTGTTGAAAGGGTGTATCTGACATTGCGTCTGCATTTATCCTTTTTTGTTCAGAAACGCCAAAATCTATGGTATCAGATCAGGTGAGCTGTCCGGCTCAGTCTCGCTCTCCTAGGTTCTGACCTTGTTCCTTATACGATTAGTGTTTGCTAAGTCCAGGTCCTATCAAAACCCTATCAAATGACGCACGGTAACAACTGTCTCGTTAACTATGGCTGAGCAATCTGTTCTTGATTTACACAGATGACGGCTCCATCTACAATCATCACAGGACTTGGCGCCAGGAGCAAACAGCTATATAAAATTGTTCAGACGCATCCGCCATAGCCCACGAGACACGATAAAAGGTGCACACTTGGACCCATAAAATCTCATCCACCAGCCCGTTTCACCTTCAAAGCCTCTCCTCCTTTACCACTTCACCACTACCACACTTCGTTTCATTAAGTCATGTGCTGCTGGCGACAGTGAGTACTCCTTCGCCGTCGTCCTTTCTGCTACAGCTGACGACGAACACCATAGCGTCCGTAATGTCTACTTGAGGTGTGGACACGCCATCAACCTCGTAGGGCGCTTTGCTTGTGTGCTATACATGGCCGATAATAACTGACTCTTCTTTCGCCGCCTTCTAGCCCGACGAACTCGTGAGCTTCTTCCACGTTCTAGTCAGCATGTCAATTCTAATCAGACAACCCAAAGATCGAGTGCGACAGTCGCACCTGTAAGTTCAGCAGGAGTCACCCTCGCGATTGCACTCTTCCGCAGTGCAAACTTACTTGCTGGCAGTAGTACGTATCAGCTCTTTTCTGGACTAGCGCTGAATTCCTGACTTTCCTTTCTCTCCGAATTATTCACACGTTTCTGCTACCGTCCCGTACATTCCTGTCTTGCCACCGCCACTTCCGTCTGCCGCCATGGAATCGATCTATCGACGTACGATAGCCGCCAATACCCCCAGCAGTACTGTACGTGTGCATGCCTCTGTCGCTTTGCTTTTCAACCGCTGACCCAACTTATGATCTTCACAGCACCCAACATCGATAGATTGTGCCCCAATTGCGAGCAGACAGCCAGGCGTTGATCGTATGGCTCAGTGTAGGGATGCAAACAGACGAACGGTGTATTGTTTACCGAAGCAAGAGCTTATACATTCTCAGCGAATTAATACGAAGAGTAACATTGTTTATATTATTTATATTGTTTATATTGTATCCCTTGTAGACCTGTAGATATTCCCTGCAATTGAAGCAGTTGGCATTTGAAACTTGAATGTACCGACGCCAGAAATAACTGCCCCCTTTGTTCCGCGGCCCTCCTTGATAAATGAATGGATTTGGCATAGTCTTTGATGCCAGCTTCTGATAATATTTGAACAGCGGTAGGAAGGCCACGAAGCTTGGTGATGGTGGTCCAATCTGACAAGCCGCATCATCGCGAATTCGCTTCCTAAGCCTTTGGCTGCAATCAACAAGGAAGATAGTCACAGCTGTGATGACATCGTGGGTGAAATGAGACCGGTGCATAATAATGCCCTCATGGCATCAACGACGCCTCCTGTAAATTGTCAAGGACGTCGTTTCGGAGTGACACGGAGTAGTCTTTAATGCCTCGCGGAGGCGGAGATCAAGCTGATCCTTGACTTGCGGGCTATGTAGATAGTGGCGAGTCGGACAGCCAATACACAAGGCTTGAATCAGGTAAATATTTGCGTAGGGGAGAAAATTGTACGCTGTACGTCGTGTCCTACATTGCGAACAGATCGGACATACAAGGCACTACGCCGTTTTGAAGTGTGGTGAAAATAACTGAACACGTTTGCGGCTGTGTATCCAGCTTTGAATGGTACTATAGTATGTATGTTCCGGCCGCGATTGCCGTATTTACTCACAAGAACTCACACTCTGATTGCTGTGGAAGATACGGGGGGGATCGGTGCACTTCCTGGCTCATGACAAAAGTACACATGTCGAGCTTACAAAAGCCACTCACGATGTTGCAGTGAACCAATGAGCTACATTCTTGCGGCCGCCATGATTTTCGTAAGTTTAATTTTAAGCCTGCCGCATATAGAGATATTACCAGATTATCGGTCAACAAAGAGGAAGAGATCGCCAAACTTACAATCTTGAACCTACTAGTAGGCATCTATTGTGCCACCCATAAGGTATAACGTCCGGTTAACATTTGTCACTGTCATACAGGGCAATGGACCCACAGCAGCACGGAATCGGGCGTACGCCGTATGTGAAGGGTGACATATACCACTATGCTCTTTATCGTAGTTGTGGACTAACGCCGCCTGAGATTCCCGTACACACTTTACCGGAGCAAGATTAAGGAATGTAAAGCCTTTGAATTGGGCCGCTTATAGATGTGACTGCATGAATACCTTATCAAACATTTCTAGGCATTTGGAATGCCCAGACTGACAATAGCTCGCCCATGTGGACCCGCTTGAAATAACAAGCACCCCAAGGCGGGGCGGAGCATATTTTGCGCAGTTTGATAGTATCTCCGAGGGATTATACCGGACCCCCCATATTCCACCCAAAAATATAGAGCTGGGGTTAACGCCTATAGGTATTATTTCGCGTAGTCTGATGCTAACAGCAAGAGGAAGCAGAGGCCGAATATGTAGCATGACGTTCGCGAAACGAATGGGGTTAAACGTTATTCGCTTTGTCGACTGGGAAGGAGATGCTACATTGCCTCAGTCTGCCGCGAAGAACTATCAGGAATGATCACCTACTAGTACATTTTGGCTGTTACATATAGGGCTCGCTAAAAGTGCTTGCTCGTAACGTATGTTTTAATTTCTAGCTCGACTTGAATGTAGTGCCGCGGAGGCTGAAGTTGGCGTCAGCAGTAGATAAACATACTCCTCTCAGACTGCACACCACTCAGACCAATGCATGTTGACTAGTAGCAAACGCTGGTGTCGGGAATGCGGTGAATACAAAAAAGGGTTAATGAATATTTACAACAGGATTCTCTAATGCCATAATGTACTGACCTATACGTGGCCCGTCGATTACCGTGATCGTGAGCGGATTAGGACCGAGTGGAGGAGTCTTTTGCAGGAGTTGTACGCTATTATACGGCAAAGCTTGACCTGAATCATGAGGAGCTTTCCGATGATGGGAAGTGTTTTAGCTTGCTATCGCTTCGGCTTTCCGCAAGAAGATCAACAATGTCGTAAAAAAGTTAAAATCATTCCATGATACCTCGTACCTCAATATATACTGGAGTTTACCAGCCAGATAGCTGTCACTACCGCTGACAATAGTGTAATCGGCTCTAGTGACAATGTGCTGCCGCGATATCATTTCAAATGGGCCACAGTCGACCTTCGTTGCCCATCCAACGCGTCAAATATATCGTAGTTGTGCACCGGAAGCTCCCCGTTCTGCGAGCGATTTCTAGATCTAACTTTGAATGGAACTTTGAAAACTCGTACTAGGTTAGCTTCCTTGCGATGGCATGATTCCTGGAGCGATGGATTCCTGATTTGGTGACGGAATGAGATGGAATCTTCCGGACTCCACGGCCTTTGGGACAAATCCGTTGGTAAAAAGTGTTCAGGTGAGGAAACGTCTCTGGGCCTAAGGGACAAACAATATGCTCATTTACGAGTTCATTTAACATTCATGATTTATGATTTTAGCTTTCGGGTAAGGTACAGTTATTATCGCACCTATATCCTGAGGTGAAATGTCACATGCCGCAGCGACCCACGCGGTCAGCAACGTTAGCGTCCGTAGCGTGTTTTTGCTGTCGTGGATATGGACGGTATGCATCTACAGTGCATGCACCTGCCGAGGTACATGCAGCATGGTCTGGATGGGAACCGCTGGTGACTGTATAGACGAGTTTGAATTGATGTTTAATTGAGTATCCAGAAGATCCTGTGATAGAGTAAGTCGGTGCCAGTTGTTTTTCGCGGAAACTCGGAAACGTCTGATCTTTGACGACGACAGATTGGCTGACAGGTCATGCATGCAGGCGAATGTCAAGGGCGATGTCGGCGACATTCCCTAAAAGTGACGCGAGCGTTTAAAACAAGGGCGTATATGTTTCCCGACTAAGGCCGATTTTGAGATGTCGAATGCTTAGCGACGACAGTGACGGGCTCTGGCGACTCCATCGGCCTATACTGCCTTGGCTGGACGTGAGCAAGAATGTGGAGTGAATATAAGGAATAGTTCGGTTTGCTGCAACAAAGTTGAGCCTAGTAGCGAGTTGCATAGCTTACCAGTAGAGGTCCAAGTTCATGGCTGGTGGCTGCTAATAGATCTGCTGAGTAACGTCATAGCACGTGACCGTATAAAAGTTTGAAAAGGTGCCACTTCGGTGAAATCAATCGATCGAGTGCTGGTCTTGTTTCATTCGCTTGTCCCAGTTCTTGGCACTGTGCTACTAGGAAATTGGCAGACTACTCAGCGATGGTGGCTACTGAACGCGATTCTTTGCTCCCCACTCTCGATACATCCCTTCCTGCGGCGAGAACAAATGTCGAACGCCAGCTGGGTCCACTGGAAATATCAAGGTCTACCCGCTTTATGATACTGGCGGGTCTTTGGTCTGCTACGTTTCTCTCTGTCAGTGAGCCTCATAAAAAAGACAACAATTCAGTCTCTGATGGTTTTCTTGGTTTTCTTGGGGAAAGGCTCTGAACAGTACGTTTCATTGTCCGTATATATTCCCGCATATACTGATAGTCTTTTCCAGCAACACTCGTCGCGACATGTGAGAACTCCATTTTGACTGTTTGTTACCAAAGGTGATCAGTGACCTTGTGACTAGTGCTGCCTTCCATCTCGTCCGACTTCAACAAATCAAACCAAGCTAGTTGGCTCGGCACATCGTAAATAGCTTTACTTATCTCGAATATAGACTGAATACGATTTCTCACGTAAACAGATATCTCCTCGCGCATTGCACCATTACGCCTTTGTATGGCCGTTTATCTAATGTCATGGGACGGCGTGGTGCCAATCAGCTGGCAGTAGTGTCAGCTGCATTAGGCACTCTTGCTTGTGGTCTCTCTGGGAATATGGAAGTCTTGATTGCTGCTAGATTCGTAGGCGCTTATTCATTCCGTTGCTGTCCTTACCTCAATAGTATCTGCGTGAACTAGCTTGGAGGTATGGGAGGAGGTGGCATTTTCACAACGTCCACGTGAGTTCCGTGGCTGGAACTATTTCCCGTCTCAACCTCTAATACCGCGACCCGGATAGGATTATCACAAGTGACATGTATAGCATACGCGTGAGTAGATCTCTTACAATTGTTGCCGTGCTCCTTCCCTTTCAGAAAACGTCATGCAGTCAAGAGGATTAACCCAAGGAGTATCAAATCTTTTCAATGGGGTAAGTCACGCGATCATTGTTACGAACGCCAATACACTCATGCATGTCCTATTCAGCTTGGCATGGGCCTAGGGGGCCCTATTGGGGGTCTGATCAGTGACCGGTCAGTACCTCCGCATGTCCCCGAATATATCTTCTGTTTGTCCACAGTCGCTTAAGTGGTGTTTTTTGGCCAGATTTGGATGGCGCTGGGCTTTCTTGATCCAAATGCCTCTCTTTATTCTTTCCCTGATCCTAACGTCATACAACCTACGTTACGTGACGCCAGTGAGTTCCCGGTTGATATTTTGTTTCACGATCATAAACTTTATTTTATTTCAGGGAAAGGGAAAAAGCACGAAAGAAGTACTGAAGCGAATCGACTATGGTGGCAGTATCACCCTTTTGGTGGCGGTGCGTATGCAATATCAAAATTTAACCACAAGTTTCTTGAATGGGCTCTACAGGTTGGTTCTTTCTTGGTATTCCTGAGCACCAAATACAATGAAGAACAGTCGGTATGTAAATAACTACCTCGTGACTGCCATCTCAGTGTATAGACCTTATCATAGTGGAACCACCCGTTGGTCATAACTTCTTTGGTTCTTTCTGGTGTTTTCTTCCTACTTTTCGTCATATTTGAACTTCTTATTGCCCCTGAACCTGTTTTGGCACCATTTCTCCTTCGACAGAAAATTCCAGTGCTCGTTGGAATCAGCAACTTCCTCGTCGCAATGTGCAATTTCGCAGTTATGTATTTCTTCCCAACGTGGTTCCAAACTGTCGCTCTCACAAGTGCTTCTACTGCTGGTGAGTCATGTTGCATAATGGAGAAGTTTTTCTGAGCACTAATGATAGTGCAGGATTACATCTCCTTCCAAACAGTATGTCGATGTCGATTGGGTCCTTATTTGCTGGGTGAGAACAAAAACATAAAAAATGGTGGCTCCTAAACACCCTGACCGATTGGAATAGGTATTTGATGCATCGTACTGGAAAGTACAAATTACTTAACCTGACATTCGGAATTCTTCCGTTTATTGGTATCGTCCTAATCACTTTCATGCGCGAGGACTCTGGGCCTCTGCAGATGTGGTTAAGCATTGTAAGCACGCTCTTCGCGTAAAACTTTGCAATCGGATATATTAATGCTCCTTCCGGCCAGATTCCTCTTGGCTTCGGTAATGCCGTCGTATTACAAACGATGCTCAGTACGTTTGCTTTATCTTGTAGGAGTCACCTGGGAGTCCCAATTTGCTGATAAAATGTATCCTGTCAGTCGCGCTTTTGGCACATATTCCGAGTATGTCACTATTGTTCCTTCTAAATTTCGATGGTACGTAATGATCCGTTCCATTAAAGAGTCCTCCATGGCAGTGGGAACTGGTTTTGGACAGGTTTTTCGAGGTCTCGGTGAGTCAATATCTTACATAATAATATCCGTGACTGCTACCAACCCATCTTTTTCTTAGGACAAGTAGGGGGCGTTGCCGTATCCTCTGCTATCTTTCAATCAAAATTAGATTCTGAACTACGAAACCGGATTCACACCCCGAACGCTGAAGAGGTTAAAGTCATCTCTCTTATATGGCAATATGTTCAGTATCCCGTTAAAGTCAATGACCGTTATTAGATGATCAACAAAATTCGACACTCGGCTCGTCTTGTGGGTAGTTTACCGCCTGACTTGCAGCGCGCTGCCAGAGACTCGTACGCTATTAGTTTAAGGGCTGTCTTCACTCTGGCGGCTTGTTCCACGTTCTTGGCGTTCCTTGTGCGCCTACCGGTATGTTTTGCTAGTCGCGTGGTGTTTCCCCGGCGAGATATAATTTTTTTGTTCTAGATTCCTGAGAAGACTTTGGATGACGATGAACCTGTGAAACAGACAAACACTATTACTTCACCTATCGGTGAAGAATCTGCCATACAAACGTCTCCGGTCTCTGGCGAAGCTGTGGACGATGATGACGATGATAATGACATATCTCCTTCACTCCCCAGGCCAGTGGTCCGCCCTCGTAGGAGGCTTTCGACTTTCGAATCTGTCGATGGAGGCCTTGATTTGGAAAGCGACACAGTCGGGGGATCCGCAAGACAGCGTTGAAAGAGCTACCATGAGCCAATGAAAGGCCAAGCAAGAAAACAAACGACTATCCCCAAATTTCTGGCATGCGGATGAATCCTTTTCACTTTACAATAATTTTTTTTTTTGCAAAGCTCCTATGGACAAAACTTAGCATTTCTTTGCATCCCTCGATCATTGTCTATAACAATCCACCAAATAAAATACTACTTTCGCTAAGCTTCGAGATTTTAGCAGATGTTTCGTTGTCCTTCCCAGGGGGGACCACCTCCAAGTCCAACTCCTCGAATATCGCAATGCCACTGGCTACTGCCCATGTGATCGCGCGCATAATGACGAGTACGCAGAATAACCCAGATATAAAGCCAAGGCAGACCAGAGTCGACTCTTTAGAGGATTTGTGCTGCGAGGGAGAAAGCCATCCTGATCTGAGAGCTACAATGCCCCCTACAATGAGATATATAAACGATAACAAGGGGGCACAAAACCAGAAAATGCTTTCTTGAGAAAGGTCTGGGTCGGCCCGCATGCGACGTAAAACTGCTTGTACTTCGACCAAAGAGGGACATATTGCATGATACCATGCTGTAGTCTCGTTGGAGACTCGTGAGGTATACGCAGAGAGCCAGTGATTTGAGCGAGAGGGATGATGATTCGCAGGAGAGGTGGTCAGAAACTGGGCGTGCTCGTCAGAGACATTATAGCGGTGGATAAGTGGCATCGTGGATAAGTGATGGATGAAAAGCTGTTACTACTAAACGCACGTTCAAGAAATATTCGGCCATCTTTGGATGTTTCAGTTGTGAGTGAATAAAGGCGGAGATATGTCTAGGACCTTCTTCTTTGGACTGAATCCAAATCCAAAGCTGTATACTACACCGGCGTGTAGCAGAGGTAATACGCCTATTCTGATTCGCCATATGAATTATGTTGATTCAGTCTGGAATGAGATATTACGCCCCTAATGAAATCAAATTATGATCGTTGAATCCGTAAGCATTAACCATCGATCATCACATTTCCGTCATGAGAATGAAATAACTCGGTAGAGGTGCATGACGGTCCGTTACCGATTGAATTAGGCTCATCTGAATCCAATGTACTTACAGAATGCTTCTTTTGAAATCAGGGCAACCGTCCGAGTCGGATAGTTCTTCTGTTGTGATGGAATGGTGCAGGGTAGACTTGAGATGCGGCAGCGAATAGCAAGCAGCGGTTTTGAGTTTTTCGGCTATAATGATCGAAAAGTTATTAGACTTTATCGGGGTATTTTTTTCTCAATGAATTCATTCAAGCAGACCTTCAAAACATGTTCCTTGGACTGTCTGATCATAATGGATTTTATGAAATGTGGGCGTCAATTAATCATGACTCCAGTCACGAAAAGACTTTTCGTTGGATGAATCCCGTTGCGTTGCCGCGCAAACCCTGGCGAGCGCAGTCAAACTCTCGGCGATGGGGGCATTGATCGAATTATTGATCAAGGGACCTGGAGAGATACGAGAGACGCGGACAGTCTGGGTAACGTCCGCAGTACTCTGGCATTGATTGTTTCATTTTGATTCCGCCTTGACGTCCAAATGTTCAAGACTAACTTCCCAATTTGACTTGATTATTTGCCGCTGCCACAACTGGATTGGATCCGTTTTTGCCAGCTGAACGTGAGTTTTGATAGCTCATATCTTGTCCCCGGATGGAATATATGAGTATTTATTTATTCTGGATTGAATATGAAGGAGGCTGAGTGGAGGTTAAAGAAATCTAGCAACTCGGATGATTGGACCGTGACAAGAGTTAACTTGCCGGTATACTAGTCATTATACCAAATTAGGTAAGCCTAGGAACCCAACTTGGACTCATACTTTGATGGGCCCACAGTGTAGTGCCCAGCAATTGCAATGGGCTGCCATCCTGCATATATCCTTATCTATCTAGTCTTTCTCTTCCTCACACATAACATCCAAGCCCACAGCATGAAGGATATCACACATTTCTAGTTGACAGAAAAAACCGTACTGAAGAATTTTCAAATTTGTTATCGCTCACTGGCGACTTCGTAGTCTATCACGTTTCCCATACCCTGGCCAGTAATTTATTTAGTCGTCATCACTCTTGCTATCAGACTCGCCGTTTTTCGGGATATCGCTAAAGCCCGAGCGTGGTCACAACATCATGATGCACTTGAAGTTGGTTCAACACCATTACTACACTCGACGTGCTGTTACCGTAGACTTCCATGTCGTGAGGGCAAGATCAAAGGTGTGCTACAGTAATCTCAGTTCTGCTCTGGTTTTAGAGATTTATCTCATCGCGTTGAACAGCATACAAGCGGTTCGTTTTCGGTTTTCTCAAGGCAGAAGCCAAATCAGATATTACCAGTACATCTCTTTCGAGTTCTTCAGGCTCGTCACTTCTTGACTCGTACAGGGTCTCGTACAACATCTTAGTTGAGATGCTCATATCTGACTCATAACCGCTGCACAGCACTCGCTATAGTGTAGGAATACTATCACATGGTGTGACGGGCAGTATATGCTCACAAAAAGATCCCCGTCTACCTGTAAGCATGTCAACCAGTTCTTTTTTTGCGTCCCATAATTTGATTACATACTACAAGCATAAACAGTAAAACAGTATTCATGGCAATGGTCTCAGCCTTGCACGTGGAGGGGGATTGATCTAATTCTGATCACCGAGTTCTAGAGTGAGTGGACAACTTTGCTTCCTGATATCGTCGTGTGTTTCCTCATCTCAGCTACATGCTGACACCTTTGATGACCGTACAGGTCTAACAGTGTAGTGTATACGCATTCGAGGTACACCGCCGCATTGCCTAACTAGTCAGAAGTTACCTCCGGCAAAATCTCGAATTGAACGAGGTGTTTGGATGGTGGCACCACCGTGGCACTTCATACGACAGCCGACTCATCACTCTATTAATTTAAGCATTTTTGGCAGGCTTAAATGCTTCAATGGATTTTTTTTACGTGAGATTTCACAAATCTACCTCTATTCTGCGTTGCATCTGAATCTCATTATATCATCAGCATACAAGAACAAATTAGTTGTTCGGGGTATATGCCATACTAGAAGAAACCCACTGGCTGTGCCCTATATGCTCACTCGCAATCTGTAGCGGTTCTCATGAAACATTTGCAACACTCGCGATCCAAGTCTTCACACTAAGCACAGCGCATCTAATCATGCATGGTAAGGATCTCATATTTGCTCATCTTTCTCAGAGTTCAATTTTCATATAGGATGGTACCATAACGAACATCCAAGCGCCCGTATGTGTATGTAACATAATGCTGATCGCCGGACGCGAAGTGTGCCCACACTGCAAATTTGACCATGCGGTTGTCCACCTTTCATCAGTCCACCGCTCCGGTGTAGCTATCCATGCTTCAAATCGCCATACAGTTGACACGGCCATCTGAGGTATGGTTATGCCAAAATCAATGTATAACTTAATTTGATGCCTTTTTCCTTTCTTCAACCAAAACATCACACAAGTTAAATGCGGAGTACCGCTTTGATCCGTTCGCAATATCCAAAGCTTTTTCCTATCTACCATCGAAAAGCAACCAGCCACATAGTAGGGGTTTTCAAGTTAAAACTGCGATTTGTTGCGAGTGTCTCGCTTTACAATGATGTTTGATCAGCACCATGTCCAAAAGGAATTATCTATGAACATCGCAGCAAGGAAGTACTGCAGATGTAATCACTGGTGATGGTTGTATATCCTACATAAACCCGGAGGGGTACTTGCACTATAGCCGACATCATCAACGTACACCAAACAAACTCTGTTGCGACTATCGCCCATCTTGCGCACCTTCATCTATACTACAGCTTGTTCACTGATTTATTTGTAGGCCATATAGCTAGCGGCCTTGATCAACATCAGAATGACACCTATTCATGGCTATCACCGTACTTATTTGCAAGTCCCTGCTTCGCGTGGCCTGGAATTGTCCAGTTAAAAGTGTTCCGTCGCTTTATGAGTTATCTAACATCCCTCACGTTCTCCCGATCAGTGCTTGGGTCTGTAATATCAATAACACTATCGACTCAGTCGTCGGTCCAGCTTTCTGCAGTGCAAATAACCTCGTACTCATTACTATTACAACCGCTCACGGTATGGTTCAACTACACGTTCTGAGCTAACGTCGGTAATCATTCTTGGTTGAGCGCTGATGGGAGGCTGATGAACTGGTGGGAATTGCCTATTTTCTTTAAGCACATTATGATCCATGAAGCCGGATGTCTGATTTCGCAAATTACGCCACGGATGGCCGTGGTGGATCGATTCGATCTTATTGTATTGCTCTGCAGATCGGGATGATACTACAATGTAAACAAAAAGGCTATTCAACGGCGACATCTATCAAGCAAGCATAGGGTATGTATGACAAATAAACGAGAAAGAACGTGTATGACTAGCAAATGTCAACCGTTCCATTGGACAACTTCGCAAGGTCGGAAATAAAACGACTACTCCGAAAACGATAAAAGACCAGCAGCGAAAGATTCCCTGTAAAAGTAGCAGTGTAGACAAGTTCGTTTTGGGGGTGTACGGCTGCCGTGAGTATGAGAATACATTCTTCGCACATGCAGATGGAGTATTTGCTCCAGACTTTTACAGTCATGAGGTCCCCTTCTTTTCTGAATTTCGCCGTTCACCTTCCACGTAGAGAAATGTGACTATCACGTCTTCGAGGATGGTCATTCCGTGCGGCGTGACGTGCAGAAGAGCGGGGTTATGACCACTGAGAGGGGTGAAAGTAGCCGCTGGAGCTTTCTTGCTGTCATTACTTGAAAGCTTCGAGGCATTTGAGAGGAAAGAGTGTAGATTGTGCGATAAGTCACGTAGTTAGTAGTGCGGTGATAGTTCCGAAGAGTGGATTTTGGGGGACATACCCAGGATGAACCTTCGCGGAATTTCCATTTGTATGATTGGCCGTTTACAGCAATGAATGTCCTTGAACTTTACGGGGAAAAAAAAGCAGAAGCCAGCAAGGCACCAACATTAGTATCAACATCAATTTTCCCCGACATTGACCAGCCAACCGGAAGCAGAGACGAGAACATGGGAGACGAAGGTGATAAAGATACTCACGAGCCAAACAGCTTACTCCTGTGCACGACGACGTCCCGAAGACCTATGCGCACGATGGCAGCGTGAGCCGACTGCCATTCGATTCTCCCAATTTCAGGATCCATCTCGCCCCCCCTCTGTATTTTTTTCACGGTCGTGGTCGAGGTAGTAAAATAATAAGGCGTGTCGACACGGTAGACAGGGTGTCCGTCAGGGGAGACGAGGACGGTGTTGAATGGGGTATCGACTGCGAGTGAAAAATTCATGGCTGAGGTGACAGGGAACTTGGAGAAGGTTTTTTTATTTAATTACGGTTCACGGGCAGTTGACGCTCGCAGGTGTTGCATCGATACTTTGTGTGGCAGCACCTGAGCACAGTTATCGGAACCCATTCCCGACAGAAGGCTTCCACGAGTATCTCTTTTTTGCCACGAGCCGTCTGTAATTAAGACTTAAACTGAAAATGAAGGGCCGGTTTTGGGAGACTGCGCGTGGCTGGCCCCCTCGAGGATTTCTGGGACAATGGGAAAGATCCTTGAGACACTGTTGACAGTGATACGGCGCTGACGCTGGCTGAGTTGTGACTACGCGGTTACTAGTATGATTAAATCATGTCTAGTGTAGTGGCATGTGCACTCGGTTATGTAATATTGCCTTTTTGAGGTGGAGTAGCATTGAACGACACTACACAACATTGCAACGATGGTAGAACAACTAGGCCGACTAAGTAAGAGATAATACATAGATTTTACAAGACAGTATCAGATCCCCAAGTAAAAAGAAAGTATGTGTCAGTGCTACTCTAGGAATGCAGATTGAAATTTAACAATAATGAATGCAAGGACTGAGATCCCCAAAACAAATCAAACAACGCCCAAACAACTTCCTCCACCCTTCTCTTACCACCAACATATCTCACAAACCGGATACCAGAGAACTCATCGTACATCACAACTCGTCCACGCTGATCATGCTCGAGAGCCCGCTTCTCTTATAGGTCTTGGGTGCTTCCAAATTGGGAAGCCTGCGCATTGGCTTGCCAACGGCGTGGACACGGTGGAGAAGGATACCAGCGACGACCTTCAACCTCGTCTCCCTGTCCTGGGCTGCCTTCTGTTGGACGAGCGCATCAGAATGAATATTCTGCGGAAGCCGCACGGTATAGGTATGGTACGATTGTGATGCAAGATGCGTGCGAGCGTGGGTTTTCGGGTCCACCCTGTAGAGGTGACTGATGTCGATATCGACGGTTGGACTGAGAGCATGCACGTCTGTGAATGGATCTTCAGACGGGAAGGGAATGGTCGTTCTGCATGTTCTCGGTGGGGGTGGGGGCGGTGCACGGCGCGAGCTGCGCAGTGGAGGTCTCTGGGAGCGTCTGCTCGCAGAAGGATTAGATATGGACGCAGGAATGGTGCGCCAGACTGCTTTAGGCATATTTGGTGGATATCGGGTGTTTATTAAAGCGTATTGGTCTATTGATGGATATGAAAATCTGGATCGTGAAGAGGAGTTCGTGTATGATGGGAAGCCAGAGAAGGTACCGTGGATGGAGAGAGCAGGCGCAGCCATGTCGAATTACAGAGTATGAACCTGTCGAAGGTGATGGTGATAGGATAAGATAGGAGGAGGAGGAGATGATGGGATGGGCTGAGAGGGAATGTGGGGAATGTCTAAAGGTTTATAACGATAAGAAACAAGGGATGGCGAAGCGAAATACTTGAAAGGGAGAGAACCTGGGTCGGATTAGGAAGCGGACTAGGCCCATAATACAACGTCCGAGAAGCAAACCACGGCCACGCCCGGCCCACAGCCTTCTTGCCCCATACGTGGATAACAAAAACTGCACTCATCCTCACGACATCCTTCCCATTTCGAACACAAAGGTCTCGCTTTTGATGGTCACCAATCCAATATCATATCCCTCTTTTTTTCCTTTGTTCTCTCTCGCATTCTTCCCCCATACACAATAGAGCTCTCTTCGCCAAAATAGCCGTTAACGGCGTTTTCGTCAAGCTGAGTTCAGTTCGACCCCACATCATGTCGCAATGTGGCTTTCTGTCGTCGTTATTGTATTGAAATGCTTGGATTCTTTCAATGAGGTGAGGATCTGTCACGCAGGCTACAGGACGCCCTGGATGAGTCGATACACTGCCGGCATACGATCGAGAATGCAAAGGTCAGATGATGTACAGCGCTCTTCACAGTCTCCAGGTGATCCTTTACATATCCCCCGCGAGTGAAGATCAAGCGAGAACCGCTCAAGGATGAAGTCACCTACCTCAGAGTAACATCCCATCGCCTGGATGAGATTCATGACCAGAACTGTACGAATAATTCTTGATACGCTGGCAGTGTACGGCGGGCGGCCTATCGCTTGGGCAGAAACAGCTATACGACGCGCTAGCTTAACAACGATGCCAGCACGTAGTAAGTCTTGTAAGCCCGTATCAACACTCCAAATTGTCGTATCATTTTCGTCGTCCTGGGCGATGTTGACATCCTCAGGCCAGCTAAGTCTCCCGGTTCAATCGTTTTACCCCCTCGCATTCTACGTGTATTTATACTCTGGCGCGATTTTATGTTGCTGCGGAAGGATGTATGATGGTTGGCGTGGGCATGCTCTATGTAGGATGCGTTCTTCTCAGGGATATTACAGGTGCTTGACTTATTCTAGTTGGATATATGCGCAGTGTCGAGCCAAGGTTGTAAGTAGCAAGCTTCTTCTCGTCCTGTATCATCTGCTTATAACCAGGGTCGTATAACTACACACAGGAGAATCAGATTTTCATCTCGCTAGGGAAGATATATTCTTGTACGAGTCTGACAAGGGCTTGTTGATAAAAGAGTCCCCCTTGAGAGTGTCATTCGCAGTATGATCCAACAGGCGGGTATTAGTCTTGTCTCCTGACCGGACCAATTACTGATATGGATTCATAGATTTTTGATGTCAGCTATGGGGAACATATCGAGGGGAAGAATCCTTGGTGTTGAACAACGCACTACAGGAACGTTTGCTAGTAGGAGTAGGCTAGTAAGTAATTCCAGTATTTACCGTTCAAAAAATTGACCGAGTCATATCTTCGCAATCCCTGTTATCCTACATCCAGGATAATGCTATTTATCGCTGGAAGTATACATACACAAGCCGCAGAACTACTTGACGAACAAGTAAAACTTGCACTTGCTTCTCGTATACCTTGTGGCTTGAGAAGAGAAGGTGCTGCCTCATAAGTGTATAGGGGGATATCGTTCTTGATACGCTCTTACTGTTGGTGATCAGCTCAATATCGAGCACCTTGAACCCAGGATCGTGCAGTTGTGATTCTGGTGAGTGAGTAGTTATGCTCGCGGGTGGTATCTAAATTCCGGGCCCAGACTTTCCACTAGTCACTCAGTTGTAGTGGATGGCTGTTCTTTCACGGTCTGGGGCATAGTATGAGGAAGAGCGCGAATTCTCCGACATGTGGTAGAAAATGCTGCTGTTATTTGGAGGGCTCTTTGAATCAGGATCATCTAGTTTCGTCACGTGTCACATGTGTCACGTCAGTATTGCTGTGCCCGACACAAGCGACACTGCAGTAAGTGGGCTGTGCCATGGTTTTTCTGTTTGGAAAACATGCTTATAAGTATGCCATCAGAAGATGGTGGAGAACTGCAAGGCACAGTCGTCACATTTGTTTAGTGGCTTTCATTCTGATTGAGGTCAGCTGTGGCCCTAGTGGACTTTGTCAGTCAATGTGCTCGACCTATTTGTCTTGGGTCCTCAATCACAAGATACGCCTCACATCCCGTTCCATTATACACCGCCTTCGAGAGTAACCATAAAAAAACCCCTGATTGTCACCCTAGGATAACTGGAAGTCGAACCTCAAGTTACTAGTATACCGCCATGGATTCGCAAGTGACTCTCGTTGACCCAGCCATCTTAGCACTCGCTAGTATCATCCTAGATTTCGACCGCGATGACATGAAACGGACGACTATCCGCATACGGGGTGCTACCAGCACCCAACCTTATTATTACGTCGAGACGACCAAGTCGGATAGTCGGACAGTCGTTCGTACGGGGGACCATGTTATTGCGACGGTCGAGCGCAGAGATATTTTTCCTGACCAGATCACGTTCAAAGGTTCGCAGTCAATGAATCTCAGCAAATGGCTCAAGTCTCCCAAGATGGCCAAATTGTGAGTATCTTTCTCATGCTTTACGCCTCGCTTGTCCTGTTGGTGGAGTCTCGTGTGTAATGATACTGTGTTTTCGGATTCTTAGCCCTATCAGCTTTGTAAAGGATGAAAAACGATATGAGTGGAGAATCAACTTCATTGGTCAGGTTGCTGTGAGTTTTCCTGTATGCCTACCTTGCTATTAGCTCTTAGTATAATTTGAACCCTTCAAGTTATACGAAGAAGGTGCGGCGGTCACTGACGCCATCGCCTGGTTCCAAGCCTCGCGCAAACGCGTCGTAGACGGCAGACCAGTGGTTTACAACGCCTTGCTCGCACTCAAGCCCGAAGCCGATCTCATGCGCGATACCGTCCTCGTGTCGTGTCTGCTGGTAGAACAGAAGGCGAGGATGAACGCGAAGGCGAACGAACTCGCAGTTGGGAGGGCTATATTTGAAGAAACGGGATTGATAGCTGGCTCACCATTTTGATACTGCTATGATTTTCATACATGGCGCTGGTGGTGAGACGAGCTTTGAAGCAGTATTTGTGACGATAATTAGCGGTCGTAGCCTTTTTAAATAATAAAACTAACACTCCTACTCTTTCGACACAGCGCGGCTGGGGAAGAAGACTGCTGTACCATAGGTTTCTTCGACGATGATCATTTGATATATTGACAATTAAAACGACTGATGGACTTGTACGACCATGCACGTCGTCAAGCTTTTGGCGTACGAGAAAGGCCATGACATCTACACATTCCACTCGACAGTGACGCTCATCGACAAAGACGATATGGTGGCGGATCTGAAAACGCTCACTAGCATTGCAGCACAGCTCAATGTGATTGAAATAGGGGCTTCCTATGGAAGGTACGACATTACTTGAATTGCCTTTCCGCATGCTGATGTGCCGTTTAGCCGTACCAATTTTTAGGCATAGGGGATACAGAAGAGCTTCGCTCACGTTTGCGTGATAATCACAACTGACTTGACCAGTTCTGTGGCCATCTCACTTCGATGTAGATGAAGAAGTGTCAGTTCCCTTCCATTGGCTACGAGCAATAGGGGCCAGATCGAGAGTGGCACGAAAATTGTGTTAATTGCTGAAAATGTTCCGGGGAAGAGGCCTCAGGACGAGGAAGAAGAAGTGATTGGAAGACTGGGGGAAAGTATGCTTACCTGTGGTACCACGCTTGGCAATTTTGACGTGCGCTTGACGTCTAGCCTTCGACAAAATCATCAATCAAACATTGTCCGTCAAATCTCACTCGGTCAGCACGAAGTCGACGAATGATCATGCTCACCAAAATCAGGGAATGCCGATCCTCGTTAGTCGTTATGCTAGGAGCTTCACTCCTATCCTTGCTCCCACAATCGAATTCAGTTATCCTGTGTTCACTGAGTTTAAAGCTAATATCTGGGACACGTCCCGTCATGCGCCCCCCGACGTTATCCGGCCATATGGCCAAGCTCATAGAGGTTGCTTCCCAAATTGCGACGACCGAGGCTAGCCGAGAGGAGCTAACTGGGTGATATTTGGCGGACGATTTTGCGCGAGCCAAACATTTTTATTGTGGAGGATGAAGGAGTCCAGAGAAAGGATATAATTATTGATTCAAATGGGCAGGTAGGCACGGGGAAGTGAGGTACCCGCGGCACCTTTCGAGCGGTGCGGGATGGGTGGAAGATTACGGGCCCATTACACTTGAGCATGATGTGGGAATGGGGAACCGTTTGTAGGCTTGTGAGATAGTGTGCCAGAAGTAGTGCCTGGTGATGTTTTTGATAGCACTGACTCGTTAGAAGCACTAACCAGCTTTTCATGATCTTAACAGTTTACAATCAAACATGCTGCCAATTACGATTCGTTCTTTATGATTAAATAATTGCCAGTGACAACAGGTAATATGTACCCGACAACACTGCAGTACTTGAGGTTTTCAACACGATCGATAACCCTGCCCCTATGAACGGAGTCAGGGGTTCGTACACTACGATGGATTACTACTACTAATAGTCGACGAGTGACTGGCCGCTCTCCCAGTAATTACTAAGCCTCTGCACAGCACTCGGGGACACCATCCTCACACACAGGAGAACGACATGAGAAATGCCGCCTGATCTTGTCTGTCAGGTTTCCGCTTTTCACGGAAAAGAAGCACAGCCCTCTCGATTGTCATTTAAATGAACCGCTCACAAAGACATATGTGTGCATACACAGCTGGAATGGATTCCCCGATAACATATGTTAACTCTCCTGCTCCTTCTGATGCAAGTACAATCCTCGACTTTAAGCGCGACGTGATGACACACACGAAGATCACTGTGCGGGGGGATAGTACTACTTGCTATACGGTCGAGACATTTAAAGCGGGAGTTGGTGGTGTAAAAACTGTGGTTCGCCAGAGTAACAGGACATTAGCTGCTATAGAACGGAGGGACATATTGCCAGACCAGGTAACGCTGCGCGACGGCGATGCGCCCATCAATTTGAACAAGTGGCTGAAGTCACCTGTGTTTTCAATGTTGTGAGTTTTTCCTATAGACTTACCTTTCTGGTAAAAGGCTGGCTGAAGATAGTATTCTGATGTGGGTAGTCCGATCACTTTTGAAGAGGCAGGGAAAAAGTATAGTTGGACACGGAGTTCGAAAGGCCAGCTATCGGTGAGGGAGTTTTACGTACACGTAACCGTATCCTTTGTGAACCTGACACAATTTACGACCTTGAGTTATATGAAAAAGGAAGTGAACATAAGAGTGCTGGATGTATCGCGTGGTTCCAACCTTCCCGTCTATCGCTAGAGGGCAAGGACTTGGACACAGTTTCGCACTGTGCCTACCTTGCACTCAAAGAAGAAGCTGATCAAATCCGTGATGTAGTGGTGGTGACGTGCCTGCTGGTAGAACAGAAGGCAAGGATGAAGGATAAAGCAAAGGGAACGAAGGCTATTAACGGGGGCTTTGGGATGATAGAGATTACTGCGTGATAGAGATTATTGCGTGATAAAGATTATTGCCATTAGTTGATCCTCTCGAATGCTTTCTGGCATCGTATTTATGCGATCATACGTCGTTCGTTCGAGACCTCACGTTGAGTGATAGGTGCCAGTGCAAGGGAGACACTGCTGTATGCATTTGCCCTGGAGACTACATTGCCTGAGTGGGAGTATTTAGGACTGCATGAGTATCAACGACATAGACACGACAGGAACCACTGACGCCTTCAAAATAGAATCTGACCTCAGTGAATTTGTGTTGTTCGGTTTGAGGACCTGTGATACTGAATTACTGGTAGACCTTGTATCTATTTCTGCTGATCAAGGGAGCGAAGAAAGCGAGACGAGGGTGAATTTGATGCTATCGAGCCCCCTTTATGAATTTTCACTTGGATATTGGTGTGGGGCAGTAAAATGTCGTCTGAAGAAACACACATACCACGATGAGGTTTACATCCGGTTTGATATGTAGCAGAAAAGAATTAGAATTATCGTGATTACCGCTCCATAGGCTGGTTTGGCGCCATATGTAAGTAATGATTTTCATAGCGAGTGGCTAAAGCCAACGAGCGTTTTCAAAGTTGTGTCAACTGGAGTCTTTTTATTTGGCTCTTTCATTCCGTCCGTGCCGCAAGTAGCATATGAATTGAATACAACCAACTCCTTTATTAGGTTTGCCCTTTCTCAGTGCTATTTACGTGCAACGATAACGCCTTTCTCTTTAGCTTGTCTATCGGTGACTCCACTTTTGCTGCTGCTGCGGGTTGTCTCACATGGGGCGCAAATTCGGGTTACTGTGAGTCCAAGTATTCGTATTCTCGGAAACCGTGTTTTAAAAACCACTTCAACACGCATTTGCGTACTAAATAGATGGTCAAAGACCCGTTTACCTCTTGAGCACTCCGTGCATAATGTTAGGATCCCTCAGAGTAGCTTTCTCCATGACCGTTCAACAGCTTCTATTCTGGCGCTTCGTCCAGTCGTTCGGTGCAGGAGCAGGCCTTTCAGTTGGAATCGCTGTTATCAGCGATGTCTTTAAAGTGGAGGAAAGAGGTACTGCGATGGGTATTTCTATGGCTGTAAGACGCGATTCCCTCTCTTGCTGTCGCTCGATATCCACATTGTCATCTGACTCCTGATTCCATGCTTCCAGGCTCAGCTCATCGGTCCTGCTATCGGTCCTGTGTATGGAGGTAAGTTGATCTATGCCCATTGGCGCAGTACTATTAGCAAATGTTTTATATCTATTTATCTAGGTTTCGCAACGCACGATGCTTCGTGGCGCGTCATGCAATATGCCTTTGCTATAGCCTCCACCGCCTCCTTCCTCCCCATCCTCGCTCTTTCCCAGAGGCAAGTCACCCGAACACCCTCCGGCTTCTGCAGAGCCCAAATAGTGTTAATAATCGTATGTCCCTTCTTTCCCCTGTAATACGTGGTTTTTCAGTCCGTTTGATCTTTGACAGTGTGCCATCGGGGCTATCACGTTGATCACGGACTTTGGTAAGTTTTTTTTTCTGGCTCGGTGTGCGGATACCCATGTTGATGTTGTACCACACTAGCACTTTGGGTACCTCTGCCGTTCACTGTCGTGAGTTATACCATGGCTCTTGTATCATCATTGCTGTTAAAATTTTCTGATAAATTAATAATCAGGGTGAGCGATACGGAATTCACAACGAAGCCTGGGTCGGAGCTTGCTTCTTACCCTCGGGGCTCGGAAATATAAGTAAGTCTATCTCTACGTTTCTCGCACTCGTCGCGACTTTGGGGTCTTACGTTTTGACGCACCAAACCTAGTCGGTGCACGCATTGCCGGGCGCATCTCTGACAATATTGTCAAGCGTAAGCGAGAAAAGGGCGATGGCGCCTGGACGCCAGAAAACAGACTGCGGGGGAGCGAACTAGGCTCGCTTTTCCTCGTGCCGCTCTCACCTCTCCTTTCCGGGTTCGCGACCAGATACGTCGGTGGCAATTTGGGTGTTACGCTCAGTCTTGTTGCGCTATTCATGAATGGGTTCGGGGCGTGGTCAACCCCTTGCCTTCCTTATTCTAGCTTTTAACTTTTATAAATGTCGTCCTTTTCTTTCTGGCGACTAGATTGTCTTTGTCTTGACGCCTTGCGCCACATACATGGTTGACATCCTCTATGCTCACAGCGTAGAGGTCGTAGCTGTAGAAGAGTAAGTATGTATCCTTCGTTAAAAGAACAACACATCGACCTCACCTTTCTCTTCTAGCGGATTCCGAGCACTCCTTTTGTCGATCATCACCACTGCAATTGTACCTTCCATAAACACCATCGCAGTCCTCCCCATTGACACTCTTACTGCGATTTTTGCCCTCGTAGCCTATGGGTTAGTACATCGGCTCCACCCCCAGCTGTTACGTCCGGTTTCCTAACCGTTATCATCTCCCAACTCAGCCTTTTACGTTTCCTCATCCATTACGGCGCACGCCTGAGGGCCTGGAAAGACGTTGGTTATTCAACCGCGAACAACAACTAGACGAAACAAAGATGTCATTTGGTATCAGGAGGAATCAAAATCATACATCATACACGAAGCAAAAGTAAGCAGGACAAGACATATATTATTTACTTCATCGTACTTCTCCCTCATTCATTTGATTGTCATAGGTACAACGGAACCGATTGTAAACATGAAAAAAGTTGTAAAATGCGGCTCAGCTTTTTATTTTTCTTCCACCACTTTCATATTCGTACTAGTTATTTTCATAGATTTGAATCGTAAAAAGGCGTGCCAGCTAGAAGGATAGAAACAGATAGAGCAGTGTTGTGAAATCCACGGAATAAAAAGATGAAGGTGTGACACTACAGGCTACAAGCATACAATGGCAGAGCATATGGCGTCGAAAATTCAAAACAAACAAAAAGCGTACACCTCTTCCCTCATCTTGGATATCCAAAATGTTATCTGGTACGATCAATGAACGCGCAGGGTGAAAAACCCAAATATTAAGCATACAAGTTGATGCAATCAGCAGATATAATAAAACCCACCTCTCTCAACCATTATAGCAAAACATGGTGAAAGAATAACTATAAGAAATCAGCTCCATCGATATCAGCAACAATTGAACGAGAAAGTGGAGATCTGAGGTGATCGCTAGGGATCGCAGCAGCAGTTCTGCGCTTCGTCAGCGGCTTGACAGTTTCATTCCGACGGAAAACCATCTGTGCGACCAGTTGGGAAATGCTACTAAACGCTCTACGACGATGGTTGTCTTCCTTGCAGGGAGAACCGAGCCTGTCGCCAAGTTTGATTCGTAGAAGTGCACCGACCTCTTTGCTTCTCTCTTTTTCTTTCCTGCGCACCCGCCGTGTTTCCGCGCGTGACGCGAGATCATGAGGATCGACGAGAGCTTCCATGCGACGTGCAGATCTCTCGGCGGCGAGAGACCGCTTCCGGAGGTCATACAAATGCACGAGCTCAGGATCAGCAGCATCCTCTGACGAAAGGTTCAGATCAAAGTCTTCAGGCGACGGCGATCGAGGAAGAGGCACATCGCGCGGATCGTCAACGAATAAAAGAGGCTGGCTTGGAGTTGGTGGATAGAAGAATGGCTGCGGAACCAATGGAGGCGGAAGCAGTTCGTCGTCTGTGTCAGCTCCTGGGAGAGATATCAGTGTATGGCTGGGAGAGACGGGCGTTGGATACGGGTTGACTTCGGCAGAGTCGATATCCATGTCCATGTCCAGCTCAGGGAGAGACGAGCAAGAACGCCTACACGGCGAAGCTGGTGTCGGTAGCTGTGGAGCTTCGTCGTCCACGTCTGGAAGACTCAAATGAGAGACAGACGGAGAATGTGGTTCCATAAATTCCATTCGAGAGTCATGATAGGACGTAGATGATGACTGCTGTGGTTGCTTTCCAGAACGATCGCGAGATGACCACGGTATGGCAAGGGGCCTCAACAACGGGCGGTGATTGTGAAAACCAAGTAGCTGAGACGGCTCTTCTAGCGGGGGCGACGACAAAGAAGGAAAATGAGCAGTTCCATCATCCAGATTCGTGAAAGGCATATCTGCAGACAGGTCCATATCATCTGACAAAGGAGGGGGCCATAACGGCGGACAAAATGGGTCTGCAGGAGACTGGCTATCGTCCATTAGTCTGGTCTTGTGCAAAGCAGGGACAAAATCCGAATTCCTATCCGACGAATTACACAATCTATGCGAATTCCAAGTAGGGGAGAGAGGCGATAGGAGCGGAAGGGCCAAGCTATCCGAGTAAACGGATGCCTCTGGCGGGTCGCTCTGCCTTTCATTGTCTTCAGATGGGCCTCCAGATGATTCCACAATATTCTCGTCCTCTTCATCCTCATACTCGAACGATGGATCATCGTCGTACTCAGGCAATGTGCAAAGTGTATGAGGCAAGGTTGGCGGTGGCGTTAGAGGTTTGTAGTTCGAAATGTCCTCGCGACGCATGGCCAATGGAGAATCAAGGACGGATGATGCCTGCGATGAGAAAATCGGGATAAAATCGTCGCTTTCTTCTGGTAATGGGACAGTGTATTTGGATGTAGAACTGGTGGACGGGGGTGATGGATACACGTTAGACAGATTGCGATAATGGGCGCAGGGCGATTCGTGAGATGCCTGGTGTACAAAAGACAAGTGGGACGAAGCACGTTGTGGAGGACGCTGGGCAGGGTATGGCGGATTGCATAAATCGATACCTGAATGGAGCCAGGGTGATGTGGAGATGGATTCGTGTGATGTCGAAGATGTGTTGACTTGAGAGGTGGAAAAAAGCGGAAAAGTGTGGGTTGGCCAGAAGGTATCCATAGCAGAGATCCCCATGTTGTTTGCTTTGTCCATTCGAATCTGCAAAGGCTGGTTGTGGATGAAAGAGAGCAGGTCAGGGTGGTTGAAAAAGCATGTTGGGCGAAGCGAGGAGACAAGGAGCGAAAAGGCTTACTATCGTCGGTCACATCAATATTAAAGCAAACATGACCCAAGTACAGAAGAAAAAGATGAATCTGGCTGGAGAACAAGGATGTTCTGTGGTTTTGGAGGCTGCGTTTGCCCAACCTTCTTGTAACCTCGTGTTGGCCCAAGTGGCTGAGATTCCTGCCAGCGTGGCGGCGCGCGTCTGATGGCCTGCACCCATCCTCGTTGCAGATCTAATCGCTTCTTTATCTCACATCATTATCATTCTTCGTAAAAGAACCCCGTTTGATATTACAACACTACTCTACATAATCCATATCATAATCATAAACACCCCAGCCCTGTCACACTGTAGTCCGTAGCCGGCACCTCTTTCGCTCAAAACAATGGAACCACCGTCCTTCAGAAAATCAGTCAGTTAGTAAAGCTCGATCATCAAGTTCTCCTGGCGGAGACGCGAAGCCATAGCGTCTCTTCACCCTCACCAGCATGTGGCTGCAGCTCCCGCTCCTGCACACCCCGGTGCTTCAGCGCATACGCCCTGCATGCCTCCCTGCTTCTTTCCAGCTCCGGATCATCGTAATTGAGCGCAAAGATCGTGAACCCGGGAAAGTTGTACTCCAAGAGTGCTTTCAGGTCGGGCAGTACCTTTGGATCAGGTGAATACGTCCCAGAGCTATTATCGATAACCAACTCCCATTTCACATGATGATCGGGTGTTTCATCCGTGAACTTCTCCCATCCTCCTTCCGGGCGAGGATGGAATTCGCCGCTATATCGCACCGTCTGTGCGCAGTTGCTGTGCAGTGCATGTTTAGACGCAAAGTCAACGAAGAATGCTGCTCCGGTCTCCGAAAACCGGAACGAGTCGTCTTCTGCGGAAATGATATAGGTGTATACAGCAGGCTTGACGCGGTGCGCAAAGAGATCGTGTCCTGTGCCCCCGGTACGTGTACCGCCGTGAAGCAAGTTATACACGTCATCAGCCGAACTGATCACACCAAATACATTGGAAGTACTCCGTGCATACAGCATGTGGTGCCCAGCTTGTATCGTGGTACGCACGGCTATCGACGCAGGACCCTGGAATATAGTCTGCGCAGCCTTGTAATTACAGTTCCAGTGTTGTACGCGGTCACTAAAGAATAGTGGGACGCCTTTTAAGTAAATCTTCCATGTCGAATATAGACGAGTGTCGTGGGTATTAGTGAGAAAGCCAACTGTAGGGGAATTATGGCGAGAATATCGTATAGGTCCGTCAAATATGTATGAATGTGACTTCGCGTCGTTGGGTGATGGCGAGGACTCAATCTGAAGATATGATGACGAGCTGTCAGTATGAATTTTCGGACGTCAAATAACCATCCCTCCAACCTTGAGCCAAAATGTTCCTCTCGTGCGCTTGAATAGGGGTCCTTCAATTTCAACCTCCTTAGTCCCTGGAGAAATAGTGGTATGGAACTTTCCAATGTAGTCGTCAACTGGCGCATTATCCTTGTCCAACACTTCCACTTGTAGATTGGCGTTGGTCGGGACGTTTCGGACCTTCCAGGTCTCATTCCATACTGGTGAAAGGGTGTTGCTCTGGACCGTCGATCTAAACTCAAGTCAGCCTCATTTTGCAGCACCGTAATTCCAACATCACTTGCACGATTGAAATCTTGTGATCGATCTTTGCGATAAAATATGGATCAGCGGAGCCTACCACGTCCATCTTTGGGAGACCAGAAGCACCTATAAACTAGAGCAGAATGTCTACAGTCAGCGCGGTAGCATGATATAAATGCGATACATACCTTGATCACAACATCAACATACTTTGTCTCGATTTCGACTCCAGTTTCTTCAGACACAGATTTAGCAGCGGATTCAGCAACATTGCGTACACCGTCCTTGGCCTTCTGAGCAGCCTCGTGGACTTTCTCGAGTACCATTGCTATTTGAAGTGGGTTTTTGCGCGCAGGCATTGACAGTAAGCTAGGTGTTGCCCATTGACATAGCCGCAATGGTCTTTAAGTATCAGCAAGAAGGCACCCAAGCCTTTTCGATAAGCTGCGCAAGCATATAAACCAGGTTCCAGGGTTAGGGGCAGTGACGTAGAATCGGACTATGCCGGATACGCTCTCATCAAATTCACTGTAGAGCTTCAAGTTGGCAATGGCTCAAAATGCCATTAGGCTCATAGAATTTTCGGTAAAACGACGGTGTCATGGTGAGGTATGCAGCCTCTGATCCAGCAACATTGCACTGATAGGCCAGGATAATGATTTGTCCGAGTCCATCAAGAAACCGGCGACAAGATTGTAGTCTCAAATGAAGCCTCATTACCACAGAAGGTGGGTGTCATCTGTTGTAACGGGCGAACGACTTTTGTCTCATATTTATCTCTGTCCAGCCTTCGACCATAACCTGGAAAGTAGAAAGTCATGATATTGGTATTTTGATTGCTAGGTATCGTGTTACGATCTAACATTCGCCTAGACGCAAGTGGTATCTATCGTGATACAGACCAGGTTCCATTTGCTGGTGCATGTTTAGTTGTCGTTGATGGTAGAGAATCCAACATCTACCCAAGCTCTCATCCTGTCTCCATAACGAATCGTCATCCAAAGAAGACTACAGCAAACCGAGTAAACCCCAAAGTCAAAACAATGACGCTTGTGACGAGAAAGCCACATGGATGCTTACCCGAAAGCAACCCATGCCAGGACTGCAGCGATGGTATTCGTAGCCACTAAACCAATAAGGTCGATAGACGGTAATACCGCCGCAACCGCAAGCGCCGTGATGAGGGACCGGAAAGCACTGCAAGTCAAATCGTTGGTGTCACGAATCATTAATTATGAATAATGAACTGCGGGAGTTCCGACGGACCTATTCGCAGCTTGTATTTCAGCACTGCGGGAATGCAAAATATCGACTGAATAAGCGGCGCATGGTGTTAGAACAAAGTCAACCTATATGACATGCAAGGGTTAGTAGAGATATAAAAGACTACAAATTGTTTCAGTCTGCCATACCCCCAATCCGTTCATGAAGAGACAGATCATGTTGAGCGTGAGCCCAATGGGTCCCCCTATGTACGTGGTGATAAGACCAGAAAATAAAACGGAGAGCGGAGCCAAATAGAGCGCGCCCACCCAAGCCGCTCGGAGTCGATCCTCGGGTACCCATTCACCCTTGCGGCGTACTTTCCACGCTTTTACAATTTTATCAGAAAGGCGTCCAGTCAACGGAGCACCAACTGACGTCCCGTCAGACATTGCTTTTGAGGGTTAAGAGCAAAGGAGAGGGAACAAACTCAAATTTCCCAGACCACAAGGGAGGAAACAGGCACCAATCAGAGCTTGATTTTCGATATGGTAGCGTGCGCCCTTTGGAAAAGTTAGCTCACAGAGACTATGGATATTTAGTTACTCACAATTGTATATGCCAAGGGGACGAGCAGAACTAAACTCAGAGTTAACGTGCACCGTAATCCATGAAAGAGTTCACATACAGTAATCTGACACTAAAATCAAACCGCCGGCTATAGACTAGGAATCAAATCAATTCATGCTTTAATAACGAGATACAAAGAAAGGGCGCACAGTGGTCAGTACATTTGGGCTGCGCAACAACCACAAGCTATCGAATGGATTCACGAGCTTGAATCGCCTCCTCTCAGTTTCTGGGACCTTGTCCTTCCCTCTAGTACCAGGATGAGTAGTTTCTGGGAGAAAAAGGAACACCAAAACGATTGCGATCAAGCCCCAACCTCCCAGTATGAGCTGCATGATCCGCCACGATGCATATTCAGCAGCGGTACCTAACGCATATGTAAGATTACCTGCACAAGTTGACTTCAACACGAGAAAATTCGTACATACCTCCAGCGAGAGGTGCCAAAGCAGGTCCGAGGAGGCAGGCCTATAGATTGATTGACATCTTAGTAGGCCACCACACTGGAAAAATCATACTTAAATAAACGGGTAGTGTAACGTACCCCGAAAAATATGCCCATCGCGGTCCCGCGCTCTTCCAGCTTATATATATCACCAATGACACCAGATCCCACAGACAGACCACCCGAAGAACCAAAAGCCTGCAGGACACGCCAAAAGAGAAGACTTTGTAATGTCGATGACGCTGCTACTCCGACACTCCCAATGCATAGTATAGGCAATCCATATAAATATACAGGTCGACGACCATCTGTTAAAAGGTGAGAACACGAATATTAATATTTAAAGTTTTTGGGGACTCACAGAATGTAGAGTTGGAAGCCCAGAACAAGCTACCAATGGCGAAGGAAAATATAGATAGACTTACTGCCAGACTGAATACACGAAATGAGGGGGTTAGGAAGTCAATCCAAGGCACCCCGTCTCGTATTACGATAACCTTAGAGAGGTAGCGTACTTACCTGACTATGGCACCAGTTGAATTCAAGTCGCGAGCAATTTGAGGAATAGATGGAATAAATGACCCAGCTACGAACACTATGAACCAAGGGTTTTGTAGCTTTAAAGTTGAAACGGAAGCATCTGGTATATGTTCTTACTTGGTAGCAGACCAGCCGAGGACACGATGAAGAGGATCGTTCTTTTTTGGGATTGGTTGAAACGACTGTACAGCGCCAGATGTGCAACGCGCCTTTCATCTCGCTCCTGATCCTCCGAATGCAGGAGAGGACTCTCTTCTGAAGACATGATAACAATAGCTGGTCAGAGAGCTTGAGATAATCTATTGCCTAGGCTCGAACCAGCTGATACACGTGGCAACATACAGTGATCGTTTGGTTACGGTTCGATTTTGGAGGCAAGCCGGAGTCTGGCATTATCTTTTGAAAACCCCGTAAATTTACATTCCTATTACAGCTAATTGCAGATCATTAGACATCCCGGCGTGAAAAACGCGCACTCGGAGTTAAAGCGGCCTGAGCGGGAAGTAAATTCTTTTAGGCTCGTAAGACTAATATCAGAGTCTGCCCACCACAGGAAGCCACGAGGCGCCACAGCTATGTCAACCAGACTTAAGATACAGTCTCCTGATCTTTTGGGGATTTCTATTTTTCAAGTCCGCCTGTATGCAATTTCTATGCGATGTCTAACATTCTGCAATTAGCTGTAACCAAAATTCAATCAGAGTTTGATCAGAGCTTGTGAGTTTGCAATTTTTGGGATTGAGCAAATGTGTGCTTCACTATAGCAGTTTATTGCATGGGCATCATGTTGGAGTTATCTATAACGAAGGGGACGGTGGTCTCAAAAGTTGCGTGCGGCACACATGGGAGCACATTTTTTCGCTTAGTTTTGCTCGCCTGGTTTTCGGTTAGCAGTAGAGTAGGTAGAGTGCAGTAGTAACGAGTGCAGTGAAAATTGTAGCCACATTGAAAATTCTCACGCTTATAAGGACAGACAACACAAATTCACTGACTTCTGACTTAGTAAAATTTGATCACTTAACTGTATTATCATTACTCAAAAGATAATGTAGAGCGGCTCAGTCAAGAGCAGCGGAATGCTTTTGATACCATCATACAGTCAATTCATCATAATTGGAGAACAACTTGCTTGATTCACAGTGCTGGAGGTAGGGGAAAAACATATCTCTGTAATACAATCGCAGCTGCCATTTGAGCAAGAGATAGTCATAATGTTGCTCTATATATAGCATCCTCTGAGATTGCATCCCTGCTCTTGGAGGGTGGCCGCACAGCTCATTCACACTTTGGAATCCCTATTCCTGTACATGAAACATCGACATGCAGGATTCCAAAAAACTCTGACCTCTATTGAGACATACCGGAGTTATTCTCTGGGATGAAGCACTGATGCAACACCGTCATGGAATTGAAGCATTGGATTGTACATTGCGGGACATTTTGGATAATCAGCTTCCATTTGGAGGCATTACAATGGTCGTTGGAGGGGACTTCTGCCAAACACCACCTGTTGTTCCAAGAGGGTTAAGGCGATATATTAGTTCTGCCTCTCTTAGAAGGTCATGACTGTGGACAAATATTCATGTCTGCTATCTCACACAGAACATGTGCCTGGACCGTACTCCAGAAAGTGAAGCATTTGCTAGCTGGCTCCTGGATGTTGGTAGTGGGCATGGAATTGCAGGAGATGGAACTATTGAGCTCCTGTTATGCACAAAGTGCTTAACAAAGTCTGAGGGTTTGTCGAGGTTTCTAGGAGACTTATCCGAAGACAAGTTTTGAGAATGTAGTTCTGAGTAGAGTTCTTCCAATGAAAGTTGGTTTTCTTCTGAGTAGAAGTCTGATCTTAGGAGTCTAGCTTTGTAAACGTAAACTGCGTAGAATCATATTGAAGAAATACTACTACTGTTACAAAGGTATTTATAGGAAATAAGATCGGTGATAGGAGTTAGGTCCTATCTAGGGGAGGCTTGCCTGTTGAGGGCTAACTACTATACTAGGTAATGTAGTTTGCGAAGAAAACGGAAATGTACGTGAAGGAAATGAGTCATCAGTCCGATGGTATAACCAATGAGTAAAGAGAAATGAGTAGTCCATAAAAGGAGTAGAAATCGTAACATTACCTCCTTACTTGCTTCAAGTTTCACCAAAATTTGGTGCCTTCACCATCCATGTTGTAACTATTGTCATAGCTGACGTCTCCATGTAATCCCTCCATTAGAACCCTATCTTTGTTTTCCATACAAATAGGACACCTATTGAAACTATGTCCTGGTGTGCGGCGGTCACAATCGGGGCAGTAATAGGCTTCACAGTAGTATGTGCGATGATCACTCCAACCGCAGTGTTGGCAGTAGGGAGCGTTATTGCGAACACCTTGGTGGTACTTTTGTCTGGTGTTAGACGAAGTGTCGGATTGGGGAGTGGGGGGATTGTCATCTCCCAGGTTGTATGTTCCTGCATACAACTGGTTGATCATATCGGTGTCATCTACATTGATTGGGTTGGAAGGAGAACCAGGCTTAGGCCTGTGCATTGTGCCAGGCGGACTGTCTTTCTGACTCTCTGACATACGAGACTGCTGTTTCGATGGAGTTCTCGCGGTGGGGATCTGGAGTATCACTTCTTTCCGGCCGTGTCGGGCTCCTCGTCGGTTTGTCAGATGACGACGGGTTAGGCCGTTTGACACTGGTCAAGGTGGAGGTGACTGGGATGTTGGTGGTTTTGGGTTCGACCCAATGGAACGGGGACTGGAGGGGCTCGACCCTTGCAAGATTGGGCTGGTTGGGACGGTGGGAATGTATTCTTCCGCTGACGGGGTGGACGGAGGTTGTCGAGTGACAATGTGTTAAGTGAGCTCCGGGGTAGCACTGGTCTGCTCGGGGTATGATAGGGACTGGCGGGACAAACCGGGTGGAGGAGTACTCAAACAACCGTCTCACTCTATCCGCATGCGCGCTTCTGTTAGCAAGGTCCTCCCGCCTAATTCCAAATATGCCTTTGCCGTGTCCGTCTGCCCACTCGAGGAGCTCATCCTCAAGCGTCGTTCCAAAGATTCTAAAACTAATTTTTCCATCCGGAGTGCCCGACAGATACTCGAGTCCTGATTGTTGAGCCGCGAATGCTCGCTTTCCAACGAATGTAGTGAGTCTATGGCTTTTAATAGTTCATCAGCTACGAGGTCAATGGCAAGGAAGGTATGCATGGAGGAAAGAGCGTGGTACGCGTGGGGGTAGCATTTTTCTGTTTTGTAGAATAAATAAACGTAGGTGTTTTTGGCTGATATTAGTTCTATGGCGTCAGAGACGTTGGCTTGGTTGTGTTGTTGCCCACGGGCGAAGGACACTCGGTTGTCGGCTAGCATGTTGGCTTCACTGGGTACAAAATAGGTGGTGACAGGGAAGCCAGTAGAGTTGGAGGTAGACATGTTTGTGTTGAGAGACAGAGGATTGGTGGTGGTGGGGTGAATATCTCTTCAATGTAGTCTGTGGTCCTTCTTATACGCTTCCAGTATCTCCACAGCATTGGTTAAATGTTCTTTCGGCTCCCATGAGTTTTCGGAATGAGGGTAATAGTGCCATTTGATCAGGTAGCGGCGCCCGCGTTTCCAGGGTTTGTGTCTAAGAATACTTTCTACTTTGTATTCTTCTTCTTCATTGACAAGGTCAGGTGGTGGTCGGATAAAATTTGGGCCGTGAGTGTCGGTCTCTGCATACAGGGTGAGAAGGGATGTGTGGAAAATGTTGTGTATCCTCCAATGGGGAGGTAGGGATAATCGGTAATTCACCGGGGAAATCTTTTCTTGGATGCGGAAAGGTCCGATGCATTTCATGTTAAACTTCTTGTATTTGGTAGCTTTTTCCCATAGGTTGGTGTTCTCTAACCACACCTTTTGCCCTTTGGAGAATTGCGTGAACTTTCCGTTGTTTCGCTTCATCAATCTTACTTCTCGCGAGTTCGTGTGCTTTTAGGGCGTTTTCCCTTGCCCTAAGCAATTCGGATAAACATTTTTCCACTGATGGGATATTTGTGGATCTGTGTTTAGTTGGGATTCCTCAGGGTTCGTATCCCATGATGAGGTAGAATGGTGATTGGTTGTTTGTGGAGTGTGGTTGTTGGTTGTGGCAGAATTCTGCCGTTGTGAGGTACTTTTCCCAGCTGTGCGGTTGGTTCTGGCAAAAGATGTGGAGGTAGATCTCCAGTTCTTGATTGGATCGTTCTGTCTGTCCATCCGTTGTCGATGATAAGTACTGTTGTTAGAAAACCACACACAAAAACAAACAAACACACAATCCTCCCAGATTCCACGGAACTTGTTTATGGGCTTTGCCTCCTAGAACAGTGGGTGCTCTGGTTGTTCGTGGGGTGGTATATATGAGGATCCTTCAAAGTAAAACCCAGTGATGTATGAGTGTGGGTTTTGAGGAGGAGGGATAGTTGAATTGATAGAAGATAGGGGCTTAGTGACGAGTATAGATGAGCACTACCTTGCTAATCGTAGCACAAGGTAGGTTTGAGAACGACGAGGATGACGAGGTGACGAGGTTCCCAGTGATAGCAGGCTCCTGACGCACAAACTGTAGTGCTCAGAAGGACTCTAATTGAAGGGGATGACAATCACTTTCAAAAAGTGACGAGTGACGATGACAGCAGTTGACAGTGGTAGCAGTGGGAAGTGTTGTGACCACACTGGATCACAAGCAGCAGAGTAGTGAACTTGAATTTAGAGAAGAAGTCTGGAATGGAGTTCTTGTTCTCTTTTACAAGGTAAAATACAGGGGTTTATATAGTAAAAGAAAAGTAGGCTATGCACAGTATAGCTGTGCAAAAAAGAATGAGAAAGAATATGAAGGAAGGAATGTACGCTGACAAATCCTGCGTAGGTAGTACAGGATAAGATTGTCAAAAGAGGAAAAGAAAGAGATAGAACAATGAATGCTGTGAGTAATGTCACAGGTTTGTACAGCCATAAAGTAAAGTCCAATAGCAAAAAGAGAGCAGGAAAATCATGATGTCATGGGAAGATGCAGTAAAAAAAGGGCAAGGCAAAACACTATCAGTATCAACACAGTTCCTTTATTGTCAGTCAGGCATTCTAAAAAAATATGTGTCCATAAAAATGATTCAAAAATCAAAAATAATCGCACTGTAAATGAATGTTCTGCTGAAGAAAAAGAAACTGGAGCCACCGGTCCACCACCTAGTCCAAATCCGACAGTTCCATGGCCTTACCAATGGACTGGTTGTGTTGGACCACCTGATCAAACGAGGGAGGGAGAGGAGTAGTTCCAATTTGGAACAAGTGAGTCCCAGGCAGCGTGTGATAGGTGTAGCTGTAGCGAAGACGATGGACAAAAGATAAGTGTACCCAAGTGAATGGGACAGCGATGAACATGGGCAACGCAAGGGGATGAACCTTCTCCAGCTCAAAAATTACCCACCCACACTCCAACCAGGCAAGACGAGCGACCAATGTTTTGATAGTATATGATGGCAGATCAACGTCATGAAGATGGACCTGTTGCCCTATTTGGACTGGCCGCTGGGGCTTTGCTGATATCAGCAGTGGCACGTGGTAGTCAACAGATTGGCGACAGAAGCGGATAGGAAGTGGTGACATCAGAAATGGTGGGGGTGCAAATAAGATGAGGAGGAGGAGGGTGGAGGTGACGAAAAAGTGGATTAGAATGGGGATCCAGAAACAACCGTCAGGTGAGAATAAAAAGGAGAGGAAGGGGCCCATGGTGGGGCTAGGCAAAGGAAGGGGAGTAAGGGAAACGACAAAAGCGAGGGCGCAATGCAATGTGTAGCCAGTGGCGATGCAAAAATTTGCCGAAATGCCGAAATGCGGAAAGTACTGAATGGAAAAGCAAAGGTGAGCGTGACTGGATTGCCTAATAGAGGTGGTGCTGATCAGCCACAAGTTCGAAAAGGGTAATATTAATTACTATTCCACGTGGCACTGTGCCTGTGTGGCGCAAAGGCGAGTCTTTTTGAATATTCGCTTCGTTATTGACACCTGTCCATGCTACCAATCAACTTTGGTGCATGACACCGTCTGGGGATGATACACAGAGGAGAGTTCAGGAGTTTGTATTAAGAACAAAGCTTGAAGGAAGTGTCTAGCCACTTGCTGAGAGCAATCAGGGACTGGAACTAGAGTCCAATGTGAGTAACTATATTATTAGAGAGTATGACAGGTATACAGTACCTAGAGTCCAATGTGAGTAACTAGAGAATAGGAAGCATTGGACTCTGCAATACTGTCCGAAGTTTTGTAAACAAAGGTAAACAAAGCAGCCACAAAGGCGAAATAATAGAGAACACAATCAATAGTGAATGATAGAAGAATAGATAGAGAAAGGAATGAAAATATATAGGTAGCACAAAGGTGCAGAATCACCAAAACTAACAGTTTGTGGAGTTCTTTGTATACTTCAGAGGCAAACTGTGGTCCTCTGTCGGATATGAGTTTATTGTGCAATCCGAATCGTTTGAAGATGGAATCGTGAAAGATTCGTGCAGTTTTGAGCGCGTTGATGGTTTTATGACAAGGTGAGAGGATTACCCCCTTACTAAGTCCTTGGTCTACCACGACCATTATACTGTCGTATCCTGAAGATTCTGGTAAATCTGTTATGAAGTCTACGGATAGGTACTTCATTGGTTCTGTGGTTTTGGGGGTCTGGTTTGGGATTAATGGTATGGTGGTGGGATGCGTGTTTACTTTTGCTTGTTGACAAGTTGCGCATCCTTTCACGTAGTCTTCCACTTGTTTCATCATTCCTGGCCACCAATAGGCCTTTTTGATCAACCGGTAGGTTTTGAGCCTTCCTGGGTGTCCTGCGGACAGGGAATTGTGGTGATCCTTGATGATCGTCTTTTGTTCTTCTACTTCGTCAATTAGTAATTTATTCTGATAAAAGAACTGTCCTTCTTCCTTTCTCCAATCGTCTTTGTTCTTCCTGGATAATTATTGTTTGTGAGCATAGCTTGCTCGATTGTGTCTTTGATTGTTTGTGTGTGATACAGGAATGCCAAGGTGGGTATCATTGGTGTGTCATTGTCATCTTCTTTGTTTTTAACGTATAAATCAGGTCTTCTTGAGAGTACATCGGGTACCACCATGTGGGTTCCTGGTACGTGCTCCAAGGTGTGATTGTATTGTGACAGTTCCAGCTGCCATCTTCTCTGTTGTGGTGTGAGTTTTCTGGCTTCTTGCCAGTACGTCAGGTTCTTGTGATCTGTTAGGATTTGGATCGTGTGGGGGCTTCCCAAAAGTAAGTGTTTCCACTCTTTTAAAGCTCTCATTACCGCTAATAATTCTTTGTCATAGATCTGGTAGTTCTTTTCACCGTGAGATAGAGTTTTGGAGAAAAATGCACATGGGTGCCATTGTCCTTGGTCATCGGGTTGCATTAATACTGCTCCTGTGACGTGTTTGCTGGCATCTGCAGCGATCTTTGACAGTTTTGAGGAGTTGGGAATTTGTGTTACGGGGGATTCGAGGAATTTTTGTTTCATCAATTTGAAGGCATCGTCTTCTGTTTTGGTCCAGTTCCACTTCCTATCCTTTTCTAGTAAGGCATTCAAGGGTCTGGCAAGGTCAGAGTAATGACTGATAAACTTCCTGTAGAAGTTTCCGTAACCTAAGAACTTCCTTACGCCTTTGGTGTCCTTTGGGATTGGCCAATCGTGGATCCCAGCGAGTTTGGCTGGGTCCATGGATACCTGGTTGTGGGAAATGATCATTCCCAAGTATTCAATAGTTTCTGCCTCAAAGGTGCATTTTTCCAGTTTGAGGAACAGGTCGTTATCGCGTAGTCTTTATAGAACTTGCTTCGTCCGGATCCGCAGCCTTTCGGTATTGGTGTTGAAGATGAGGATGTTGTCCATGTATATGATCATCCACCCTTCGTCAATATAATCCTTGAATTTGTTGTTCATCAGTCTTTGGAATGTTGCTGGTGAGTTGTACATGCTGAAAAACATGACTGTTGGTTCGAATACTCCTTTGCTGGTTTTAAACGCAGTTTTCCATTCGTCCCCTTCCTTTATTCTTACGTTGTTGTACAGTTGGGGACAGACAAACTCGACAAAACAACTCATTGAATTATCACTCATTAGCACAACATTCTAGTCAACCAAAATGTGTGAAAATAGTGTATTTAGGACCTAATGATAAGATCTGCACAAGCCAATTCTGACCTAGATAAATATTCGAAATCCTAATCCAAAATATTTGGCCACTCCCAAAACAATTCCCAAAAATCCCAAGAAAATCAGAATATGCATGAACCGGTAATCACAGTTTGATTGTGCTGTCAGAAATTTTCAAATTGTGCTAGTACACAAGCAGTGAAATGAGAAAATTTTGTCTTGAATCCAAGGTGTGACTAACCATTCTGAGCAAGAATGCCTCACAGACACCCCCCAAAGCGACCTGCAATACAAAACACCATAGGCCTATGCAATCGGCCTAATACCAGCTTCAGAACAGCCCAAACACAGTCAATTTCCGAGTCTGAGTCCAATCACAGTACCAATGAGCAACCAGCCAAACGAGCAAGAGCACAATCTCGTGCACTGAGCCCAGAAATAGCTGGGGCGCAAGATCTTTTGTTGAGCCCAGAAACGGATGGCAGCTGGCACCTGTATCCCGCTTTTGACAGCATGAAGTTTGTTGCAAGTAGGGACCAGTCAGACGAGGAATCTGATGCAGAAATCATCATTGACAACGAACCTTTTACACCCGCTGATGACAACAAAGCCTGCACCCAGCTCATTGATTTTGCAATCAGTATTGGTGATGATCCCTCTGATGAGGCTTGGTTGCCTCCAAGGGAAGCCTGATGTGCCGCACTGTGGAAGAACTCCTCTGGTCAGCCCAAAAAATACAAAAAAGGTCCTGATGTGGGCAGCAAGTCAGCACGCACCCAACGCCGATACAGACAACTCCTAATCAACCAAACATCACTCACCAGCCTCGGTTTCACCCGTTCACAGAGGAACATTGTTAATACCATATCAAGCCCCACCAGCAGTCCCCTTATGTCCAGGTCCCCCGAGCGTTCTCCAACTCCCAGTCCAGGGCCTCATGCTTCCTCCTGGGCCCCATGTTCTCCCCATCCGAGCCCTCAAAATCTTGAATTCAGCCTGACCACAAGAAACAATGCTGCTCCTGACCTGCAGGACATGGCAGCGTGCAATGACAATTCTTCAGATGTCAGAAGTGATCCCAATGGAGGGATGGCCATTCTTGGACTGGATAGGGAAGTTGAGACAGCCTGGGAGGACGGACTTGAAGGATATGGAGTCAAGGTTAGAGGGTGGACCGAGCTGAGAGAGCAGATCAAACATGATCTCTCGAAGAAAGCAAAAACATTACCCTTGTCACATGCCAACCAGCTTTTGTTGATCCAAAATTTTGCTACACTTCATCTGAAGGGACTTGGCCGAATTGATGCAAGCTTGGAGATTGCACGACAGTGGCATGAAGGTCAAGGTACTCATTTTGCACGGAAGGTTTGTGCACTCGCACGCTATTATCAAGTATTTGAACAGCTTCCCATCAAAAAGTGTGGAGGGAGAGCAAATGCCCTCAGCCTCCTCAAAGATGAACGACTTCAACTTGCTGCTCAACAATGGCTCAATTCACAGAAAGTGGGTCAAATCACCCCACATTGCTTTCAGCATGCTCTCAATGATACAATCCTTCCATCACTAAATATTACGCTTGCTAAGCCATTGTGTGAACGAACTGCCCAGCGATGGTTGCTCAAATTGGGGTGGCAACTGACAAGATTGTGGAAGGGTGTTTACATGGATGGACATGAACGTAAGGACGTGAAGAAATATTAACAAGAGGTTTTCTTACCTGCTATGGCTGCATTTGAGTCTCGTATGGTGCATTTCGAAGGCCCAGAGCTGTGTCGGGTAGAACCCAACCTGCTACCTGGGGAGGAGGAGGTGATTGCCAACTGGCACGACAAGTGTTGCTTCCATGGAAATGACTTCAAAAGCCATGCTTAGTGAGTATTGACTTCTATGTGCCGACTACATTTTGAGATTGTGCTTGATTGATGATGAACATGTCTAGTCTGTTACTGGGCCAACAAATGCTGCAGCGGAAGGGAAAGGGCCACATCATTCATGTATCAGGATTTATCAATTCAAAGGATGGACGTCTGGTGCTCCATAATGACAATAGTGTTAGAATATACTCTGACATACCAATACTCTATAGGATAATACCTCTGATTTGTAAGCCAGCCCAGTATGCAGCAGCTATTCTGTGTAAGACGTCCGTGGTTGCATGTCATGTTTAAGATCCTACATTGTATAACCTTGGCCATATAGCTCAATTGATAGAGCAGCTGGCATGTATCCAGAAGGTTCCAGGTTCAATCCCTGGTCTGGTCAATATCCAATTTTATCAAATAGTGACATTGTTGAAGAAGCCAGAGAAATTATATATCCAGGTGCCAATGGTGATGCTTGGTGGGATACCGAACAGTTGTTCAAGCAGGTCAAGCGAGCAATTCAGATTTTCGAGACCATGCGCCCTGGTTGTGTCTCTTTGTTCATTTTTGATCAGTCTTCTGCTCATGCATCATTGCCACCAGATGCATTGAAAGCTTTTGAGATGAATAAATCAAATGGTGGCAAGCAGCGGGACACTGTTATCCCAGAATCAAATTCCACTGTCGAGCATCGCGGGAAGGTCAACCTGTAACAACCAAGGTAAACTCTGGCGCACACAGGAACACACTATAAAGAATATGAAGAGGGAGTGGTTACCCCTTAAGATGCAGTGAGTTAGTTGGTATACAACAGGAGGACTCGCTAAGTCCTTCCCTCATGTATTGCTCTTGTATATATACTAAAATACATGAGGTACTGTACAGTTGTAAATAAAGTTCAAAGTCCGATGTCTAGCATGTGACCGGTCACATGATGAGTCTAGACACTGGTCAGGTGATGTGTCACATGACTGGTCATGTGACTATGAAAAGTCGAAAATGTAAAGTAAAGTAAATGATCACATGACTGGTCATGTGACTTGGAAAATAAAAGTAGAAGTACATAAGTGAAGCATAAGTAGATGCTGGTATGTCAATTGTAACACAACCCAAAGGACTTCAACATGTCCTTGAGGAGTGTGGATTCAATGTTCAAAAGCTGCGAGCAAAGTGCAGCCCTGTATGTGTAACAACCAAGAGTTAGTTACTCTGGCACACACAAGAACACACTATAAAGGTAGTGATGAGTGATGAGGGAGTGGTTACCCTTTAAGCTGCAGAGAGTTTGTTGGTATACAACAGGAGGACTCGCTGAGGAGTCTCCTGAATCTATTGGGGTATATATACTAATACAGAGTGTTTGTACTTATGTACTGTACAGTTGGTAAAGTCAGTGGCTGATGATGTCATGGGGCCTAGCCCGCATGACCAGCTCCACTGTGTGAGAGAGTTGTATCTAAAAAGAAGAAGAAGGCAACGCAGCGCGAGAAAGAGGAGTTTTGAACAAAAGGGGAAGTGCCGCATGGCACCATGTGTGAAAGTTAAAGTATACAAGGTTAAAGCGGAGAATGAAAATGAAGGAAAGGTCCGAAAATTGTGTTATCGTAACAGTATGCCCATGGGAAAATGAAGATTGCTGCATGGCTCGCCTCTTGAGCAAGCAAGATGATTTCATTAACCAACCATCAATGCTCGAGACTCTCATCAAGGGGGCAGGGCATGAATGCATCTTTCTTCTGAAGTTCCATTGTGAACTCAACCCAATTGAAATGGTTTTGTTGCAAATTTCCATTTTAAGTGATCAGCACTAACTAACAAGTTTTATTACAGTATTGGGGGTGATGCAAATATCGGTATCGCGAAGTTCAGAAGAAGACATTTGCAGAAGCAAAACAGTCTGCACAGGATCAGCTGGATGCATGTGCAACTGATGTCATTCGTTGTTTTGTCAACCGTTCCTGGTGCTTTATGGCTGCATACAGACTGGGACTTACTGGGAGGGCTGCAGAATGGGCAGTTAAGAAGCAGAAGCAACACCGACAGGTATCGCAGAGGGCTATGATGTTGATTGAAGTGGTCCTCAACTAGGCTGTTGTACCTATATTTGTCATTCTATCGGTCAAAAAATTGGCCACTCCAAAACCTCGTGGGAAAGTCTTCTTAGGACTGTTTTTTGGCCTATTTTCACCCCCTGAGTTCAGATCCGGTGTCAGTTTGCGAACGAAAATTCACTGGCACTCTGTACCAAAATTGTCGAGTTTGCCTGTCCACAACTGTAGCCCCAACGTAGATCTATTTTTGTAAAAATGGTGGCTCCTTTGGGTTTTTTGATGAGATCGGGTATTAGGGGTAGTGGATAAGGGTCTTTCACAGTGTATGTGTTTAGTTTCTTGTAGTCTTGGCATGGTCGGAGTGATCCATCTTTTTTGCTGATAAAGAAGAAGGGGGATACTTGTGGCGACTTGCTTGGCCTGATGTATCCTTTTCTGTAATTCTCCGTTAAGAAATCTGTTAACGCTTTGTCTTCCTTGGGTGCTAGTGGGTATAATTTGCAATCTGTTGGTACAAATTCCGGTTTCATGTTGAGCAAATGATCATATTCCCGTCGTTTGGGGAGTCTTTCTGACTTCTTCTTGTTGAAGACATCTGAATATTCCTTGTATTCATTTGGGAGGGTATGCTCCTTTTTCTCTCCGTGAATCTGCGCATGTTCCATAGCCGAGTTGGCCTTTAATCTGATTGTGGTTCGGGGGTAGGGTGTTTGGTCGGATACATATCTATAAATGGCTCTGTATTCGTCTTCCTCTATCATGGTTGTCCTGATCCTTGTTTCCGTTGTGGTTTTGTTGATCCTGATTGAGCGTTTGTCCGAGTTTGGTAATTCTTTGTCTTTCCAATTTATGACTGGATTAACCTTTTGTAGCCAGGGAAATCCTAGCAGTACATCTTCTCCGTCTAGTCCAGTTAATAGGAACTTTGTGAACCTATTTTGTTCTTTTGCATTCACCCTTTGATAGGTAAAATGTGTAATCTTTCCATTTTTGTTTGTGGTTCCATCAACATTTTTACACGTTATAGGGTTCATGAGTTTTTGGAGGGGGAATCTGTGTCTGATGGCAAATTTTGTGTCCATGAAGTCGTCTGTAGCTCCTGAATCTATCAGGGCTTTGGTTCTGATGGTTTTCTGTTTTAACAAGCAATCAATTCATAAAGAGTTGGCATTGATCGTTGCTATTGTTACAGTTGCCATTTTTGACGGTACTAACATCAGGGTAGTCCGTCGTTTCAAAAACCCTCGTCTTCTAATTCTTTCATCGCCTCTTTTCTTTGATCTTCTCCTAACTCCGTCCACATCCTCATGATGTTTTGGACCCTGTCTTCTTCTACCACTGTTTTGGTGTCATCTTCCGTTTTGGTTTGATGTACCTTTCTTTCAGGAGTTTTTCCTTTGTTCCTACAATTCCTTCCTATGTGTCCTTTCTCATTGCATATGAAGCACCTTCCCTCTTTCCTCCTTGATTCCTCTTCATCTTTAGTCAATCTTCTAGCTCTGGTGGTTGGTCCACCTTTGTGGTTTCTGTTGTTCTGTCTTTCTTTGTTTCTGGCGCCCCATGCTCCTTCCGAGATAGTGTTGGCACTAATCCAGTTGGTGTCTAGGTTCGCCACTGTGCTCATCCAGTCTTCAATGGTGAGTAGTTCCTTCCGGTGAGTGCCCCGCAAAGGAGGGGTGGTCGGATAGCCTTTTGATAAATCATGATCATGGCTTCGTTGTTGATGCCACTCTTCCTAGCATTTAGCATGAATCTTGAGTTAAATGCTACTGCATTTTCTCCTTGTTCCATCTTCATTTTCATCAAGGCGGCCGAGGCCGTTCCTTTGACATTGGCCATTCTGAAACTGGCTGTGAAGGTTTTCATGAAGTCTGCCCACGTGGGGTAGGTGTTCTTCTCTTTGTATATGGTCATCTTGGCTTTGCTCCATGAGGCGGCGTTGCCATCCTTCATGTAGCTGAGGGCTATGTATACCTTTTTTTTGTCGGAGTTGTAGATGGTGTTGTTGATATCAAAGTGTAGATTGGTGGACAATATCCACCTTTGGGCTTTATCCGGGGTTCCATTGAAGTCATCAATTTTCCCAATCATCGTGGGTTTAGAAGCTGTAGCATTAGACATGGTGCGTGGTGGTGGGATAGGGGATGGAGCAGGTGCGACGGGGAGTATCTGTGGTATGGGAGGTGGTATTGGGTCACTGTTTGCTGCATATTCTTCAAAGTTGTTCTCATCATAGATGTTTTCTATGACTATTGGGGGATCGTGTTGTGTTGTGGGTATTAGCTGTGGGTGGCTTTCTGCGTAGTACTGTAACCAACGTGTTCTGGCTTCGTAGAAAGTGTCTGCTTGTTCTCTGGTGTGGAGTCGGGTTACGTCTGGTTGGGGAAAGGGGGGTGGTGCTGCTATCCTTTCTTGTCGGGATGACGTCGGTGGGGTTGCTGTTTGTGGGTTGTCTGAGCTTCCTCTTGCTCTCTGGGATCTGGTTGTTGGTCATTGTGACGTCTTGTCGACTTTTTCTTCCCAAACATAAATAGGTGGGACTTCTGGTTAGAATACAATTCTTTTGTTACGCACAAAGTGCTTAACAAAGTCTGAGGGTTCATTGAGGTTTCTAAGAGACTTATCCGAAGACACGTTTGAGAATGTAGTTCTGAGTAGAGTTCTTCCAATGAGAGCTGGTCTTCTTCTGAGTAGAAGTCTGATTTTAGGAGTCTAGCTTTGTAAGCGTAAACTGCGTAGAATTGTATTGAAGAAATACTACTACTGTTACAAAGGTATTTATAGAAAATAAGATCAGTGATAGGAGTTAGGTCCTATCTAGGGGAGGCTTGCCTGTTGAGGGCTAACTACTATACTAGGTAATGTAGTTTGCGAAGAAAACGGAAATGTACGTGAAGGAAATGAGTCATCAGTCCGATGGTATAACCAATGAGTAAAGAGAAATGAATAGTCCATAACATTTGTCCAATAGAAATCGTAACAGTGATGAACTGGATAGGAGCCGATGTCTCTGCTTCAGTCCAAATGGCATTGTTGTCACTACTATCTTGGGCACCTGCACCATTGTCTTCTTCAATGTCCAATGCAACCTCAGTAGATACATCCTGAGCAGGCTGGAGGTCTTGATTCATCCTGGTAGAATGTCACAGTCATTTTGGTGAAGAAACTGGGACTAGGGTTGGGCTGGAGGCCCTGCATTTTTTTGCTCTAGACATGAGGTTGATGGAAGTATGATACCTACCCATTCATAGGCTCATGGGATGGATGCCTATCTGTCTCTCCGACGGCATTCCGGCAGATTGTGGCTGAAAAAAAAAAAGGAATTTCAGGAAAAAACACAGTTCCCGTACGAGTAGGATAACTGGGCACCCCTGGCATCCAAGTGGCTGAACCCGATGCACGCCTTCCATCATGCACGATGAACCATAACTTGGAAACTAAAAAGTCATAACAATATCAATGGTATTTTGATTGTCACGTATCATGTAACCTGCGATCTAACATTCGCCTAGACGCAAGTGGCATCTATCGTGATACACACCAGATTCCATTTGATGGTGCATATGTCTAGTTATCGTTAATGGTAGAGAATCCAACATCTATCCAAGCTCTCATTCTATCTCCGTAACGAATCGTCATCCAAAGAAGACTGCAAAATGAGTAGACCACGGAGTCAGACCAAGGACTCTGAGTACCACGTGGAAGCTTACCCAAATGCAACCCATCCCAGGACTGCAGCAATGGTATTCGTAGCCACCAAGCCAATAAGATCGATAGACGGTAGAACCATTGCGGCCGCAAGCGCCGTGATGAGGGACCGTAAAGCACTGAAATACAACCGTCGGGGTGAGAAGCTGTGAATTATGAACAATGAACTGCGTAAATTCCAACAGACCTATACGTAGCTTGAATTTCAGCACTGCGGGAATGCAAGATATCGACCGCATAAGCGGCGCATGGTGTCAGAACACTGTCAACCTATGCAAGTGTTAGTTAATAAGGATGTAAAGCGCTGGTATTTGAGCTTGCTTTACCCCCAATCCATGGAAGAAGAGACAGACCATACTAAGCGTCAGGCCAAGAGGTCCGTCTACGTACGTGGTGATAAGGCCAGAAAATAAAACGGAGAGCGGAACCAAGTAGAGCGCGCCCACCCAAGCCGCCCTGAGTCTGTCCTCGGGTACCCATTCACCCTTGCGTCGTATTTTCCACACCTTGATAATTTTATCAGAAAGACGTCCAGCCAGTGGGGCACCAACTGCGTCTCGTCAGACACTGTATTCAATGGCAACAGAAAAAGACAGGAAACAAACTTAAATTCCCCAAACCACAAGAGAGGAAGCAGGCACCGATTAGAGCTTGATTTTCTATATGATAGCGTACGCCCTTTGAAAAAGTTAGTTCATGGACACCATGGACATTTAGCTACTTACAATTGTATATGCCAAGGGGACGAGCAGAACTAACCACAAAATTAACATGCCCCATGATCCATGAAAGAGTTCACATACCAAAATCTGTCAGCAAAACCAGACCACTAGCTATAGACTATTACTCAGATTAAATCAGTGCTTTGTAATGTGGTACAATGAGAGAGAGCGCACAATGGCCAGTAAATTTGGGCTGCGCAACAACCACAGGCTGTCGAGTGGATTGACGAGCTTGAATCGTCCTCTCTCAGATTCTGGGATCTTGTCCTTCCCTCTGGTACCAGGATGACTAGTCTCTGGGAGAAACAGGAACACCAAAAGGATTTCAATCAAACCCCAGACTCCCAGTATGAGCTGCATCGTCCGCCACGATGCATATTCAGCAGCGGTACCTAACGCATAACACACACGTAAGTTCACTTGCACAAGCTAAGTCTAACGTGAAAAAAGTTATATGTACCTCCAGCGAGAGGTGCCAATGCAGGTCCGAGGAGACAGGCCTATGGATGGATGAGATCTTAGTAGGCCACCAAACAGAAAATGTCATACTTAAAGGAAACGGGTGGTGCAACGTACCCCGAAAAATATGCCCATTGCAGTCCCGCGCTCCTCAAGTTGATATATATCACCAATAACGCCGGATCCCAAGGACAGGCCACCCGAAGAACCAAAAGCCTGCACGACACGCCAAAAGAGAAGGTTTTTTAATGTCGATGACACTGCTACTCCAACACTCCCAATGCATAATAAAGGCAGTCCATACAAATAAATAGGCCGACGACCATCTATGGAAAGGTGAGATCACGAATATTACTATGTAGAGAATTACGAAGACTCACAAAATGTAGAGTTGGAAGCCCAGAACAAGCTCCCAATGGCGGTGGAAAATATTGATAGGCTTACTGCCAGACTGAATTGATGGGTTTACAACGTCAATCCACGGCACCCTATCTCGTATAATGACAACCTAGAAAAGGTAGCATACTTACCTGACTATGGCACCAGTTGAATTCAAGTCGCGGGCTATTTGAGGAATCGATGGAATAAATGATCCAGCTACGAATACTACGAACCGAGGGCTTTGTAGCTTTAATACGAAATCATCAGGTATATGTTCTTACATGGTAGCAGGCCAGCCAAGGATACGACGGAAAGGATAGTTCGTTTTTGTGATTCGCTGAAACGACTGTACAATGCCAGATGTGCAACGCGTCGTTCATCTCGCTCCTGGTTCTCCGAATGCAGGAGAGGACTCTCTTCTGAAGACATGATAACAATAGCTGCTCAGAGAGCTAGGCAAGAACAATACCTATTGCACCACAATCTCTCAAATGGCGTTTGGAGGGCTATTGCTGAGTCTGCTGACCTGACTCGACCGGAGTCAGTCCCGTTGAAATGGAGACATGGCATTCATAAAACGTGATCAGTAACCATAAACGAAGAATCAAATGACTCTACAGTAAAGGCGAGATATATTAGAAACTCCAGAAGTTAACTTGTATACTGCAAGGGGAATATAGGATGGGTAAAAAATGCTGGAAATAATACAGGTGAGTGTTTTGTACGATACGTGCAGATGAAAACAAAGGGGCGCATTGAACAAGCGAAACCTGAATAAAACGAAACGGGGAGGGTGCAAGCAACTGTGGAGAAAAGCCAAAACAGAGACATTGTATAAAACATGTACAAAAGGCTAGGACGACGTTATCGTGTCCGACCGGTTGCAACTTTGTTAGTCTCAGCAACATTTTCGAGTTGATTACTTCGCTTTACGGCCAGTTCGTGTTGACGCTCGAGGCTCCTAGAAATATACTGTCAGCATAGCCATTCTAAGGAGACAAGGCTTTTCACTTACTTGATCTGGCTCTCAAGCTCTACTACTCTTTCTTTCCCACCTTGCCGCTCTCTCTTGTACTTCTCCTCCGCGGCCTTGATGCGAGCCTCATACTCTTTCACGCGGGCTTCCCACTTTGAATCAACAGTGACGGTCTTCTGAATCATGTTCGCGATTTTCTCTTCGGAATGGAGAAGTTGGTTCTGGGTGACGGTTAGACGTTTTTCCGCGTTAATAGCACGAGCCATAAGAGATTTGACTTCTGCTGTATCACCCTGAGCGGGCCGCCTCGAGCTGCTAAGCTGCGTCGTAAGTTCCGCAGCGGTAGCCTTATGCGATATTAATCACTTTGGTTAGTTGTAGTATGCATCATATAGAACGCACCTTTAACGCTTCGAGTTCGCCTTCTTTTGCTGTATATTTACGTCGCCAAGTTGCCTTCGCCTCACCATACGCTTTCACACTCGATTCGAATTTGTCGATCTGCTTCCACCTGTTATCGAGTTGTTTCCTCATGTCAGTTAGCTTCTCGGTGAATCTCGCCTCAGCCTCTTTACAACGCTTGTCAAAGTCCAGTTGTATCTGACTCAGAGCCTTCAACCGAGTAATAAGATTGTCATGGAAGACACTAAAGTTGGTGAAAGGTTTTGTCTCAGCTTGAGAGCCTTTCTTCTGCATACAAACTATGATCAGGCATACGCATGAGATAGATTGAGTACAAACACACATACCGGTGTCTTGTCAACTCCAAGGATCTTATCCATGTATTGATAAATAGTGAGTAGAAGGGTGTTCCTCTCAGTCAACTGGTCTCTATACTGTGATTCAGCAGCCAACAACGACCTTTGGTCCTTTGAAAGCCTTTGCTCAAGTTCACTGGCTTTGGTGCGTGATGTTGACAGCTCAGACTCGGCATTCTTCAAGCCAGCCTGCACACCATCCAGCTTCTCCGATACATTCAGACGCGCTTGCGTCTGAGCGGCAAGCTGGGAAGCAAGGTCACGGTTCTCTGCATGTAGTTTGTCGATCATGCCATCCCGATCGCGAGTCTTATTTTCACGCTCGTCAATTCCTTTGCGTGCACGAGAAAGCTCGTCCTCGAGACGTTCGACGTCCCTCTTTAAGCGATCAACCTCGAGTTGCAGAGAGAAGCGCGCGGTTGTATGCGATTCGCCAAGTTTCTTCGACTCCGCCTCAAGAGTTTGAAGGGCACTCTGTACTGCGTCCAGGTCGGATTCTCTCTGGGCTAACAAGGACTGTGTCCGAGCGAGGTCGTTGAGAGCAGACTGGAGAGCAGACTCTTTAGCTTCAAGTGCCCGCCGCTCTCGACGAATTTCAGCATCGTGGTCTTGATCGCATTTTTCCATTTCTACCTCCAAGCGTTGGCGAGCATCCCGTTCGCGTTGCACTTCTTCTACAAGATCTTCGATATGTTGAGCTAGCTCTTCCTGGCGAGATCTATGTGCGTGAATGTCCTCGCAACACTGATCGTACACATCCTGAAGTTCTTGAAGTTGAGACTTGAGCCCAGATAGTTTCTAGGAAGATTGATTGTTGTCAGTGAAAAAAGCTACTTAGGCGTTCAATTGATGTTTCTGACCTCCTTTAGAGCAGCAGCTAGTGCCTCCAGTCTCTCCCGCTCAACAGCCTCTTCTTCTCGTATCCGATCACTTTCCTCCTTCAACTTGTCGTTCTCTTCCTCTAACAAGTACACTTGCTCACCCAACTTCTCGATCTCCCTATTTGTAGCACTGATCTCCGCATCCTTGTCTTCAGCTTCGCGCTCAAGATGAGCCAGTGCAGCTTCAAACTTGGCATGCAGATCATTAGTATTTGCTTCGAGTTCTGAGATGTTCAGTCTTAGGTCTTTAGACTCGGTCTCGCGTTCCGCAAGCACCTGTAAGGATAAAAATAGTTAGCCATCCAAATGACGTTGAAAATATATATTGGTTCCATGCTTACATCGCGTAACTCCTCAACCTGTCCTCTGGCTTCCTCGACTTCCCCTCTCCACTCCTGCTCAACGACCTCGACGATTCGATCGTGCTCAGCTACCAAAACATCAATTTCCCGATTCTTCATCTCAATATCATCGTCCTTCTGCTGCAGTTCAATCGTAGCGGCGGCTAGCTTGTCCCGCAGAGCATTAAGGTTGTCTTCGACGACCTCACGCTCCTCCCGTTCCTCCAAAATCTGCGCTCGACTTTCGCTTCGTTCAATGGACTCAGCTTCTCTTCGGCGTTGTATATCCTCGATTTCTAACCGAAGAGCATCATTCTCGTCCGCCAGTTCTTCCTTTTCGTCCTCTTTCTGCAACACTAACTCATTCTGCTCCTCGATCCTTGCTCTCAGATCCTCGTTCTCCGCTTCCAACTCCTCCATTCTGCGCTTCAAGCGGTCCCTGCGGCTTTCACCACCCTCTGCCATGGAATCATCCCCTCTTCTCTCCACTATTTCTCGCAACCGATCGATCTCCTCCATATTATCCTCTAACAGCCCTCGTACGTTCTCTAGCTCTTCCTCTAGCTCAACATTACGAGCTTCCGAGTCTCTCAAAGCAACATCGTCTGCTTCTGAAATATGCCCTCTTCTCAGTTCGCGAAGCTCTCTTTCCCGTTCCTGTAACTTCTCTTCCAGCTCCCGTTCACGCTCTCGAGAGCCTCCAGCACCCCGCTGAGATCGTTCCAATTCGCGTTCAAGCTCCAAGACAAGTTTCTTGAGTTTCTTCATCTCCATACCTCGTTGTTGCACCTCTATTTTCAGGTTTATGTTCTGTTTCAAGGCAGCATCGATCTGATCTGGGGCAAGCTGGGCCAATCTCTCCTCCAGAAAGTGAACTCGTAGTTTTATGTTAAAGTTCTCTTTTTTGAGATTGTCGATATGCTGAAGATACGGTTGCCTTGAGTTGAATCATAAATTAAGATAAAATATATACGTGCAAATACCTTCTCCTGATCGCGAAGCGTCAGAGTCACGCCCTTGGTGCCACCAACGCTAGCTCTTGAGCGTTTTGCGCGTGCGGCAAGTGGTGTGTCAGGACCCTCTCCCCATTGCTTCTCACGTCCTGGAGTGTCAAGTAGATCGCCTTCGGCATGTTCGCCTTCTTCCAGGCTTGAAAGGCCAAGCCTTTTGAATGCTGAATTGGGCTCGTCGGCCTTTCTCCTTGGATAGTCTGGTGGAGAGGGCGTTGCTATTGGTGCTGACGATGGTGCAGTTGTCTGAGATGATGAGGATGGAACACGTAGGTTACGGGCTGGGGTGGAGAACCCTGAGACTAGCGATCCAAGCGAAAGATCAGGTAGAGTTCCTATGGATTGTATGGATGTATCTGGACGGCTATTTAGTGCTGCAGACATAGTGTCCGTCAATGGATTCTGTGGTGAACTTGGAATACAGCACGATTCAGATCCTATAACAGTTCAACAAAGATGCAGTAAATATGGACTCATGAGTGAACTTCCTTGTCTTGAATGATGCACATGCACATAATACATACCTATAACTGATGTAGGGACGACCTGCCACGACCTTGCAGATTCCTGTCATGCGCTGCGTGGCGGACGCGCTGCAAAAGCGTTGGACCAACAGAAGGAACTACTAGTACTTTGGGCACGTGAAGTTACATAAGCTTTCGGAAATGCCCGGATTGTCAATGGAGACTAGTCTCATTGTACTTACGCTGCAAGAAAACTTTCTGTTTGGCCCGGAGATGGGCGAATCTCAACCAAAAGTCCTTCGCAGATCATCGAGGAATGAATCCCCCTCCTCTGTATGATACATCTGCATTTGCATGCTTCTCTTATCCTGACGCAGCTCCATCAGCAAGAAAATGCTGCATGAAGTCAAATAGACGGTGCTGGAGACGACGCAATACTAGTTAGTGTATGCACTTTTTTGACAAAAAAAAACAATGTCTTGAGGGCGGTGCCGCCCATCCCGTCAGTGTCAACGAGGCAAGGTAGTTCGGACCAGACTAGGAAATCAGTAGCAATGATACGCCCAGGAAAGGAAGATAAGTGATTGTTATATTGATCAATTGATATACGACTACAAATTACAATTATGAAATTTAATAACGATATAAGCTGGAAAGCCTCATGAACCCAGGAAGGAAAATGAAATCTAGACGAAGCATAGTATTAGGTTAAAAGTACTGAAGCATGCTGTTAGTTGACACTCACCATTATTTTGTACGGCGCTTTACTGAGGAGCTTTGCCATCAGCAGCGTCGGTGGCACGGGGTTTAGCAATAGCTTTCTTTGGTTTTGCTGGTGGCGGAGCATTGGTCTGTAATTATATGTAAGATTAGAAAGAGTTGTATGAAGAAATTCACGCAAGGAAACTGACCGTGTAGGGAGCAAGCACTTCTTTTACCACTTCGGCAAGAGTCTTCACATGTGCGGGCGTGAACATCGTATCGTGGCGACCAGCCGCCACCTTCATATCCAAGTTCTTGATGCGATAGTCCCAACCGTTATGGTCATCAGCACCAGTGTCGAAGTCACTCGCATGTCCACTTCGGTACCACGAACGATCTTTGGGCACCACAAGTGTCGTTGCTCCATCATAATGCTCGGGCTCGAAATCAAACATTGAATCCAAGTTCTTGCGAATCTCGGTTCTCAGCTTGCCCTTCCATCTTTCACCGATGTCTGGGAAGTTCTCGGAAATGCGGTCGATCGCGCGTTGTGTCCAATCAGTCGACTTCAAGCTCTGACGCTCTGAACCAGGGATAAAGATTGGGTCGAACATGATTAAATGAGCAACTTCATCGCCGGCCTTCCGCAGCTTCGTCGCCATGCACAGTGCAACAGCTCCTCCGTAAGAATACCCACAGATCACGTACGGTCCTTGGGCTTGAACACTCTTCACAAGTGTGATATAATGGTCGGCCATGGATTCAACGGTTCCAAAGCCAGTAGCAGAACCGAAGTGACGGTCCCCGATGGCGTACATTTCGTTTGGCATGAATGCACCAAGACGCATAAATGGTGTAGCCATGCCGGTGATATCGTGTACGATGAAAAGACGTGGATGGACTCCTTTCTTTTTGATAGGTAAGAATTCGATCAAGAAATCACTGTCAGTGTCTTCTGCCTCCATAATCGCAAGACTGTCCTGGCCCATTGCATCGACTACGAGATTACCCAATTCGCGAATGGTTGGCCTAAGTCATGAAATCAATATACAGTTCTACTGACGAGGAGTTAGATCAACATACCTCAAATAGACATTGTTTAGACCGATGTGAACGTTAAAGGTCTTCGAGATAATACCAGCTGCTTGCACTGCCATCAAAGAATTTAAGCCAGTAGAGAAGAGATCGTGTGTTACACCAAAGCTACTAGGGTCCACTTTGAAAAGCCTGGAGAAGATAGACATAAGTTCTACCTCGACGTCTGACTGCGGTAAGCCTATCTCATTCGAGAGAGCTGCGGAGAATGACTTGAGGTCCATTTGTTTGAGAGCATTACGATCTATCTTGCCACTGCGCGACATAGGAAGTTGAGGGAGGGCAGCAATGAGAGAGGGATACATGAAACGAGGAAGACGTTCTGAGACAAAGATTCTCAACCCTTCCTTTTCGTCCTCAAGTTGTTCGGGATCTTGTTGCTTGAATTCGACAAATGCAACGATGGCAGGAGTGTCTTGGACGGTGCGGATAACGACAGCGCCCCTGTGCACACCGGGATATTTGGTGATAACGTCCTCGATTTCTCCCAGCTCGATACGTTGTCCTCTCAGCTTGATCTGACGATCTTCCCGACCACAGTATTCGATGTTTCCATCAGAGCGATAAAGAGCAATGTCTCCAGTCTTGTACAACCTTTCTCCAGATACGAAGGGGCTCTCGATGAATGCCTTGGCTGTAAGCTCCGGTTGATTCAGATAGCCTCTAGCTAACTGAACACCACCGATGTAAAGCTCGCCTTCTACGCCAATGGGTGTAGGTCGAAGTTGGTTATCTAGAATGTAGATGCGGTTGTTGGGTAGGGGCCGCCCGATGACGCCGGTAAGGGACGAGGAGGTAACATGACAAGAGATACAATCGACGGAAGCCTCTGTTGGACCATACATGTTTTTCAAGGTGACCAGATTCGACCAATCCTCAATCAACTTCTTGCCCAGTGCTTCTCCTGCAACTACAACGGTGTCCAAAGTCGGGTATTCCTCAGGCGGAACAACAGCCAGAATACTAGGAGTAACATGAAGGACGTTGATACGCAGAGACTTGATGGCTTTAGGGATATCACCAAGAACGAATTCCTTGCGTCCGGTAACCAGCGTAGCACCATGCGCAAGAGTACCGAAGACATCGATAACAAAAGGATCGAAAGTATACGCAAGCGATGACATCACGCGAACGCCCTGCCGGAATCCGTAGGCACTTGAATGTTGTATCAAGTTCGAAATTGAACGATGTTCGATCATCACGCCTTTGGGTTTGCCCGTACTGCCGCTCGTGAACCTAAGCAGATATGTTAGACCGACATAGTTATGAGAGTTGGTACAACGAACATGATGTAAGCGAGACTGGATGGAGTTAAACCATCAACAGTAAAGTTTCCTCCATCAAAGCGACTCAAACGCTTTTCATAGCTCGGATCATTAATGTAAGCAATCTAAACCAAGATAAGCGACCGTATTTGTTTACATGAAGACTTTACTAACCAATACTTTGGAAGCAAGACTCTTCTCAAACACACGTGAGTGATTTGAGGTGGTTAACAGAACTTTAGCCTTGCATTCCTCGATCATGAGCTCCTTGCGTAACGTGGGGTCGTCGGGGTCCAAAGGAACAAATGTACCACCAGCTTTGAGCACGGCCAAGATAGCTAGAATTTGGTGGATGCCCCTGTCGAAGCACAAGGCAATAACATCCCCATGGCCAACACCTTGCTGTATAAGTGACTTCGCAATGCGATTAGCTTTAGTGTTCAATTCAGTGTAAGTCAACGATTCGCTTTCAAACTCTATTGCAGTGAAGCGTGGTGTAGTTTTGGCCTGCTCTTCCACGAGTTGATGGACAGTGGTCTCCCGCACGGAAACTTCGCTAGCAGACGCAAGCTCTTTGACGAGTCTTTCATGTTCACGAACACTGAGTGCAGAAATATCCCCGACTTTGACGTGGGCATCACGGCCCAACGTTTCGATTAGATTAATGTACGCATCCAGGAATTGACGAGCCGCGTCCTCGGAATATAAGCGATTGTCAAAGCGAAGGACCACATGACCAGCCTTGGGATTTACTGTGAGGAGGAATTCGTACTGTTCTTCGCCATTAGGAAGAGGCAGGATCGTCTTTGCCTTCAAATGGTTCAACCCAAGTTGAGAAATTGTCTCCATGTTCACACCACCCGGCGCAAAGAGGTGCTTGAAATAACCGCGTCCATGGGAGGAGGCTTTCCCTTGAGCAACAATATCCTCATATGTTACTTCATCATTGGCCAGACATGCGATCAACGAGTCCTTGAATTTAGCCAAATATTCGAAGAAGCTCTCTTCAACATCTACGACAGTTTTGATGGGCAGCATATTGGCGAAGAAGCCAATCACAGTGGATAAGAGACTGATATTGCGTTGGGTGACAGCAGTGCCGACCACGAAGGACGACTGAGAGGAATATTTATGGAGAAGTATATTGTATGCTGCGAAGAAACCAGTGAAGGGCGTTGCACCTGCTTCATTGACAATCTTGTGATATTGCTCAAGGGCTCCAGTGCCGATCTTGGCTTCGATCTGAGTAATAGGTGCCAGTTCCCTGTCTGACGGTGTAGCGAGTGTAAGATGCAGAGGTTGAGTGTCTTGTAGATTCTCGGCCCAGAATTGCAGTTGCTCATCCCGCAACTCCGCACGGCGTTCGGATGTTTTTGCGAGCCAATCGCTGAAATCGGAGTAGTGGAATCTGACGTCTGGGATGCTACCTGGGCCATTTAAGTATAGACCGAATAACTCGTAGAAGAATACGCCAAGGGAAGCTTCATCAATAATGATATGGTGAATGACAACGTTGAATGCCCAGTCACCCCCGCCGAGGTCAGACATCGTGGCAGTCAAGAGAGGCAGCTGATCAAGCTTGAAGTTAGGCTCGTGGTTCATAGCTAAGCTCATTTCGTAAGCCTTAGCAGTAGGGTCAGATTCGGTGGAGAGATCGACAAGTGACGCCTGGAATTCGACAGATGGGTAAATGGTCTGCTCCAGCTTTCCGAGTTCTTCGTTCCAAGTGAATGCCGTTCGCAGAGCACCGTGGCGTTGCACAACTTCCTGGAAAGCTTCTGTCATGCGGTCAACATCGATAGGTGTGTCGGAATGTATAGTGACGAAGTAGCCTTCATGGGTGTCCCATTGCGTCGCGCCATAACGTGACATGTTCGAGTCGATCTTGCTCACTGCTCGCTTGCGAGCGTTGTCGTATTCACGCTAGAAAATCAATTTAAGTCATTTGGCGTGATTCATGTGAATATAAGAGCGCACTTGAGCAAGCCAAATTCTGTATTGATGAGGAGACGCGTCGGTGGTGTATGGTTCATCATAGGCAAGGCGGTCTTGTAGGATGGGAATCAGGGGCTCGCCATATTTAGCAGAGCCGTCGTCTTCAGCGAATACAGAATCATCTCCACTGCTTTGTAATCCCACTTTGGCAACCATTTCATCTAGTGCACCAATAGTCATGGAGCCAAGCAATTCAATCTGGCTGACTTGGATGTTGAAGCGGATTTTGAGCTGGTTGCTGTAACGAGTAGCTACAAAAGGAAGGAATGTTATTTAAAGTTAAGGTAAGAGTAAAATTATACCTACCTCCCAGTGAGTCCAATCCAAAGCTAGTGATCAGTGCATTGTCGGTAATTTGCTCTACGTCCATGCTCAAGAGTGCACCTAGTAACGTAGCAGGTGATTCTGCTACATCTCCATCCTTGCCTCCTCCAGCATTGGAGACAAGGTACTTGGTCGGCAGCAGGTGCTCGTAGAGTAAGGGCTCGCTAGTAGAGAATACATCGGGAATCGTTGCCGTTGCTAACATCGGAACATAGTGTGCAATGCGTCGGATCAAGGAATCACCGATGAAGTTGCAGACTTGAGCAGTGGTCATACCAGACTTCGCTAACGAAGCTGTGTTTGCACGACCCTTGGTAGCAAGGACCAGACGCTTGAAGATACCAGAGTCCGTGATAGGAGGGAACGACATGGAAATCGTATTAGGGATCAAGTCAGCGATGCGGTCAAGATAACTGAAATTCTCGTGATTAGCGAGCGATATGAAAATGTGACTGAATCCACTCACAGTTGCGATGCGCAGTATGCGGCCTGCCCTGCGTTACCAAATACAGATCCAATTGTAGAGAAAAGGAGGAGGAAATCCAAAGAGGCTGGATTTACGCAGCTCAAAAGAGTAGTCAGTGCATCTACTTTGGATTGATAGACCTCGTCGAAAGATTGTTGTGTCAAATTCGTAAACTTGCCATCACGAAGAACGACAGTCATTAAGAAAATGCCACCAATGGCCCCAGCTTTCTCTGCAGTCTCGACCACAGCAGCTGTTTGTTGTTTATTGACAGCATCGCACGAAATAACTTCGATGTGAGCGCCCGACTCACGGAGGTGTTGGACGTATAGATTGTCTACTTTCGTGAGACCTTGAGGTCCACGACGGCTGGTGAGGATGATATGGCGAGCTCCATGAATAAACATCCATTCCGTGAGGCGCACACCGAGCTCACTGGAGCCGCCAACAAGAATATAGCTCTTGCGTGGACTAAACAGCTGACCGGTGGGATCAATACGTACTGGCCCAGTCTGCTTAGGAACGAGGACCAAGGAATCAAGGTTTGCTCCCGTCGCTGCCTCACGTGCATTTTCCATGGAAATAGTCCTTGAGCGCAACTTGAAGGCACGCGAACTATGCGCAACGAGCATAGCAGAGATCATAGAAGCGGTGTCACGTGGAGAAGCCTCTGCGAGTTTGCGCAAGTCAAGGATGTGAGTAGACGGCGCCCCAGGTGGTGGCCTCGTTGTATCTTGACCTTCACTTTGAACGTGTATGTAACAGCCGAAAAGGGATAAGGCATCAGCTCCTACTCCAAATGCAGGACTACCTTGGGGATTCAAGGCGACATCGAAAGCCACAATACCATTTTTGCGCAACCACGCAGGAGCAGCTACCGAAAAGTCGTCGATAATGATAATGGAATCTTCTGACACATCGAGTTCCGAAGAGAGATAGCTTGCTTCTGCCACAGAAGAAACGGTACACAAAAACTTTCCGCCAAAGCGCTGGCAGATTTGTACGGCATTGTAACCGGCACCTAGAATGTGTTAGTTAATGCGCAATGATGGACGGTTGCTAGTGTTGGGACTTACTGCTAGCGGCGTCATGAATGAGGATATTGGATGACTTAGAGATTTTTGCAAGCTGCAAAAGACCTGACCACGACGCTAAGAAGGCAGAAGGCAGTGCGGCCGCTTCTTCAGCTGTCACTCCAGCTGGAAGCTGCACAACAGCATCCTCATCCGCAATCATGACATTAACAGGAGTGTGACGAGATACTCCAACAACCTGTGACGATGTCTGATGTTAGTGAGGAAGAATCATGACGCGACTGAAAATCTACCTTGGTGCTAGTACCAAAGGCTTTAACAGCAGAGCCTACAGATTTTATAGAGCCAACGAATGTAATCGAGGGTTTCTCGGCTGATATGCTTTCCATCCCCAGAGCATCAACTTGGACTTCTACTTGTGTATCGCCAAGGCTGGGAGGGAAGTGTGCCGCAACCGTGGTCATGGCGCCTGAATGAGTAGATAATCCGATTGCAGGGATAACTGTATCATTGACTTCCACGGAACCATTGACAAGCCTACGGACGAAAACTTCACCATTGCGAGATATCTTCAGATGTTGTTCCAGTAAGAGCGAATTGCGACGCAAGTCATGGATGACTTTCTCCCGTGCTGCTGCCGCCAGCGTGTGATCCTCAAATAGTACTGAACGAACGACGAATTCTGGAGATTCGGCTATCAAACACGAAGCGACGCCCAATGCACCACAGCCAGCGGCGTTGTCTTCCCCAGTGATCCAAACTTCGGAGTCGGCCCCAACATTCTTAGCAATCTCTACGAGCTCTCCCTCTTGACCATGTATGAATGGGTGGATGATAACGCTCTTGAAGGGACCAGCAGGAACCGAAACAGTACATTCGGAAACGCGAACTACGAGGAGGGCGCAGCCATCTGTTAGCTGAGACGTCTGGACCTCGACACCAGAAACTGCACGAAGCTGCTCAGTCAATGCTGGGAGCGTCATTTGAGCATAGTTCGCATCTTCCGAAGCAGCCTTCGAGTCTACAATTCATTAATCAGACGTAATCTTCTGGTATGCATCGGCAGACTCACCAGACACAGTTAGGAGGATGATTCCAGAAGGTACCAAGAAGTTGGTCAAGTGAGCAATATCAATAGGAACAGCTGAAAGGTCCACGGATCGTAGGACGATATCAAAGCTAAATACCGCTCAGCGTTAATGGTGGATCTAGTTTAACGAAATCAAGCCTACCTGGCAAAGGAACTGGTAGCCGCGTCGTCCTTGAGAGTCCATGAGTCAACTAGCAGAGATTGCGTGTGCGAGTAGTTCATTTCGGAGGTCTTTGCATCGGCTTCCTCAGGAGACCCGGCACCACAGACATATGAAACCAGTACGTGATTTTCAATCAACAGCGAAGACAGAGAAGCATCCAGACTCTTTGCAATGGCAGACGTGGTGTCCAGGTCTATCACTCGTACCACTTGGCGACCTGCAGTGACAGCATTTTTGACAAGGGTATTGAACGCGGAACGTAGTGATCCACCAGAAGGAACAGAAAGCAACGACGAAGGGAATGCTTTTGATTGCCAGGCAGTGGTCAAACGCTCCTCGACGCTGCTATCAGTGATGGCGATAGGCTCAGCTTCTGGCGCGCGAGCAATCTCGAAGCCCTCGATCGTGAACAAAACGCGCCCTTCGGAATTGCAGATAACATAGTCGGATTTGAATGGTCCAGCTGGAGCCCAGTGACGAACTATGAAGTAAGTCCAAATGCCTTTCTTGAGTTCCGAGTCAAGATTAGGTGCATCATGGCTATCCCATCGACGTAGAGAATCAATCTTGACGGGCAAGAAGACACCATTGAAGTCAAAGAGTTTAGTCTCCATATTTATGAACATAGCCAGACCACATTGAGTTATACTGTCAAGAATACCAGGGTGGATGACATATCCATTACCATAGACATCAGGTGTCCCTTCTGGTATCTCGAGTCGCGTGAGATAGGCCTTGCCACCCCAACTGTCCTCATCTGCAACTTCATGCACAACTTTAAGATAGTTCCTGAAGTGATCTTGGTATCGGTACGCGGAAGGGATAGCATCGTAAAACTCGTCTCCAGTGAGGGATCCTTTAGAGAGAGGGAGCTTGGATTGGACATCGAACATGCGAGGGGAATTGGCATCGAAAGCAGGGTTGACACGAGAGAAAGAACCACTCGCATAGACTGAATCCAAGACGATATCACCATTGATGAATTCGTTGTTAGTCGATGCGCGGAATTGCCATTTGTCGCCTTCAATGACACAACCAGCATGACCAGGAAGATTATCATGGCCATTCAGAACGAGAGGTTTGTGAATGGCGATATTGGACGCAACCATGGCACCATTCTCAAGAATGCTCTCAACGTATCTAGATATTGATCAGTATATAAATCATAAGCAACAAGATGTATGACGACATACCCAGATGCAGGGAAAAGGACCGCATCAAAGACGATATGACCTGTCAAGTCAGGGTGACTGTCAACATTGAGGCGGAAATGGGCAGGAGCAACGGGTCGTGGTTTCTCCCGAAGACGCCTGGATTGATCCGACGCAGACTCCGCCCAACAATGAGATTTGTTGTAAGGGTACTCTGGCAAAATCGCCTTCCCAAAGCCGGTCTGACCATCAGACGAGGCACAAAGTTTATCGAAGTCGACTCTCTTGAATCCAGAGACGAGCATGTTTCCAATGCCCTCAAGGAATTGATAGTGTTCGCCAGTGTTCTGCGCGGGAACTTTGGGGTTAGGACGGCGAATCAAGCTAACAGGTTCACCCCCGCATTGCTCGATATAAGCCTTCAGTACAGGATGAGGGGCAATTTCAAGGAATAATAGTCCCTCTGAACCTTCGTCGTTGATTAGCTTGTTAATGGCGGTACCGAACAAAACGGGTCGACGAATGTTATCCCAGCAGTAATCGATGTCGAGATCGCGGTCCAACCACTTTCCATCGGCCGTGGACATAACTCGAGCAACAGGCTTATTTGTACCTTTCCCAAGGGGTTCCTGCATGAGCGACTTGAAAAGCTCCTCCTGGGGCTCCATGAGAGGAGTATGGAATGCGCATCCAACACGTAATTTAGCTGCGAAAATCTTGTCCTTTGGGTCGTTCGCAAGCTCGACCATAGCATCAATGAGCTCATGAGTACCTGCGACAGTGACGGCCTGAGGAGAGTTAATTCCCGCGATCCATAGGCCACTAGCTGCCTTTGCCTTCGAAAGAACTTTCCGCATCATAGCCTTTGCTTTCTGCACGCCTACGCCAAGGGCAACCATGGCCCCGTTACCTTCTGCCTTCGTCATAGCAGCTGAACGAGCAACTGCGATACCAACTGCCATCTCGCGATCATAGTGGCCAGATGCGTAGCCCATGGCAATTTCACCAATACTGTTTCAAAATGCATTAGTGATCGTGAAAGCACTACCAGAAAATGTACATTACCTGTGACCCACGACGAATTGGTATTGAATTCCCAAGCTCCTAACCAAGTCGACAAGAGCGATCTGTATGAAGACGAGAGACAGCACGACTTCTCGCACAGGCCACACGCCATTCGCAGCAAGTTTGGTTTCCACACCGGGAACGAAAAGGCCAGTACGCTCTAGCATCGATTCTTGCTTGTACTGGTTTACGAGGATACTATCGTTTAGTTTAATGGCTTCCAAAAATGCTGGGTAGCTCTCAGCCAGTTGACGACCCATGAATATGTGCTGAGGACCTTGTCCAGAGAAAACGAGACAGAGCTTTGGACTCGAGTTGCCGTTGGTCAACACAGGCTTGGAGAATTTGGTGTCCGCGCTGAGCGTCGACGCGACAGCAAAAGAACGCGCAGGGTAAGCACGACTTTGACGAGCGAGGGAGCGGGCGATGGTACGAAGGGTCTTGTCATCGGTAACGTTGCCAAAAGAGCTAATGAGAGTGTCTTTCCAACGACCGAGAGATGGTTCAGTCAACGAACCGATCGAGAATAGGTGGAGAGATTTCTCGCTGGAAGTGGTGGATGTGATAGCTTTGGATGTGTCATGTGCGGTCTCGAAAGTCTCCATGACGATGTGGGCATTCGACCCTCCAACTCCATACGATGAAATGGAAGTAACCCATTTGCCATCTTTGGCGGCCAGTTCTGGCGTAATAGACTCGAGCTACATAGATGACTTAGTTCAACAAGCGTATAATTCTATAAAACATAGGGATCTTACCTCGGTCTGCACTTTCATCTTCAAACTGGTAAAATCGATCTTCGGATTGGCCTTCGTGAAACGGACGTTGGGAATGATCTCCTTGTGGTGCAGCATCAAGGACACTTTAACTAGACTGGCGAGGAAGCTGCATCCTTCGGCATGACCAATGTTACTTTTAACACTTCCGACTCTGCAGGAGCAAAATATATATGAAACCAAAACGGAGAAAAGGGATCCCTTTGACATACCTCAGGACTTTATTATCTGCGCGGCCTTGCGAGAACACCTTCCCAGCAGCATTGGTTTCGATTGGATCACCTACTTTAGTTCCAGTTGCGTGCAGCTCCACGTAAAATGCCTCGGCAGGGTCTCGGTGTGCAGCCTTATAAGCCTCTTTAATCGTCTCAGCTTGCATCGCACCCTCTGGCATCGTCAAACTCTTTCCCTTTCCATTTGCATTGATAGCACTCCCAGTAAGGACTGAGTACACTGAATCTCCATCCCTAACCGCACAGTCGAGCCGCTTGATGAGTACGGCACCGATACCCTCCGCCCTGAGAAGCCGAAGATATCAGCACAATTGCTATCAACTCGATGGAAAAGATGGGCTACCTAGCGTAACCATCTGCAGATGCATCAAAAGATTTGGACGAGCCAGTTGGTGATAAGACACCTAATTTCGAGAAAGAAACAGTATGTTCTGGGTTGATGATCGTGTTGGCGCCTAAGTATGACTTCAGTATCTGAATGGCCATACTAGCGTGTCTTGATACATACCAACCACCAGAGCTTGGTCACACTCGCCAAGCTTTATGGAACACAGAGCAAGATGCATTGCAGTAGCAGAAGCAGAACAAGCTACGATCGATGCAAATCAGACGCCAAGATGGATATGCCAATGCAAAAAAAATACATACCAGTGTCAACGGTCAATGAAGGACCACGTAAATCGAACGTGAAAGAGATACGATTTGCTCGAATAGATACACAACGCCCAACGCCATTGTAATTGTTGATTTCGTAACGATCATCGTCAAGCTCATCTGCAGTAGTTAAAAGATTGCCAAAGAAAACGCCTGTCTTCGAACCCCGATAATCAATACCAGAATCATGGAGAGCCTAGAAAGAGTACGCGTTGATTAACCTGCATCACCAAAAACATAGAAATATGGTACGAACAGCATGAGCAGCTTCTAGAGTGAGACGAATCGCAGGGTCGAAATGAGCAGCCTCTTTGGCAGAGATACCAAATTCAAGGTGATCGAATTGATCGATGCCGGATATGAAACCAGCTTTTGTAGTATGGTATTTTCCAGGTTCATCTTTACCGCCTGCATCGATCAAAGGATAAGATCAGAAACGAGCATATAGGTCTGACAGGATAGAACGACTAACCAAACCACTCTGAATGAATCCAACGATCTGACGGAGGTTCTACCATTCCATCTCCCTAGAACAAGTGTGAGCAAATGAGATGAAGTTGATCCGAAATAGAAATCACTTTGTTCCTCAAAAATTCATAGTAAAGCTCCTTGTTATCAGACCCTCCAGGGAACTTGCAGCCAATGCCGACGATGGCAACTGGCACTTCGGCGGACATTGTTGAGCGCCTTGTAAGGTGTATTTAGTATATCGAATGTTTAGAACCAATGAGTTGATGAATGGTAGCGTTTGAGAAGTCCTAAGTGAAAGGTGAAAGTGAGAGAGATAAAGTCTGAAAAAAAGAGCCCGCAAGAAAAGGATCAATAAGTAGTATCAAGCACTACCTGGCATGACAACAGATATACTGTCAGTCTAGATCTCGCCATCAGGTTAGACCTCGGAAACGGTTACGAAGTTTTCCTTTCATAGAAAGCTGGACATGTGCCGATGCTGTGCTGTTTGATGAATTGACAGGAACATATTCTGTTCACGTATTTGCGATGAATGAGCCAGCGTTGCAGACGCCCGCGGTAAGAGTGCCAAGCTACGTGCCGTTGATGAGCGTTGTTGATGGGTGAGGAGAAAGCAGAGTGATAGACGAGTCGGTTGATCGGCTTGAGAGACTCTGCTCAACCCGTACTCCATATGTTTTCGTGCCATTTCGATGTCCAGTTGTCAGGAATCCAGTTCGATCAGCCGAGCGGTGCCGGGTGATCCGAATGGCAAAGACACAGACTCCGCCCAACGCAGATCGGTTCCTTATCAACCCATGCTCTCCCATCGTCTCCAGTACAACGCTCATAAACACCCGAAGCATATGAGAAAAATGAACTGCAACTATGATCATGTCGTCGGCTCCCCGTAAAACGAGGTGGCCTATCTTTGTACCTCTCATCATTTGATGGGCCGCTCTTTCAGAGACAGGTACATTGCCTCACAGGTACCGCGCCTAAGTGGTATGTTCGATGCAACTGACACGTTTGATCCTTCGGCCTTTTCCTCGACAATCCTATTATTAGACGTTAGATAACGGTAAATTACCACCTGTTCCTGGGAGCAAGAATATGACCCCAAGTTTCGGTCGGATCTGACTGGTTGAATATATAGCTGCATACATTCACATGCACAATGAACACACTGTCAAGAAAACTATGTAGCACCATTTTCTGCTCTCTGCTAGTTGTATGGGAGCTACTCCTTGTTGTTGTGCCAAACAAATGTAAAGCTAGAGTAACCTCCACTCCAGGCAGAACTTTAAGGAGGCCCTCAGGGGTTTTTATGTTGTGAGAAATAGGTCTCAGAGACCCACCATCCCTCCAGCCTCTGTATCCCCCAGCAACGGGATTACTATACTTGGCATATAGCCAAATTCACTGCCAAGAGCCTCTTCAGAGGTTTAGTCTACATTCAATGCTATAATTTCAAAAATATTGACACTCCTTGTGCACTCCCTGAAAGCCCCTTTTGTAGTATTTGTATGCTCGTACACTCTTTGAGAGCCTCTGTGGGAGCCTCCTCATCAATACATCAAAGGAACATTTCAGAACAATATCCTATATATAGATATAAATTATCCCTTTACGGTAAACTTCTGTGCTATCATAACCTTACTTTACAATAGCGGTAGGGTGTTGCTTGGGCTTGATAGGCTGATCCTCAGATGCAGAACCATACCATTTAATGACTTCAGCTTCCTTGAGTTTGCTATCCTCATTGAGTGCGCATTGGTGTGTGTCAGTCATGGTTGTTACTGAGGAAGAAAATTAATGTGGTTATGCAAGTGGAATTTATTGTGAACACCTATTTGGATGTGTCAGTGTGCTGACATGCAAGCCTTAGCATGTCTCAATGGCACAAGCAGATGATGCAATTGCATCATTTGTATACACCATGGAGACATCACTTGGCATTGGTGGTGCATTGATTAATAAAACTAAGTGAAACTCAGCCACTGCCCGAGAGGCTATAGAAACGACTTTATTATTTACCTAAGTGAAACTACAATAGATGTTAGTTTAAAGTGACCTCTAATAAATGTAATGTAACATACCTCAGCCGCTGCCCAAGAGGCTATAGAAACGACTGAGGTATTCCTATACTAAACCCCCTACTACTTATAGTCGGAGGTGCTACTCGCTACAGTATAATGACTCCTAGGAGTACAATTGTGCTCCTAGGAGAACAATGGTGACTCCATGGAGTGGTGGCTAAACTCCATGGAGAATAATGGCTGCTTTGGCAGAGACCGGGTTTATCCGGTTTTGTCATTGATATAGTGGGGTAGTTGAAGGGGACCAAAACAACACATTAATGCGTCATTTTGGTCCCCTTTGCTTGCCTGGTAATGGCACAAGAAGGAGCCAAAAACGATGCTTGGCACATTGTTTTTGACTCCTTTGCTTACCAGTGAAGGGGTTAGGAGGGAGAGAGTGGGTGGTGGTGGTGGTGGTGGTGGTGGTGGTGGTGGTGGTGGTGGTGGTGAGGGAGGTGGTAGCGGCACAAAAAGGAGCCAAAAGCAACACTTGGCATATTGTTTTTGACTCCTTCACTTGCCAGTGAAAGTAGTGGGTTGGGAGAAAGAGGGAGCAGTGCTGGTGCTAACAATGCTGGTGGATGCTCAAGGGAGGGTGCAAACAATGTGTCCACACATTGTTTAGGCCCTCCCTCACTTATTGTGGTGGTAGTGTATTGGTGGTGAGGTTTATCAGTTTGGACGGGTTCAAACCAAGTTCAGGAAACCACGAGAATACCCAAACTGCAGGCCAAACTGAATCCAGACCTAAGGTTCAGTTTGGCAGTTCTCAGTTCTGAACCACTTGGCCAAACTGAACTTTGGCATCCCTAGGACTCCAGGGCTCTCTAACAGCAGCAACTCACTCAGTACTACCAACTTGACACCTCCTAAGCTGGGATTCACATTGATTAACTTAAAGAGATCTAATATAAACCAAATACTCAGACTTTGTGGGCAAAGCTCTGAGAATGTATTTGTGTACCTAATATAAACAATACTAGGTACAAAGTAAGCATATCACTAAAAACTAAGATGGTATATCATCCTCACCTCAGACTTTGTGGGTGATGTAACGACCAAGAGTTTCTTACTCTGGCACACAACTCAGACAAGCAAAGAGAGAGAGAAGGAGGGATCACCCCTCAGGTTTCAACGGGTTTGTTGTGCTAAACAACAGGAGGACTCGCTGAGTCCTTCCCCATGTATTGCTCCTGTATATATACTAAAATACATGAGGTACTGTACAGTTGTAAATAAAGTCCAATGTTTAGCATGTGACCGGTCACATGGTGAGTCTAGACACTGGTCAGGTGTTGTGTCACATGACTGGTCATGTGACTTGGAAAAATAAAAGTAAAAGTATGAAAAAGGTGAAGTGTAAGTAGGTACTGGTACATCAATTGTAACAGGTGAAGCTCTGAAGTGGGCAATTGTTGCTATGAAGGTTTAAAAAGGCTAAACAGAAGTATAACTAAGGAGAAAATTGCTTATCAAAATACACGGGCCATCTGATTACTACACCTTCCTAGTATGGTGCCCTGCACCATACTTTCCCTTTGTACAATGCTTATCTTTGTCAAATTGTGTTTTCTAGCACTCCCCCTCAAGCGGTACACAGGCCCAAAGCAGCCACGAAATGTTTTACCTTTACAGGAGGCAAAGACTTGTTAAGCACATCAGCTGTCATCTCTTTGGTTGGGCAATAGTTAATCTCAATCTTTCCTTCTTTAATGGCATGCCAAATGAAATGATACCAAATATCAATATGCTTGGTTTGCGTGTGGTATTGATCGACCTTCGAGAGGGCTATTTCAGATTGATTATCACACAGAAGAGTTGTTGGCAGTAAGCCTTGATTGAATAGTTCGCTGATGAACATTCTTGTCCAGAGCAGTTCCTTAGTGGCATATGTTGCAGCCACATGCTCAGCCTCTGTTGTTGATAACACAACAATTTCTTGTTGCTTTCAATATCACGAGGTGGTACCACCATCAAGCATCATGGCATAGCCTGATATGGCTCACCTAGTCTCACTCATACTCCCATATGTGTTGGTGTATCCGATGTATGCTAACCATAGCTCTCTGCTCCCTTTTAGGTATCAGATCACCCTTTTTGCTGCCTCCCAATGGGCCGAACCTGGATTCTCGACAAAACAAGAAAGTATTGTGACAACATGTGCAATGTCTGGGTGTGTGCCAATTGCTGCGTACATCAGTGGTCCCACTGGCTCTCAATATGGGGTGTTTTGCATTTCTGCATAGTCCTCAGGTGTTTTGGGGCTCTGGTCTTTACTCAGGTAAGTGCTTGCAACCATTGGAATTGCTAAGATTTTTGCATCTTCTAGGTTGAAGTGTTCAACAATAGTGTCGAGGTAGCTGTGTTGCAACATGTATAAGGTGCATGTGCTTCTGTCTCTTTTCACTTCTATTCCTAATATCCAATGAAGGCACCCCAAGGGTGTCTTTTTTTGGGTACATTGTCTCACTTGCAGGGCTCATAACCTCAAAGAGATCTAATATAAACCAAATACTAGGTACAAAGTAAGCATATCACTAAAAACTAAGATGGTATATCATCCTCACCTCAGACTTTGTGGTTGAAGCTCTGAGGTGGGCAATTGTTGCTAGAAAGGCTAAATAGAAGTATAACTAAGGAGAAAATATTAACTATTACTTATCCCTATCTGTTCCTTAAGTCAGAAGCATGTATACAGGAGCTACTAACTCCATATTGCAGTATATATGTAAACTGCACTTACAAATAGTTCACGTGTTTTAATTCCTGGCACCACAGGCTACCAGGTCTGCCTTTTAATATGCTGCTGAATTTTGTGCTGGCTCTTTGCCCTGAATACCAGGTGATCAATGTTACCCACAATCTTCCTTTTTTTCTGGGTTTCTCCACACATGTCTACTCTATTTTTTAAAATGCACAGTTTGATGTTTCAGCTCTCCCCGTAATTTTGATTTTCTGCAGAGTAGACCACAAATTTGTAACCTCTTTTTCTTTGTGCAATGTTACTTTCAACTTACTCTTTTAAAGTGCAAATGTCATCCTATGATTTTGATCCGAACTAGAATTGAAGGACCTAGTTTGTGGGAACTTCATGTTGCTGCTCACTACAATTGAGAGAGTCCCATTGACACTAGTGAATTTGCAGGTGGGTGGCAAGCATTCTTTTGCATTATGTGCATTTATTGGCCAACTAGAATACACTGTATGTAGACTACTGTAAAGCTTGGTGTATATTGCTGTGTTGCCACTTCAGTGCCAGGGGGTGCCCAGAGGGCAATGCTATCACAACTTACTTCAAGAAAAAATACTCATTTTACAACATTCAGCCACCACGCAGATGACTGATCAAATTTTTGTGAGCATCCTGCTTGCCAATGATTCAGTGCTCTCAGACGCCTGTGTACTCCTGTACGACTGAACCATAAATCTGATCCAGGACAACAGCATCTAACATGTGGCCCGCGCGCTTTGTTTACCGCTGGGCATCAATCTAACCGATGAAGGATGGCCTATCAATCACTTCATTACTGTAGCTGCATGAAGACTCCAGTGTCTCCTTTCGACCGATTGTTGGTGGCGTCTCCAAAAGATAACCACCACAGCCTGCTGCGCCTCATGATCATGTCTTACCTTATTCTATCGCAGTTCCCAATTAAGCTCTTCACGATCATCATGTCACCTTTCTCATATTCCCCGTCTGAGTTCCAGCCTCGAATTCTGAGCCTGATTGACACTTCAAGGTGCTTCTCGACGTTCTTGACGGGGGTGAATGTAGTTTTGGCTTCACCAATCGGATCAATACGATCACATCACATGAACTGGAACCCTTACTTCTTTGATCTTGCAATGGACACTTCTATTGCCACTTGCTGTACTTGATCCTCTCTATAGCCAGAATTTACGCGCCTGCTCGAGTTAAGTCTGCTGATCACGCGGCTGCTCGAGCCTGGTCAGCGCTGAGCTCGTGAATACCAATCAGCCCATGTTTTCTCCAGAATATGGGGATCTGTACACATGTCTGGCGATTCTGGTCCGTCGGTCACGCACCATGTCGGATAAATATCTAAGCTGTTTTAGAGTTTGGCTTCGTGGATGAGACAGAAAACAGAAACCTGTTCATTGTGTCAGTCGATCCTCAGACCTCGCGCCCACCACACGAACTTACGGATGATTCGATTTCGAGCGTTCTTGACTGGATAGACATTTTCTATGGATCGCCCTAATAGCCGAATGAATCACCTGCTCGTGACTGTGCAAAACCTGCTGGACCCAGGTTCGTCGCAATTATATTTGAGGACCAGGCCCTGGCTAGAAGCAAAGTCAGGTCATGCATGCTACACCAGCAGCGTTTGCCCGGGTCGATATCCGCACAACCTGCCTCCGTTTACGACTGAAGGTGTACCTTTCACATCAACTCACGGGGGATCACCGGGGGGCATGTTTGCGGCACACGCAGACGAGGGTCGAAAGAAGGAGGATAGATGTGCCAGATCAGATACCAAGTCTTCATGCAGCGATATCGGAGACAGTTGATAATCACTGATAATCCAAAGGATATATCTGTAATTGAAGTAGTGGTGATTATCTGCGACTGACCTGTGTCAATGTCCGTCTCAGGTGGTCTGAGAACATGAGTCAAGGCTGGCAACTGAACCGAGAACGGTCGTCTGACCTCGTGAAAGGAAAGTAACAGTGCACGTGACAAAACGCGTGGGTCCGTATGTATGTTTGTCGGAATCCGGATCGTGCCCCGTGGTGATGAAAGCAGTGTCCGAATCCTTTCACGCCTTCACCTCCGTATCCGAACTCGTTCCATATATAAAGCACTGGGCCATTCAGCCCCTCCCTCTTTTCTCTTCCTTTGAAACGTCCGTGTGCTCTCAATACCGCGTATCCACGTCCTAAAGGCTGGCGCTAGCGAGGAATTCCTAGCTTCTGATTCCATTTCGCGAACCACGCCGGACGTCGTTCGTGTCTACGACCATCTCAACGCATCGATAACGAATCTAACGAATCTGAGCTCGATCCACGATGTACGCCTTGCAGTCCCCTTTGTCAACTAAGCTTTCGCCCAAATCTTCCCCTTGCGCGCTAGGGGCTCTCATAGACACCACAAACTCATTACGCAGCACCGATGTTCTCCCAAAACACCCTCGTTTACCCCTCTCTCGCTCCAGAAAGGCCCCGCCCACCGTCTCACTCACGAACGCTAACGCCATCAGCACCTGCGCCCACACACACCTACCTCCATCTCCACTCGATCTACCAGATGTCAAGCTACAAGCTCAGAACGCTATACCCTTCCCATCCTTTACTGTCGATGTCTCGAGCACACCTCCTTTCAGTGAGTCCGAGTTGGATTCTCTCATGACCATGTCTGTGTCGTATCCTGTCGACGAAGTCATTGGTGAGATCACGCTGGGTGGATCTAGCAGTGAGTCGGCTCCTTGGTCTCCACAGATTCGCCTCCGTCGTAGACGCTCAGAAGCATGCACTCCTCGAACAAAGACACAGCGCAGAGGCAGCTCGAGAGACAAAGAGGGCATTGATGCCGTCCCGCCAGCTCGCAAACGCTCGCGTAAGAGCAGGCGACTTGTCTCAGACTTGCAGTTTCTCGCTACATTGCACCGCAGCATCGTTTGGAGACTGCGGAATGTGGAGCAAGATGAGACCAAAGACGTGATGAGTGACGTGGATGGCTCCGTACACGACTCGGAAGAGCTGTGCTCGAACAAGATCACAGAGGCACAGGACAAGCTCCTTGTCAGACACCTATGGCAGCTACTGATTGATCAGGGCTGTACGCTTGTAGCGTTCGATGATGTCCCGGTGGCATCTTCTTCGTGTTCTTCCTCCTCATCAAAAGACGCAGCATCTCCACTGCTTTCGAGCAATGTGTCGAGATCACGTCGCGATGATAAGGTGATAAGATCGCGCAAGCGCTCGTCACACAGTCTCACGTGTCCGTCCGTCCCGTCTACCTCAACTTCATCTCCGTTCTTCAAATTCCCACATCAGCTCTCTATCTCGGTCCCCGCAGCGGTCCCTTCTACCGATCCCCCATCGCCGACAACTCCGAGTCCGACGTCTGATCCAGCACGGATCCTAAGCATGCCCCAGCTCGTTGCGTCTCTCCTTCTGCAGCAGAATCAGAAACGCACTACGCGGGCTCGTCCCAGGTGGAGAGCATGTTGTCGCCGTGCAGAGTCCACCAGTCACGATGGTGGTGGTGGGTCTCCTGGGCCGCAAACGTCAAGCAATGGCCGCAAATGCGTGTACTGCCATAAGGAGAAGAAATCGAAATCGCCGCTGTCGACAGTGGCATTTTCAGCGCTTGAGAGTTGATTCTCAATGGTGCCTCGTCTTTGCTCCGATGGCAGTATATGTTTGTTGACGACGTTGCTGGTACTTTCCAGGGAATCAGCAGCTCTTTCGGCTGGTTGTGTTTCTGCAGTGCTGCACACTTTATCTACGCCGACAGGACTATTTTTATGACAGTCACGATCATATCACATATGTATCGATATATCTACGGGACTCTACATTAAGCTAGAGTCTTGTCATGTTTTATCACACTATCCCTCCAAGCGAGGGCTTCATTGTATACAATTTCGCAATGCAGATACTATATCCAAATCCAGTTGAAGTTGACTTTGAGCATTGGTTTTCGCTTTTCTTTATGGAAAGTTATGTTGAGATGTTGAGGCTATGCCATGCATGTGATTGCACAGCCGGACAAGTTCAGAGAGTTCGTTTGGCATTTACAGCAATTGCAAGTCGCAGAACAGCCTTCGAGTTATGTGCAGACGAGTATATTGCCAATTTACTCTCACTGTTGCACATGCTCTATTATGGACCCCTTGAACATGTGCCACGCAGACAAAGACACGCCCGTCCCAAGTCTATCACGACAAGCCTCAATCAGAACGTGACACTCCCTCATCGGTACATTGTAGGCCACTAGGCCCAAGCTGCAATCGTTCTCCGAAAAACGACACTGACATAGCCTTGTCTTGCAGTATATATCAGCCGTTGCAGCACATATTTTGCGCATTTTAACACTTCGGCCACGGCGCCTCATGCGATAACCAGTACTCGAGTACATCCCATCGAAGCACCTACCTTTCCAGCCTGAACATGGAGTCCACGACTACGCTCATCAACCCCACCCCGCCCACTGCTCTCTACTTCAGCACAGGGAGCATGAAAGACAGCTCCATCTTTGCACACCCCTCCCGCCCTCTCTATACCGTCACGAGCAACAAGTCAGGAAACAGGATCGAGGTGAAGGACGCACCCTCTGGGCGCATCATAGCGGTACACGAGCGGCGCGAAATCCTACCAGACCACATAACGTTCCCTGGCTCGGAGACACATGGTAGCGAGTCGATGGATGTAAGTAAGTGGCTGAAGAAGAGTAAACTACCAGATGGGTTGTGAGTGCTTTTGGCTCGCTCGCCGTAAGAGAGACAGTGTATTCATGACTCGCAGTCCCGTGCATATCATGGAGACACCAGATGGATCATACGTATGGAAATCGGATCCAACCTACCGTCTTGCGGTACGTGCCAGTCTATCATAAACACAGCCCTCAAGCTCACTTGGAACACATATACAGCTCTTCCCAGAATCTAATCTGCAAACTCCCGTCGCCTACCTTCAGCCAAGCACTCCAACTCAGAACTTTGCGCTCGTGATCGAGTCACAAACAGAGGCATTTAGAGATGATGCCGTTGTCGCGTTTTTGATCCTGGAACAAAGACTGAGGATAGAGGATAAGCATATCATAGTCGGGGGTGGCAAATTCGAGATGAATAAGACGGTGTTTGGGCATTATGTTGGGAGGAGCTGATCTATCCGTACGTTGGAGTTTACGTTTTCTTTTCATGTTCTTTTATGTATTAGTCCCTCGGAAAACTAGTTTGAGGCTTGTGTTTATCATATACACAGGCTGTCATCGAGTCGCGTCAGGCTCGTGGCAGGCAATAGCTTATATGGCAATTTGAAGCTGTGATACCCACCCTAGGCTTGCCAATCACGGGAAGAAGTTCGTTCCGTTGATGTTTTGGTATCGCCAAGGTATTGCACGTACTTGGAGGGAAATGATGGCTATCCCTGGCGCTGGTATGCATGGCAATCTCAGGCTATCTTTGTGCCGATCGCCTCACAAACGTGACCTCATTCATTGGATAGTATATAATGATAATGGCTCGCGTACTATTGGATTCCGGGGCTGTATGCTGGAATCATACTAGACACAATCCACCATGTCTACACTTTCGAGCTTCCCGACAATCCTTTCCGATTTGCAGACGACAAAGGTAGGTCTCACAATTATGGTATCAATTGCTCGATAGGCTAATCTTTCATTTTCCTCTGACAGTACCTCAATGGTAGGTTATTGACTGCCACGACTGTCGTGTAAAATGTTACTTACCTGTCGTATGATTCATCAGTCGCTGGACTAGCAATTTGGGTAAGTGTACTGGAGTTGCATTCTGATTATACCATCGCTGAGTTAACTGTGGATATATTCAGATCTTTGACTATGTTCTATCATTTGAATCTGAGGTGAGTAAGCCATGCCACTCGATATCTATGTTGCCAAACAAGGACGGGCCTCCGGGGCAGATTCGTTTGGTCTGGGGAAGAAAATGGGATGCCACACGAATCCTTTTTTCGCTTGCCCGCTACTTGACACTAGTTGGTGTTATCATGACCGTCTACGGTAAGTTCCTTTGCTAACCATTCATGTTTTCCTCTAACGATTTTGAAAATCAGCTGCTGTGCAGACTCGGACAGGAAATGTGAGTATCATTATCTTGTGACTACCGGTCACAGTTATATCTCATTTTGAGCAGTGCGCACCCTTTGGCGATGTTTCGAATGGTAAGTGCGTTATATATCTAGTCGGGACCTACAGTTGATTTTTGTCCATAAAAGTCTTCCACATTTTGAGCATCATCGTTGCAGAAGGTTAGATATATATCCAACTCAGACATTTGTAGCACGAGGATGAATGATCTATTCGTACAGGTCTGCTCATTATGCGTACTTATGCCTTTTGGCAACGGAGCAAAAGGTTGATGATATGGCTACTTGGATTTGCCGTAGTGAGCGTCTTTTCTGTTTTTGAAGTTGTCTCATAGGCTTTGCGATCGACTCAGACCTATCTTCCAGATATCTCTCGTAGCGGCTATGGTTTTGTCAAGACTGATACAAGGTCCTGCTGAAAAACGTGAGACTCTGATGCTTACATCCACGCTTATGCCGGTTTGTTCAATCTATCTCAGCAAATCTGGGAGGGTGCGTTTTTGTGAGCAGCAAAACCGGCGCTGCTATCCAATATTCATTCTTGATCAACTACGAATGTGGTCAGTGACCCGTTTTCTTGTAGTGCCGTCGTGTTTGACGACGTTGAGGAATATTTCAGTTTTGCTAGGTCTGACTATGTACAAGTTTGTCAAACACTACCGCCGTAACAAGAGTGCACTAGTGACCGCACTTTATTGGGGCAGTATAAAGTACATGAGCTGCATGATCAGTTCGTATTCAGTTCACTGCTATCTTTGATTATCTCTGCTTACTTGAGGTTCAACATAAAGTTGTCACTTTGGCCAACATTGTCGTCAGCGTGGCTTTGCCGGTAAGCCACTATTACCAGCATATCATTACACTCCTCTCACGTATGTATATATATATTGTATACACCAGATTGGGTATCGCAACGCGCTGGACACGTATGTCATTCTCCGAATTGACTGGAGAGTATTATTATTGACAGTTGTACTGTATAGACTGCAGCTCGTCTTACACAGCATACTGGCATCTCGTATCCTCTTCGATCTTCGTGAAACCGATGCACGCGAGCACATTGATGTGTTGCCAATAGCGAGTAGTATATATTTCTCAAAGGAAGGAGGCTCTTCCGAGTCGTCGACCTTTGCGGACTCGCAAGAATCCATGTCTCCAGAAAGTACAATGTTTTGAGACTTGGACTGGCTCTAAGTTGAGAACTGTACCCGCGATGTTTGTATATTGTGTTGAGTAGTCAATGACATTATCACACTAGACACAATATTCACAGTGCTAGCTATGGTAGCCAAGTCCAACTGTACTGGAGGTTCAGATAACCCTAACCTTAGTAGAATTCGGTCTTGTGCAGAAAGTCATCGCTTTGCTCTCAGCCAAATGTCTGAAACAACACATCTTCGTGTTGACGGTCGTCAAAAGGACAGCCTTAGAGAGGTTAAAATAACATACGATGGCCTTGCAAGAGTTGATGGCTCAGCACGGTTTGGTTTTGGTATTTGCTCTATTCATGTTATGTCATAACGCTTGAACATAACTTATTTTATCTTGTCAGGAGACTCAACATTAGCCCTCGCATCCATCTCTGGTCCCATTGAAGTGCGTCTCACCGCAGAACAGCCTTCACGCGCGACATTTGAAGTGCTCGTACGTCCTCTATCGTCAGTTCCTGGCACAGAATCCAAAACACTCGCAGCAGCCCTCCGCACATTGCTCACCCCCTCCCTCATCCTCACCCAAAATCCGCGCACACTGATCCAGCTCGTCGTGCAGACACTTACACCCGTACCCTCGTTTCTATCTTCATCCATATCGTCTTCGACTCGCTCTCACCCTTCGCTCATCGCCGCACAGATCAATGCCTCGACTCTCGCGCTTCTTAACGCTGGTTCTGTGCCTATGCGAGGTATAGTATGTGCCGTCGCTGTGGGCCGACTACGTAGCACCAGCACCTCTTCACCGTCGAAAAAAAGCCAGAAGCAAGCCCAAAAAGGCGACAATGCTCTCATTCTCGACCCCTGTGAAGACGAGCTATCGTCCCTAGATGGCAGTGGTTGTTTTGCCTTTCTATTCGCCACAGGACTATCAGCGTCTTCCGAGGATCATTCATTAGATACCCCAGGCTGTGACCTCGTATGGAATAATTGGCAGTCATTAACTACATTTGACGAACCTGAGCTCATGCGCGCCACTGAGCTTGCAAAAGCCGGCGCGAAAGAGGTGTGGAGAAGGATAAAAGAGAGTGTGCAACGGATGGGCATGCCTTCGTCCAAGGAGCTTGATGAGTGGAAGGATAGCAAGTTTCAGACAGCAAGTGCTGAAAAGCAGGTGCATAATATGGACGAGGACGAGAGCGAGAGCGATGACGATGAAGATGATGTGAAGATGGAAATCTGAGGTGTGAAATCTTGTCTTGATATCATGGATTCTATCCTGCTTTGCTGTTGTATCGCATACCATATACTAAAACCTGCTACACACATGTATCGGTAACATGAGCAGAAATATCGTTTCTGTGTCGGGAGAAGCCAATTACTGTATTTCGTGTATTTCATTTAGTGATTGACGCTCGCTGAAGACTACCTGGGGTACAAAGGCTATACAGCATCGTGGCAACTTTCAAACCACCAGCTAGTCATCCAGTGCTATCCACTATCCACTACAATATCCACATGCAGCTTGAGGAAAACGCGAAACGAGACTGCGAGCGAGGGATATCCGCATATGTACTACACTCAGCTGACGAGCTCAGGCTCATGAACCGGGAATTATAACCACGGTCACTCGGGCTGACATTTAGACTAGCAACGGTTAAGAGCCCCGACTGCTTTTCACGAGGAAGCATCTGATTGCGGTGTACGTGAACATTTACCGGGCTTATTCTCAAGTATTTTTCCCAGTCCGAGGTAAGTGTTAGCCCATATAGCATTACAATTGCAGTACTTAACCTACCCTGTTCATCCAACTAACGCAGTAACCATTCACACTCACGCTCCAAGCTCCAAGATTTCAGAACTCACACGGACGGTGGTCAGAGCTCAACCTTTAACCGCAACAATGTCGCCCACAGATATCCCGCTCACCCAACGCGCGGCCGTCATCCACAAATTTGGCTCCACCATCGACATCACCTCCTCCCACCCCGTCGTCCAGCCCAGCGCCCTCACCCCAGGCCAATGTCTCGTCAAAATAGAGTATGCAGGTGTCTGCCATTCCGATCTGAATGCGCTCTATGGAGACTGGGCAACGAAACCGACGCTGCCGAGGGTGGGGGGACATGAAGGTGTTGGGCATATCGTCGCTATAGGCGAACATACAGTTGAGGCAGCAGTCAAGGTCGGAGATAGAGTCGGATTGAAATGGCTCGCGAAGACTTGTCTGAAATGCGAGTTTTGTCGGCTGACGAACGAGTCCAGTGAGTTCTTATTCACATCACACATCTGATTCTCATGCAAAACTACTATCCCTCAGGTTGTCCAACTCGTACGGTCCACGGTTTCACATTTGACGGTACTTTTTGTGAATATGCTGTGAGACGATCTGGTCTCCCTTTCTCTATGATTAATGTAGATGACAGTATTTTTAGGTTGCCTGGGTTGACTATGTGACTTCCATCCCAAAGTCTATTGACAGCGCAACGGCCACTGCCATCCTATGCGCTGTATGTCCTTGGTCCCCATCCAAGCCCCTAACCTTCGTCCGCTTACCATTTCCCTCATAGGGGCTTACCGTATTCAAAGGTCTGAAGCAGGCCAATCTTCTCGTCGGTCAGTGGATAGCCATTCCCGGCGCTGGCGGTGGTCTTGGGCATTTAGGTACGATTTCCCCCTCCGTAGCCGTGGTGGAAATAGAAATTCAGAGATTTCCTCCACATCGCTCTTGATCAGCCGTGCAATACGCCGTGCTCATGGGTCTCCGGGTCTTGGCGATCGGTACGAGCTCTCGTGTCCAAGGACTCGTTCTCCAATGACAAACACAATGATATGACAGATACCGGCGAAGCGAAAAGAGAGCTCTGCACGTCCCTAGGGGCGGAGAAGTGGATAGACTTCAAAGAGAGCCAAAACCTGATCGCAGACGTGATCAAAGCCACAGACGGTCAAGGCCCTCACATAGCTCTCATTGCTTCCAGCGCTGTACGTCCGTCCGTCTTACGTCTGACCTATTCTGATCTTTGGTTCGGCAATAATTCCATATGTCATCGACCCTCCAGGCAACTCCCTACAACCAAGCATGTATGTACCTCCGTCCAACAGGAACGCTAGTTGCCCTGGGATTACCCGCAGGCGCAGTACTGAGCGTGCCCATCCTTGTCCTCGTCGGAAAAGTGAGTTCTATCATATCCGTTATGAAAATTTGAGCAACGTGGAAAACAGCCACTGACCGAGCCTTTTTCTCATTTCATTTTCGCCGTTCGATTTTAGGAGCTGAAGATTGTGGGATCTGCTATCGGGTGAGAAATCGATATCTCCTTCTTGCATCCTTCTTCCGAAATAGAAGTTAGGGACGAAAGAATAATTTTTCTGATTTTTGTTCATCATTTCGAATCGCAAAAAGCAATCGACAGGACGCCGTAGAATCCATGGATATCGCCGCCCGGGGGAAAGTCAAGTGCCACTACGGCGTAAAGACGCTCGAAGAGCTCAACAGGTGATTCATTTACCTACCATAGCTCAGGTGTCCCGCGTGCTAACAGCGCTTGGCTAGCATCTTTGCGGATATGGAAGAAGGAAAGATAACTGGCAGGATTATGCTTAAGTTTTGATGAGGGATGACTTGTCTGTGATAAAGCTGTAAACGGAGTTGTAAGCTTACTTACGAATCATCTTGCCAAGATCATTGGCAATGTATCCATATACGTGTATATATGTATGACTGCACGTCGATAGCAGACGAGTTTGCTTGATCCACATGGCGGTCAGACAGTCGTCTTCATTCCAATTTACCTACCTATCGACACATAATAGACCGTCATGATCAAGCGTAACATGTAAATCAGTCGTACGAAAGGGAAAAGTGAACAGAAATTGAAATTGGAACGCATTAACTGTGATGAATATATAAGAGCTTCAGACACAGAAACTAAAAACAGAAGGGGGAGGTAAGCACAGCAGACAATTTCAGCAAACAAGCGCAGAAATTTCGAGAAAAAGAAGAATATAATCTGCAAGCAGCGCAACATATAAAAAATAAAAAGAAAAGAGCGACAGAAGACTTAACAGTCCAACAACAAAAGTATACAATCTTTACTTTATCTTTACCAGTGGCTTTATAAAACGCAAAAGCCACTTTCGGGGAGGAAAACACATTGTTCATGCATGGACAAGAAGAGGTGATCCAGATATGTCCAATGGGTATGAGAAATCATGAGGGACTACTATTCGTTTGCAACCTAGATAACACAGTGATATTAGTAAGGGTGATCCAAATTTGAACATGGTCAACGTACCCTGAGAACTCGGTTACTCTGGCCATAGTCATTATCGTCCTGATAGCTCATCCGCGCACCGCTGTCTCTAGAACCCGGGACGTTGCCGTCATTGAACACGTCGCCTTCATTATCACTGAGACCTTGCATATGCTCAGGTTCAGGAGGGGGAGAATGAGCAGGCGATGGCAATTCATGTGGATTGGGAAGAGGCGGGCTAGGAGAACGCTGGGGTGCACCGGCATTGTATCCATACGCATCAGGCCCTGGGGTATTGGTATTATTCGACCGACCATACGAATGGTACGAATCAGATGGATATGCACTCGGCTGTGAGTACGACTCGCCAGAACTGTATCCTTGCGCACTCATAGCTGGTCCACTTTGATGGGTAAATTGGGTATGCTCCGATGGTCTCCGATTGACGAAAGGTCCATTCCCGGCGGCGGCGGCGGCAGCAGCAGCAGCAGCGGCACCAGTACCACCAAGTCCAACGGCTTCGAGCAAGTCGCTCCCGCCAGGTCCTCGCCTGTACCTTAAGCTAGGATTGTCTCGCATCTCATGCGGTTGCGGGCCACCAGGACCAGCAAATGCATGGTATGGCGCACGTTGGCTAGGCTCGCGTCCAATCCCAGCACCAACACCAGCGATCCCAGGCGCGCCGCTCCCCTGACTATCCTTCCTGCTCCTTCCCCTTGGCAAGGTGGGTGGGCCTAGCGCGGCTGCACCAGCGGTGTACGGGTCAAAGTGCGCCATCTCGCTCATGCCGTAGCTTTCGCTGCCGGGGACCAAGGGAGATTGGGCGTATGTGCCGTGGCTATTGTCAGAGTAACCTGTGTAGACTGGCCCGCCTCCACCTCCACCACCACCACCACCACCACCACCGGAGGGGTAATTGTAGTCATCGTAGGGCGAGTTGCTTGCTGCTGCGGCTTCTGCGACTTCTTTGTCGAACTGCTTGGCGCGGCGGCGGCGAACTGCGTTGGTGACGAGGGCTATGAGAAGGGCGACGACGATGAGACCAACGACTGTGAACACGCCAGCGACAGCGCCTGTGTTGTGGAAGAAGCCACTAAAAGCGAAAGATGAAGATCATCAGCACGGCCATGACACTGGGATATGAGAAAATATCGTGTGGCTAGGTAGAGAAAGACCAGAGAAAGCCCGAACATCACACAGTGGCGTGTAGTGCACTGTTTCAAACGAAAATAGATGTGCAAACTCACGATGAAGAAGAAGAGTCATTTTGAGGGGTCCCAGTAGGAGTGCTGCCACTTGTAGTCTGTATGATTGACGTGACGGTAACCTCTCCCCCACCAGAAGAAGTCGTCAGCAAGGAAGTGAGCGATGTAGAAGTTGCTGAGGTTGTAGACGACGAGGACGCGCTTGTCGTCGTTGACAGAGAGCTGGTGGAGGTCGCGGTTGCGGAAGAAGTGGTGGTAGACGTAGAAGATGTGGAAGTAGTGGTGGACGTTGATGTTGTAGACGTCGATGAGGGGGATGTCGATGTCTGAGACGCTGACGTCGACGTGGGGGTAGGCGTGGATGTAGCAGACGCAGCGGGTGAGGTCGCAGAGCTAGATTAACAAGGAAAAGGCGTCAGTGGTTGAATCTCTGGCAAGACATAAGATTTACGGTGGATTTAGAATTGAACCTGCAATCACAGATGAGATAGGTGCATCGTGGAAGCAGAACGACAGACTTACTGGCCATGATTCCAAAGCTCACGTTTCACATGCAACCAGCACGAAAAGAGAGGCTGTAAGCTCAAAACACGAAATGGTACGGTGTTTTGAAGATATCCTGAAAGGACAGAGATGGACGTTGAGGAGAAAACAGCGTCGAGCTGGCAGATGAGAAATTTCCTTGTTTCGCGATATTTTCGAACGGGAATCAGGCTTGTGCACATCTCTTACGTAAGCACAGCCATATCACCCGCCATCAGCCAACGCGGCCGGCTGCCCGACAAGAGCATGCTCTGGTGTAAAAATGCATCATTGTCATATCTAGCTCTACCACACAATGCCCGCAAGGTCACAAGGTCTAGCTGCTCTTTCTTCTCTTCCGTCGCTTCGACCCTTCATCCTCCCCATCGCCCTCCTCCGTAGACTCCCCATCGCCCTCGCCAGGTCCTGCCTTCAGCCCCTTCATCTTCCGCGTCTGCAGCTTGTCCAGATCCTGTTTCGCAATGTGCACTCTCCCCCTCAAGTCGCCCAGCTCGTCCACCTCGAGGTTCTTCCTCTTCTTCCCGAGACCCTTCTCCACATCCTGCTTCTTCATCTTCGGTCGCTTCATCGCAGCCCTCCATAGATCAGGATCCGCAGCCTGACTTCTCCGCAGCGACAGATCGAGGAAAGGCCCCATGGGACTCAGCTCGACGCGCGGTACTCGGGTTCCCGAGGCAAGCATGCGAACCGTATACGTCCGTACATACACCTTTGGCAGTTTGCTCAAATCCTCTGACGACTGCCCATCACCGAGGGACAAGCCCGTCGCCCCATTCAGTCCCGACGAAGGTGCGACACTGACGCTGATAATGTGCTCCAAACCACCGAGACATATCGAGTCTATCACTTCTGCATTGAAAAAATCCATAAGCAGCGATTTGAGCTGGATGTAGCGTGGATGTGTGTCAAAGAGCTCTGAAGCAAAGTGCATCATCGGCTTATGCCCCGGTGTCGATTTTGGTGTCTAGTGTATTGTTATTATAAAAATTTGTTGACATCAGTGTCAATGCATATGAACACAGTATCCGCACCTTGAATTCTGACATGCTCACAAACTTGTCTACACCAAATTCGCACATGTCCAAGACTTTTGAGTCGAACATACGAGCAAGCACAAGCCCCGCTGGCCTTTTCTTTGTGCTCTGCCCTACCAAAAACATGGACGCATCGTTCTTCTGGGCCCAAAAGTCCAGCGACGATGAATCTTCAAACGGCCTAATGGCATTTTTCTTCGAGAATGATATGGCATCCGGACGCTTCAGAGCCATCTACAGCCATGTCGTCAGCATCGAGGTCGAGGTTGGAAAGAAAAAAAATAAAAGAAAAGGAGGAACGCACCAGCTCCTTCATTACGTTGTTCACTACTTCTCCTGTGTGTGTTCCGCGTACGAATATGGCTGTCCGTGCATCCTCCACTTCTTTAGGTTCTCTCGCATCCAACGCTCTTTTCGCGCGTGCATTCTTGGGCTTTCTACAACAACAACAACCAAAATGGCGAGGTGGTGAGTCGCATACTTGAAACTGAAGAAAAAGACTTACATTGTCCGCAACATAGTGAACTCCTGCACCCAACGGCAAAACTAGATGCACACATCGTCCATATAAACCAGATACATCACATGAAACAAATGAACAGACGTACCAGATGCCAAATGAACTAGATAAAACCGATAAACCAGAATCTCCAGGAGCAATCAAAAATCTTCACCCTGCTAAACGGGGAACCCTAACCACGTGACTACGAACACATTTCCTAACTTTTCAGACTCGGTCCTGTGTTGCGTCCTCCATGCCGATCCTTGGAGACACAACCAACGCAGAGAATGTTTCGAAATCTTTTTTGTACACGCATGGCCATTCCTGGCATAACCGTCCGCTCCTGAAAGCGTCGAAATCTTTATGTATCGGTTCATTCTGCGTTTCCGGCAACATTGTATTGATTCCAAGTATATCCCGAATCGAAACTATTTGACAAAAAAGCTGGAGCAGGATGAGAAGATGGTATTGAAAATTCATGCGACGGTTTGATTTATCCTAAAATAACGATGGATGGCATACCATAGCTCTCCTCTCTTGTCCTTGTTAGCTGCTCAATACCATTACAGTACCAAACGGGGCTTAGTTTATGCTAAACACACACTTCATGCAAGAAGTGACACCCATGACAATTACCTGGATGCTGTAGACAATGGCCGACCCGCAGCTAATCCTCATTATCTGCGTATTTCAAAAGGTACGTCCTGATCCTATAGCTAGTGAATCAAAATATAATATAGTGACTGCATCTAGGAACTGCAGTGCCGGTTTCCTTAACCTTTGATCGTGAGCGGGGTGCCCGGTTCACCCTTCAACCATCGCATTCGATGTCATTGGCCGGTACGTCGCGTCATTCCAACAACCGCCTCATTCGACTAATATCAACCTACAGTTCTGAACGAGACTCTTACCAAATTTTATGCCAAAGCAGGTGTTATGGTCAGTCCGGAAGAATGGCTGGGGAAGAATCCCTATCATGAAGCATCCTTCGATCATACAGAGGAGTGGATGAACATGTAACAAGCAGACCTTTCCGCGTCTCCTCCTAGGTCATCAGAGGCCAGTTGAGATTACGTTTGTTTCCAGACCAGAATAAATTATTGCTCCTGGAATGCGAAATCAAACTGAAAGACACCGCGTGAAGGACAGCCGAGGAGGTAGTACATCTATGGCAAGCAGGAGTACCCGGGCAACGTCACATGGAATTGAAGCGCATCGCGTAAACTTCTAAGGAACGGCGGAATTGCTTGAGATGGACGAGTACGAATTGGCGTCGAGAATGAATGACTGACGAGCATATAGCCGATGTATGAGAATCCTCTTAATTACCACACTCTTCAGCACATTCCAAGCCTGGTGAATTCGGTTTGTCCGTTTGCTAGTTCCTGTATAGCACGCTTTTCGAGTCTCACCTCGAGTCTCACTGCCCACAGCTCCAAAGTTTCAAAAATAAATAGCAAAACTGCTATCAGCGTGCTAACCCAGATTGGGAGCGACACCGTCTTGAGCGACCATGGACGATCACCCGTCCAGCCTAGCCAGACACACGCAGCGGAGGTAAGCTACGTGTCAACTACGTTGTCCCCATCCGGGGCCCTGAACCAGCCTATCATGTCACCAGTCTGATCATTGACATAAACGTATCTCAAATGCAACTTGAAGTACTAGCGCCAGCCAAGCCACCGCATCAAGACCCTTCCGTATATTTCACACATGCCATCTTCCATTCCGATTTTGGCCCATTGATGCACCAACGTTCAACTTGACGCATGATCGCACGTCCGTCGATGCCATCCATCGAGCAGATAATCACGAATCACCGGAGCATCGTGCTTACTCTTCTGCCATCACATAGAAGAAAAGCACATCTGATAAAACAGTTTCGCTTCGTGATTTCTGTCACTTCCACCGATACATTTTAGAAAAGAGATTACTATGTTAATATTTCACTACAGTACGACATGACGACGAAAACACTATTTTTTTGATATTCTTTTCCTCGCTATCCGACCAGTTTCCAAAAATGAACACTAAACGTATTAAACAGATTGGTATATGAGAGCAGGCAACAAAAGATCGAGAGAGATATATGCTACTTGTATCTGCACAATCGAAAAAAAGCAACCGAAAAATAGATATAAAACCGAAACAGATCAATTCGAAAGAGACCAATGTTCGTACCACAAATGTATTACCAGAAATTCAGAGTAATCGTTTCAGACGTTCATCCCCTCACACCCTCATTCCAACAGCAGCGGGGGTGTGTGGAGAACCGACGGAGATTCGTACTTGATCGCGCTGAGACTCCCCTCCTCGCCTAGATAATGCTGCTGCCGCTGCATCAGATGGGGATGGCGAGCCTGAGTGTAAGCCGACTGCGGATCGAGCGGCAGCGGCGGCGAAGGCAGCTGAGCTTGGCTGAGATCGTGGGCTCCGTGATGTGTCTGATAGTGGTGAAGCTGAGTAGGTTCCTCTGTAAGTGGAAAATACTGATGCTGCTGGTGATGATGATGTGGGGGATAAGTCGCGGCGAACTGTTGCAAGTACTCCGCCTCCTCCGAACGTCTGCGCGCTTGCTCCATACGCTGTTGCTGCTGCTGCTGTCGACGGAGCTGCTCCAGCTGCTGGCGGTGCAGTTCCTGTGAGTAATGCGTGGCCTGGGACGGGGGCTCGATCGACGAGTGCGAGGGCTGATGCGGATGAGACGAGTCCGGATGAGGTAGTCGGGCGTGATGTAGATCCTGTTGCCCCAGACGGTATAAATGATCGAACTCCTGGATCTGCATCTGGGTCATTGCAGAGCTCCAGGACGGAGAGGCGTCGAGATTGAGGACGTGATTCTGAGCCGTACTCGTATTCGCCAAGAGAGCCACTTGATCGTGGGGGATCATCGAAGCCGTCTGCTCCCGGGAAAGGTCGCTTGCGAGGGTTTGGGGGCGATGATGCGAGGGGCCCGCCCTGGGCTGGTTGTTGTTGTTGTTGTGATGGTGGTGGGAGTGGGTCGGTGAGGGCCGGTGGATGGAAGGAAAAGGGAGAGTCGTATGAGGCTGCGGAGGGAGATGTAGGCTCTGGATCGTATGGGAGGCGGTAGGCAGCTGCTGCTGCTGCTGCCAGTTCTGGTGCGCGTCCATAGTGCGGAAGTGATAGTTCTGGTTGATGGACCAATCCAGGCCCTCCAGCATAAGCAGGTTTTGGGTTGTAGTATGCTGCTGGAGCTGTGCCTGGGCGAGTTGCTGTTGATGGTCGTCTGTTGAATGCAAGTGTGCCTGAAAGGGGAAGTATGTGTTGTGTTGATTGTGGAGGGAGGGGGAATGATTGGGATTGTGAAGTGGGGATGGATGCGGAGACGACGGCAGAGAGGGGCGGGAGCGTTCGAGCATGTGAGTCGGTACCGCCTGCAGTGGGAGGACGGCTTGAGCTGGATCTGGGGCGACCATCCCGTGAGGAGAGACCGATGTTGAATGAGTTGGTGGGGAAGGGGAGAAAGGACTGGGAGTGTGAACCGAGGAGGAATGGAGATGAAGCTGATGGGGGGGCAAGAAAGGACTGGGTGGAGTCACGAAAGGAATGACTGTTGTGGGCCCTTGTATCTGAGCGATCGAGGTCGTCTGACCAGTGGTCAGAGTGGTAGAGGATGCTGTCGGTGCCCTCGTAGCCAGTGCTTGTGCCGGGACGCTGGTGGATGGGAAGCGAAGGCTGGTCCTCCTCTTTTACGAGATCGAGGGAGTGAAGAGCGGGGTTATCTTGAGGAAGGGAGTGATTAGAAGCTGCAGGAAGAGCAGCGGCATTTGCCTGACCTCTTTTCCCTCTGGACTGGCCAGCCTTGTTTGCGGCAGCCATGGAGGCATGGAGAGAGGTGAGTTCGCGCATCATACGCTCGTTCTGGTCCTGCTTGTCTGCGTGTACGGTCTGGGCATGTTGGCGGAGGTTGTCGAGACGAGAAAACTGTTTTCCACAATGGCAGGTGAAGGGGCGTTCGCCGGTGTGTTTCCTGTGAGAGGGTGAGGGAGAGGAAGGGGGAGGGGAGGAGAGACATGTACCGCATGTGCCAGGCGAGATGCTCACTTCTGGAGAAGACCATGCGACACTCGCTGTAGCCTCTGCACTGGAAGGTCTTTGCGGGAGCAGGACGGTAGCGCTTGTTGACGCCAGTCGCGGTGGGGAGGAGGGCGGGGTTGCTGTGTGCGACGAGGGCGGGCATGTCGTGGTCGCTGTTTGGGTCGACGACGGGGTCGGTTTGGGGGTCGTTTGAGGGGGAGTCAGCGGTGGTGGAGTCGTCCATGGCAGAAAAGAAAAAGAGGAAGCAATGTTCTATAAAGGTGCCTGGAACTCTCGAGTCTGAAAACAGTGGGCTCGCTCATCCTCTCAATTAAGGCACCTTCCCCGTCGGACTTGCAATTCCCTACCACTCCCCTGGCTCAGGTACACTCCGGCCGGGTGCGGCTCCGATCTCTGATAACCTCCTCCGGCTTCTCGGCACATCCCACGCGCCAGCGGGCCAGACCAGCCCGGCGCTCTGCTCAGACTTCGTGACATGTTCCTCCGACAATGTGCAACCGCGTGCCACGGAATTTGAATTCGATCACCTTTCTTGATCGCCATCGCTCGGTGCCTTTCTTCTTATCGTCCCCTCTCTCGTCAAAACCTCACCCATCGACCGGTCATCAATCATCCATCATCACCCACTCTCTGCGCCCAGTTCGAGCTCTTCCTTCTTCATCCTTCCTTCTTCCTTCTACCTCACCCACGCTATCGCTATCCCACAGCCACACAGCCACATCTCACATGCAACAGCTCCCGATCCCTTCCACCCGTGACATCTCCCATTCCCGACAGAGACGGCAAATCGTAAATTCTTATGTAATCGCATCCCACAATCACAGTCGCAACGTCCCCACTTCAATTCAGTTTTTTTTTTTTCTTTTTTT